ATTTTTTCCAGGAGGGTAAGGGTTGCAAACCCAAAGAGACCCTAAGCTTCGTCTATCAAACAAAACAATTGCCCTAAAAAATGGAAGAGGAAAAGAGTGAGCGAGCTGGTCTGAGCGCGCTACTTTTCAAAAAATAGAAGCTGAAAGCCATCAAAGTCAAAGCATTCTGGCTAGCGCGTTTGTGTATGTCACGAGCGCTAGCGCGCTAGTCGCAGCAAATTAACGCTCGCAGGCCAGAGTTAGCGCTATTTGGGCTGTTTGCCGCACGCGGCAGGTGGATGGATCACGTGATCCAAGCTGACAAATAAGGTCCGATGGTTCAGCTACATTGAGCCACAAGCGAAAGAAATAGCAGCTCCATGGCACATTGTGGCGTATCGGCAGTAGCGAGTACGAGTACTGCTGACTGAAGACTCTGTAGCACTGCTACATGACTGTAGTAGGTCCACCGGAACCGGTAGCGAGGACGCACTGCATGCAGACTCTGCTTGAGTCTCTAGCTCTGGTTTCAGATCAGGGAGTGCTTCCAGTAGATCTACTAGCTACTCTTCTGTCAGTTCTGATTGTGGTCACTGGTCTGGACCACGATGCAGATGGGACATGGTAGTGTCTAGAAAGACAGGATATCCTTGATGGCTTGAATGAAGGGACTGCTGGGTTGAGCGTGGTTGACCTTCAATCTGTGTTGACACTAAAGTGACTTGGCAGTACATGGATTGTACTCTCTTGACATGATAGAGTCAAAGAACCAGAGCAAAGAGGCAGCGCTAGCATGCAAGCTCGCGTGGCCGTATACAATAATACAGTACACATTCCACTTTCCAGCGGGGCCAAACTACTACTACGACTACATGACATTTTTTAGTACTACTGTAGAATAGATCTTCTCAACAAAAAATTCTTTTACATCGTAGATGTCTACCGAGTACCGTTGTTACTTCATAGGTCTACGCATGGTCAACAAACTCCTTGCCCTTGTCCTTGAGTCTTGACTTGAGCGTTGAGGCTTGACATTTTGGGCTTTGGGCTTCGCTAGCTTTGCTGACGAATATTCCTTACAAGCGAGTCGCAGATCTACGTATTTAGTTTAGTTTAGGCTTTAGCCTCTGGCCCCAAGCGGCTCATGCGTAGGGCACGTTCCAGCATTGCCGGTGACTGACTCTGTGACAGGCTATTATAAACGACTCCATGCCCATGGTGCACCACGTACCGGTGACAAGGTATGATCTCAGTTTGTGTGGGCGAAAAGTTCATTCAGCGAGCTCAGCATCAGGGATAGCCTGGCCACTGACTGAGCCAAGGCAGTCGACCCTGTAGCGTGTAGGCTGAATGTCCTTCAGTATCTTCTTCACTGCCTTCAGCTCACCAACTTTAGTCTGATCGGTGGAGTAACTCTCGAGCGAAACAAGATACAGAACCCAGTGTATCTACGAGACACATTGGGGAGAAAGCTAGAGGTATCGGTTGACCTGGAAGATAAGTACAGCATCGCTAGTTGTTGGAACCGGCTTTGAGCTTCTCTTCCGGAACGGAGCTAGCCGTGACTAGAAAGTGAAGTCGGCTTCGGCCGGGAGCGTCCAGGCATGGAAACAGTGATTTCGTCCCGGCGTGTTCCAGTGCTCGCCGTTCACCTGCTCCTGGTTGGATTTGTGCTCGTCCCGGCACCGGAATTATTTGTCAGTTCTCAGACGACAGGTGAGGGATCAGCTGAGTATGAGAAGTAACAGTTAGTTAGGACTGCTTACAGTGTTTATGGTGTTTAGTGCTGCTGGCGCTGGTTGCGCACGTGTACGTGTGACGGGTACAGTGTTTATGTGCACAAGTAACGTTTTCACTGTCAGTGGTTTGTGTAGATTGAAGGACTTTAGGTCACGGTCACGGTACATGTACATGACTGTACTAACGATCTTTGCAGAGACTATGCGAGACTATGGAGTATGAGGTGCGATTGGCGCTTCTCTGAGTGTTGAGGACGTAGATCATGATGTAGCTCTGCCTCTCTACAGCTACAAAAACGCTGCACAGATAAAGACAGTCACTGGTATTATGACCACACCTAGCTGCCAAGGATATAATTACATTGACCACATAATACAACCATCATGTGATTGTCACAGGAGTGTTCCTTAGAATTATTATTTAAAAAAAGCTGATTGATCCTATAAAAAAAGCTTACGTGGAGATAATTTAAATTCGATTTGCCAGTAATCCTTCTGAAGAGATGGCCACGAAAATGTTCAAGGAATAATTCCACATGAAAACAAGATTTGCTTATGGTGAGTGCGCAGCTTGCTCTATTTATTGCGTTAAATATTATTTTAGTGGACCATTTGCCTTGTGTTGTAAATGTCAATGCTGCAGCATTGTGTATCTAACTACTTGTGATGCCTGCAGAGTGTAAATGATGCTTCCATCCCGTGCTGTAGAATTATAGAGTATGGGTTCAGTGAAAGGGATTTTCGGTCTTTGCCCACTTTGCTGGTGGACTGATCTACTCACCTCCCACCGCTTTAGGAGCTGCATCTGCGCCTTAGATCTTTGCAGGGTGGCGGCGTTCCTACAGATGCTGAAAACTCAGTCTAACTGAGTCTCAAGCGAACCGTGAATTTTTAATATAATGGAGTACTACGTTTAAAAACTGTCAAGGCCAGTGACCTGTACCGCATCACCACTTCAACAAATACCACAGGGGGTGTTATTTCCAGTCAGCTGACCTTGGATGAGGAGACCACCTGAACACAGCGGCCACATATAAACCCCTTGATAGGCATATTGCCTTCGGGTCATTTCATAATAATAATAATAATAATAATAATAATAATACTGAGGGTCCCTAGCTGGAGAGCGGATCACCTTTCTTAGGCCGGTTTCACTGTACGGGTGCAATCCTGATAATTCGAACCTCAAAATGCCAGGAAAAGACTTCTAATTATCCGGACATTCTAATTATCCAAACATGAACCCACAACACAATATGTATGTCAAAATTCTCTCATGGTCACGCAGAGTTGCGCTATGGACCTTAGACACAGATTTCACGGATACTGAACTGACCGACACAGCCTGCTCATGCAAACTGAACTGACCAGTACAATGTACAGTGAACTTCGAATTACACTTTGCTAACTTCGAATTATCAGCACAAATCCCACACATTTTCTATGTAAGTGGAATCTGTGGGACTTCCAATTGACCGGACATATCCAGTTCGAGGTTCTAATTATCAGATTTTTTTATGTGGCGGTATGTTCGAATTATCAGGATTCCACCACCACTGTAGTACATCTTGTACTAGGTGTTATCTTGCCAGCCCAACTGCCCAATTCAACAAACACTTGTTATGATGGGTCCTTCTGGACTGAACTACTACACTATACTAGTCATAGCAATCAGTTTGCGGAGCGGTAGGTGGGAACCCTGTCTCTCTAATCGGGGTTTGGAAAAAAAGAGAGGTTGAAACATGATGGAAATTAATAAAATAGGTGCGTGACTGTGACGTAGTTTGCTAGTGGCGGGTATGTGAAAAAGGGGACTTTCCCAGAAGGTAATGATTGCCATAGCTATGAAGCCTAATGAAAGTTGTAGAAGATGGCACAGGTATAACTTATTGCACCAGGAGTAGATTAAATTGCATCGGAGTGAGTACATGTACACGTATTTCAGTGTATTATTTTATTTGAATTCGAAAGAACAAACGGGTTGCAAGTACTGTGACATGATAGTAAATGCGAGGAGGGGTATTCGTATGGCAAAGGGGGGGGGGGGGGGAGAGGACGAGACAGAACTGTCCTTCTGTAGGGAGGGTGCCACAGACTGACAATGGTAATGCAGAAATTCAAACAAAACAAAACGAACAGAAAAGAAGAAGAAGAATTCACGGTTCGCGCGAGACTCGGCTAGCGACCGAGCTTTCCGCATCTGTGAGAACGTCGCCATGCTCAAGGATCAAGGCGCAGATGCAGCTCCTAAAGCGGTGGGAGTTGAGTGGATCAGACCCACTACCAATTGGTCAAAGACCAAAATCCCATTCGCTGCCTTGATGCTTCCCTCGTGCCAGGCCACAAGTTCCCAATTAACTGTGGGAATAAAACAGGATAAGAACAAAAAAGCAATAATCATGTGCCTTCATCTATTTGTAAAGGGTTTCACAGCTAATTGTCGATACCGCCTGTACCAGGGAGTAGTAAAAGTATTTTAATACTCCCTGGCCTGTACCACCTAAGGCAGCACTAATTGAGTTCCGCAAATGAGCCAGTGAAACATCAGTACTGTATGCGTATAGAGGTATACACGAATAGAATTCCAGATGGAACTGACCTCAAAATGACCTTGAGGTTGGGGGAGGGGCTGGGGTCCCAAGGGTTTGGATGGATCCCTTTCCTGCCAGGATCATCTTCAAGTCCTTCATTAAGACTTAGTTATAAATATCCCATGAAAAGAGAGAGAGAGAGAGAGAGAGAGAGAAAGAGAAAGAAAGATAGAGACAGACCGAGACAGAGACAGACAGACAAACAGACACACAGACAGACAGACAGACAGAGAGACAGACAGACAAACATACAGACAGACAGCCAGGCAGACAGACAGACAGACAGACAGGCAGAGAGAGAGAGAGAGAGAGAGAGAGAGAGAGAGAGAGAGAGAGAGAGAGAGAGAGAGAGAGAGAGAGAGCGAGAGAGAGAGGGGGGGGGAGAGAGAGAGAGAGAGAGATAGAGAGAGAAAGAGAGAGAAAGAAAGAAAGAGAGAGAGGGAGAGAGAGAGAGGGAGAGGGAGAGAGGGCGGGAGGGAGGGAGAGAGAGAGAGAGAGAGAGAGAGAGAGAATGAAAGAGAATGAAAGAGACCAGAGGGAGAGAGTTCAATCATTGCATGCATTGCTGAGCATATTAACAAAATTACAACGAGCTCATCGTGGCACCAGTAGAATACAGACAATTGAATACACTCTGCACAAGTATAGGATTCCGTGATCGCCGCGTCCAGGGTCCTTCTCAGAAGAGGCTGGAGAGCTGCAGAGAGTCTCCATTGCTTGGAGAGGAGAGTCTCCATTGCTTGGAGAGCTGCAGAGAGTCTCCATTGCTTGGAGAGCTGCAGAGAGTCTCCATTGCTTGGAGAGCTGCAGAGAGCCTCCGTTGCTTGGAGAGCTGCAGAGAGTCTCCATTGCTTGGAGAGCTGCAGAGAGTCTCCATTGCTTGGAGAGCTGCAGAGAGTCTCCATTGCTTGGAGAGCTGCAGAGAGTCTCCATTGCTTGGAGAGCTGCAGAGAGTCTCCATTGCTTGGAGAGCCTGCCCAAGCACTTCTACATAGAGTAACAGAGTCTGAATGTTTCTAGAGAACTCCATGCAAACGCACGCAAACTCGGAGAGGAGAATGTCACAGTCTGTACACCAGTGTACTAGTAATCTAGGAGATGTGTTGTGCTCGATATGTTTTTGTGCCCAACTCAGATGACGATTTTCTCTCATCAGTGTCCTCTAATAATCTTCTACTTGAAGCACAAAGTACTTTGTCTGCTTCCAACTTCACAATTCTCTGTGATCCATTTTTCTAAAATCTATTCCATGCAGAGGTGATGCTGGGTGGATGCAATTCCAGCGTGGTGGTTACAGATGGGCCAACGCAGGGGTCTATACTTGTCACGCCGAGCTACTCCTGCGACCCCGGGGTTCAGATGCTCACATGCAGTATCAGATACATTCTGGAATTTCTGGAAAGTCAGCAAACTCGGCTTCTGAATGTGACGCAGTGCAACCAAGGAACCGTATTGCCGCAAAATATTTCTGGTCTGAACACCCGGTTCCTGTACGACGTATTTGCAGCTGGCACGACTTCAACCAACACACCAGTCACCCTATCGGGTCGGGAGCTGGTATTTCCGGGTGAGAAAGATACCACTTCTCAGCCTGTTTGTTTATTTCTTTAGAACGAGGTCTGTCTCGTTGTCCAGGAGATGACACATCAGTGACGTTCCAGCCAGGGCCTTATCAGAGTTTAAAGCCCGCTCAATCGTAATTTTACTACTCTTTGATGACGCGTCGAGGGCCTTGGATTAGTCTAAAGCCTGCTGGATATGCTCTAAATGGGTGCGTAAAACTTCCTCTACGCATTATAGTGAAGGTGCAGATAATGAACTCTGCATAAAATGTAAGGAGTACTACTAAAAGCTACGCATTTCAGAAGTGTGTACGGTTTTACCTCCCGTACTCTTTCATCTCTCAGTGTAGGGCTTTCCTTTGCCAACAGCTGGTGGAAACCCTACAAAAACCGTAGATCAAAGTCATTATAGGTATCGAAAAGGGGCTCTGGAAGCCCCTAAATTGCTCCACAAGCTATGAACAAGAATGTAGCTCGCAATAAGAGCCCAGCATGTAATTTGCTTCTATTCTCCTTTCCGTAGTCCTCAGTGTCCTGAGTTAGCAGAAGAAAGTATTCTTTCATACCACACTGCCCAATTCTCTCTGCACACAAACCACAAAACTCCCCAATACCCAAGTATAATGCAAGTGAGATCATTTTGAATGCATGTAACCTAGTTCTAAAATAGTTAGTGCATGGCAGGGAGGGCCTTATGGCTTGTTTGTGCTCTTCAGGTTAGCCCTCGGGCCGTAGTCTCTCTGCCAGGTACTAACCTATAATTAAAAGTATCATCCTTCAAAAATGATAAAATGCTCTTCCATTTTGGTGTTGGCGGTTTGCAGGCTGTGGTGAGCTGTTTTCGTGTTCGATGAAAGGGGACAATGCTCAGAACTGCTATACCGAAGCGGAGAGGTGCAGTGGTGGTGCGCCACAGTGCAGTATTGACTACGCGGACGAGCGAGGATGTGGTAAGGCACCCAGCCTGCGGTCTGGCATAGCACAAGCATCCAGTATCAACTATTGGCATGCACCAAACAACACATCCATATGCACTGTACATAGATTATTAATAAAAGGGGGTTTATCAACTGACAACCGCTCTATTTAGTTGCTATTCACACTTTAGATAAAAAAATCTTTTATTAATGATGTCGAAAAAATTATTGACATTTCGGGCCAGTCACCCATCGTCAGAACATAGATTATTGTTGTTATTATTCCTCAATCACAACTACCTAATGCCATTACGCATGTGATGCGGCCCACCAGCCACGGTGGGGAATACTGAGAAAAAGAAGGAGAAGAAAAGAAAAGAAAAGAAAAACGTTTCGCAACAGATCCTTTGAGATTTGGAGTTCTCCAAATCCTTTGCAAAGGAAAAAGGAAAAGCGAGTAGTAAAAGAACCTGGAGAGAGTAGTGGATGCTAGCATAAGAACTTTGTTTGTAAACGCTTGCAATGCTAGTTCCTGCACCAGTACTGTCCACCTCAGGGACACAGGGATATGCTATCCTTACCCCGAGTGCACCCATTCACAGTACACCACTATGCTATCTGAGTTACTTGTAAACAAAATTATGAAAAAACCCATGAACGCATTGCTGGAAGGAATTATTTGCATTGTGATAGTACAGGCTGACTGACCTCTTACTGGGTTGATGACGGGCGTTGAGACAACGCTTCCCTATGGATGTACTTAGGCTATACGTGCAGTATACACATACACGCTACCAACCCTACAGGATTCTAACTAAGTGCACAAGAGCTGTCATGCTTGTGTGTGTGTGTGTGTGTGTGTGTGTGTGCGCGCGCGCGCGCGCGTGCGCGTGCTGAGATTGAACTGAGGCAATCTTAAAGACTGGTGGTGCCCTTTCTTCCTGCCCAGTGCATTCTGGAACCAGTGGCTCATTATCAAATGCTCTGTGTTTTGCGTCCACTTCACCACCACCACCACCGTTGCTCTCTGCGGCCGACCACGTCCATTCCCCACAACAGCAGCAAGAGGCTCGTCCAATTGACCGAAACAGCTGTCAGAAGGAATTTAAAAAATATGCTCAGTACCGAAGGAGCCTCTTGTTGCTGTTGTGGAGAATGAACGTGGTCGGCCGCAGAGCGCAACGTCGGTGGTGGTGAAGTGGACACAGAATTTTCAAGGGCCGAGTGCTGCTGCTTAGTTTCTTGCTGTGTGTTTTGCTTGATCTTCTCAATGGCATTGAGCAGCTGTGCTGACTGTGATCCCGGCAGTGCCATCAAGAGCACCTCTTGGCTCTAGCATCAGACTGTTGTGCAATGCCACTCCAACTACACCGACAACAATTACTCTGGATTGGGCCTTTCAAGACGATGCCAACTTTGCTCAGACATTGCCTGACGTATCGATCAGCAGCCAAAACTACCGGCTACTGAGTGGCGCAAACTATTCTATTTCCGTGCTCGACATCGCAAACTTCACCACAGCCCACCAGGGGATGTACGACTGCCGCTATGGCCAGTTCCAATTACCTGACCAGCCAGGGGTACCATTCGTAGAGCGAGTTTCTGTGACTGTCATCGCTGACGGTGAGTCTGGTTGCCCCTTAACTAAAGCAAGTACACTGTACATGTACCAGGCCATCATTGTTGACTTAAGAAATTAATCACCTTGTGTATGAAGATTCAATGAAGAACTCGTCATCTCCTCGCTAAACTCATTTCATCACTTTTCGGATAATGGTCGAAAAGAGATTCCTTTCATGTGTGGCTTGTATCTAAATCTATATCTGGGTTCCAAATTTGAAATGGTTGTAGTCAGATTTTGAAGGTGAAATTTTGCCTATTGGTGCCCCAAGACCTTTCGATTCCACTGAGCTATAAACTTGGTTTCCTCAAATTTGGCGCTTTGCAGGTTTTGCATCTCAGCTCTTTGTATGTGTGTACAAGTCCAAGTGAAGGGCTCCAATTCAAAACGAGATAAATCCATTTTGCGGAAATTTCAGGAAGTGCATTTTTTCTTTTTTTTCTTTTTCGGTCTGCACTGCAGCATCAGTGACTTTTGTCGCATTTTGCAGAAGAACACAAACTTCAGGCATCATTTTGACTGGGATGTATCGTGTTTTGACCCGTAAAACCGACACACAGGCGTCCGTGGGGTTAAAACGAATTCTTCCGTCACAAAAAGCGCAAAAGCTCCGGTTTGGTCTTTATCGCGTTTTGAATTGGAGCCCTTCAAGTACACATGCGTACAAGTACAAGTACACATGTGTGTGTGTGTGTGTGTGTGTGTGTGTGTGTGTGTGTGTGTTTGTGTGTGTGTGTGTGTGTGTGTTTGTGTGTGTTTGTGTGCGTGTTTATGTGTGTGTGTGTGTTTGTGTGTGTGTGTGTTTGTGTGTGTGTGTGTGTGTGTGTGTGTGTGTGTGTGTGTGTGTGTGTGTGTGTGTGTGTGTGTGTGTGTGTCCCATATGGTGCAGTGGTATGTGCAGTCGATTTCCAATCGAGATGTTGCGGGTTCAATTCCCGACGATTATGGTCGCACACGTCTTTCTTCTCTTTCTCATTCTCCTAGCTCTTCTTTCATTCTCCTGGGTGGTTACCAACAGCCAGTGTATGCCGGAGTATGTGGTGTGGCGTGTGTGTAAAAAAAATGAAAAAATGATAAATGAAAAATAGAGATTCACTGGCCAGAAAAAAAGCCACTTCAATCAGCTGTGTGGTGGATACCAGGCAAAAAAAAGTGGCGGTCAATTCATCAGCCTTGCAAGCTGTTGAATGGTGTAATCCCAGCACAAGTTGCTATGTTTAACATAGCTGTTCGCTATCATCGCTTCCGCGATGGGCATGTCTGAGGTCAGAGGTGTTGCACACGCACGTGCGCGAGTGTGTGTGTGTGTGTGTGTGTGTGTGTGTGTGTGTGCCCATAAGTAGGATCATTTCAAGTCCACCCTAGTTTGGGGATTTCAGGAGTTGTCGGCCGTTGGGTTGTTCAATAGCGAATTGAGTCATCTTTCCAAGATTCCTTTTGAGTCTCTCTCCCCTCTACCGGGGAGACTCAGTGAGCAAGTGCAGCACAGTACAGTGTGTGTGTGTGTGTGTGTGTGTTTGCACGCGCACATGCGTGTAAATGTGTGTATGTATGTGTATGCATGCGCATGTGGTGTTTGTATGTGTGTGCATATACGTGTCCATTCCCATACTGTCGTACAGGAGCACTGTCAATGGCAGGCTGTCAGAGTCCAGCGGATGGATTTCTCTCTGTGTCGCCAGAACAGCTTTTCTACCAGGTCGGTGACACCGTCACCTACACTTGTCCATTCATGCCTTTGTTCGGCTCTGCGGCAAGCCAGTCTCGCTGCCTGGCCACAGGGTTATGGGATCCACAACCTCCAGTTTGTCAAGGTTGGTTTTACGTTATGCAAGAAGGCAGTTGAATTATGTGACAGAACAGTGTCCTCTTTGGTTTTTGCCGTGGACCTGTTCCATGTGCTAAGGGCAAGTTGTGATGCCCACGGCAGGTGTTATCTTGCATGCCATGCCATATGGGTCTCTCACATTCCAGGTCAAAGGTGCTGCACTGGTGCCAGAGATGGCCAGGATACTGGGACTGAAAAATGTGCCCAGCGGGGTCAAATCAGTCTGCTTCACCGAGGACATGGTCAACTACTATACGCTGATTGTAGAATGTAGAATAGCTTGGACCAACGTCAAATTGGACCCTATCACCCCCAGCGCTACCTCCGACATTCTCATATTATTTTTGTCATAAAGCTCCCCCCCCCCCCCCCCCCCTCTCTACCCTGTTGTGTAATCGTAGGTGACATTTACGTTTTGTTGTTCTTTCATATTATTAGTATTTATTATCAGAGTCTAATCAATTCGTTCGTCGTTGTCAACGTGTACACGAGGTACTGCTTGCCTTGAGTCAACAACACGGAATTCACGAGTTACGATTGTGCTTACTACGACGTTGCATGTTGTTTGTACATTTACAATCACGTACATGCAGCTTGGCAAGTTGTGTCACGATGCAATGCACACCAATTTATTTCACTACACGTATTTCTCGTAACACATCAATTCTTACTTCGTAGGTGTTTAGGTCCGGTCTTGCGTGACAGAGGTAGTTACTCTTAGTTAGCTTTCTCCATGATTGATTCTAAGAAACACGGACATTGATTCTAGCTTCGAACTGTTTCTTCTTTGTCTGCCTGTGCATTTTGTTCTCAAACAAATCCTTCGTTCAATGTGTTTATATTTTCGCGCTCTGCAGATTTGTTTGCCTCGCGCTCAGCTTTGTTTCCTTTTCTTTGTCAACTGCATTATTATGACGTATGACTTGTGTACGCACTTATCACGTGACCGTTTGACTGCATGCGCTATGCACGCTCTAGGCTAGTGCATTTGAGCGATCGTAGCGATCCGCTTTCCTTGCCGTTTCGTCTTCTCCGCTTCTTTACTCAGTCGAGTCAGTGTCGCTGCACTAGTTTGTTTTGCAGTTTATCCACGTCGCAGTCGTTCATGGTCGCCATCTTTACATTTGATTTTGATGCGCAGCTGCATGCTGATGCAGCTGCCTTTTTCATTCTTTCGATGATCTTCTTTCCAATTTTATACTGAATCTACTGTATGTATTCTCTCACCCAAGTTTGCAACGGTTGTCGGTTGTAGCATGCCAAGGGTTGGATGCAGGGGTGGTTAATTAAGCTAGTAGTAGTAGTAACAATTCAGTAACAAGTGGTACCGAAACCCGATCGAACAGAGCCTCAGGACCGGTCGAGTGCTCGTGTAGAACTGCAGGAGGCAGTCGAGTGAATTTTAAGTATTTGTGGTGTTGGTTTGAGCTACACCAGTGCAGTGGCAGTGTAACCATGGCATCCATCAAAATGGATGGTTACTTGAGAGCGTTCAAAGGAAAAGGCGAAGACTTCCAGTTGTTTTGGAGGAAGTTTTTGGTTCTGTGCCGATTACAGAAACTGTCGACGGAAACCGACCGCATGGCATCGTTGCCATTGTTTTTGGATGGTGATGCCTTCCACCTGTTTGAGCAGTTGTCTGATACTGACAAGGCCAGTGAATCAGCAGTAAAGAAGGCCCTGGAGTCTGCTTACACCATGACCCCGGCGGATGCGTTCCGACAATTTAAAGCGCGGACGCTCCGGGACGATGAGCCCGTGGATACCTACGTCACCGACCTGAAGCGCTTATTGGCGCTGTCCGGTCACACATGTGCCGATGACAAGGATATGGTGTTGCTCGAGCAATTGTTGGATGGCCTGTCCTTGGACTATGGACGGCAGGTGCGCATGGCGAGCACGGAGTCAGACCTGACTGTCACTAAGTGCGTCGCCAAAGTCCGTGCTCTGCGATCTACGGACGACTCCTGCCGCAAGCGTGCCAGTGTATCGGGAGCTGTTGCCGCTGCTGCTCCGGAACTTCGCCAGTCCAGTGTGTTGTGCTTCAACTGCAATGAGGTGGGGCACGTCCAGCGCAACTGTCCACATCGCCTACTCCCCCAGCTCCAGTGAAGCTGGTAATTTTTCACATACAAATGGCATAGGAATAAAAATGAACTCAAGTTCGGGTGCGTTTGGGTGTTTGCCACAGCCGAATGAGCATGGTACAACGATATAATTATATTATGTGATTGGCGTGGTGCAGGGAGTCCGCTTGACCTATTGAGCAGTAAGCTGTGGTATGGTGGAGCTGAAGTCTTCAGGCGCAGCGTGCCTTTGGCGGGAAGCTTATTATTGTGTTTCTGCCCAAACGCAAACGTGGGCACACAACAACACACACGGACTTGAGTTTACTTGGTGTCGAACTGACTTACAACAAAAACAAGAAATCGATTTAATGTTTTATAACTGCATAACATAAACATACACAACGGCTACGCAGCCTGCCAGGCGTGACCTACGTGTAATCAAAATGTGCACTACACAGCACACATTACTGGGTCTGTAGAGTGCATACACCGCACTTGTACTGGGCTTGGCTCTTGTGCGGGCTAGCTTCCCCAAAACATAGCGACAGAGCTGCTCTCCGCATAATTTGGTTCAGGAGTCGGCAGTGATAACGTTACATTGCCAACTCCTTACGTTGTTTCAAGTGCCACACAAGGAGAGGCACGCTCTTGCTGACTTAAAAAGTTGTCTCTCCTTTAGACTACTGTGACGCAGCGTTGTGCAGCCTGTCCAAGGCACTTCTTTAAGTTCTGGAAGTCCATCAGCGCCTGCTGTTAAATATCCTATTTCGAAAGGATCAAACCTTTTCATCTCAACCCCTTTATAGCCTTGCATCTTCCTCTCCTCTCGTAAAGTGACACAAACAACATCTCTGCATACTTGTACATACGATATTACCTGGCCAGGTTCCACAGCTCCTTGCTTTGTATATCTGGTTTGCTCCCACTAGATCCACCCACAATGCTGTGTCATTGCCTCGTGTTTAAAATTCCTCTCTATACTTGAAATTCCCTATGTTCACTGCATACTCGCTATGGTCTGGCCTGCCCTTGGGCCTTCCGACATGCACCAGAATCAAGGAATTCAAATTTGCGCTCTCTCTCCGCGTGTAACTCACTGATCTTCTTTTTTTCTCTTTTCTCTCACATTTTTAAAATGTAGGTTTTAGTTAAAGGGGAAGTTAAGGCAAAAATCAAAATTTCACCAGTTGTAGTCTTCGGGGTGCTGAGTCGAATGGTCTTGGTCCGAGGAAGCTGAGACGCTCCCTTCTTACTTGAATCCCAATCGAAAAGGCTGCGATGCAGCGTTCCTCCTTTATTCCCAATCGAACATGGTTGAACAAGCGGTCACGTGCTCCTGGGTGCCCAAATCACCTGGTCACCACGCCAGCAGGCGACAACTTTCACACCAAGGTTCAACTCGAGTGACAGGACTGCACCCAAAAAAGGTCAAACAGGCTAGTAAGTTGTACCCTGCAGGCACGGTGACCAGGTGACTGGTGTACGCAGGGGCACGTGACCGCTTGTTCAACCATGTTCGATTGGGAATAAAGGAGGAACGCTGCATCGCAGCCTTTTCGGACCAAAACCAGTCGACTCAGCGTCCAAAAGACTACAACATATGGGCCAATCGCGGTCATCCATGCTTTTATAAGAACGAAATGGCGCTTTTAGTGACATTTTGCATATAAATCCCCATCTAGTAGGGCGCAGTCACCCAGTTTCGGTGGAAGTGCGCGAGTTCGATTGGGATTCAAGTAGGAAGGGAGCGTCTCAGCTTTCTCGGACCAAGACCATTCGACTCAGCACCCCGAAGACTACAACTGGTGAAATTTTGATTTTTGCCTTAACTTCCCCTTTAACCGTGGTTCGTCACGACCCTTCATCTCATTCTCACTATTGGCAGTCTTACAGTGAGCCAGGAGATCTTGTATATTAAAATAGATAAATTGTATTGTATAAATAGATATTAAAATAAATAACGTGTGTCGAGCCTCAAGTTTGGGTGTATTAGTGAGTAAGTTATTGACAGCTGGCAACTCAAGGGTGTAGTCATCACGTCAGGACTACCGTGATGAGTGACATCTGCCACCAGATGTAAGCCATACCAAACATATCGGGGAACCCAGCTTTTGACTTGCTGGTAGCTCAGGACTTAGTCGCTTTCATCGGATAAGTCAGACTCAGCACATGACAACTTAATCTATGAAAACAATTTTCAATTTTGTTTTCCATTAAGCAACAGACAGAAATGATTGCATAAGATATGTGGCATGATACCATGCTGCTGGGTCATTTTCGTGTTGTCTATTGTCACTTGTGTCTATTGTCACTTGTGTCTATTGTCACTTGTGTCTATTGTCACTTGTGACTATTGTCACTTGTGACTATTGCCACTTGTGACTATTGTCACTCGTGTCTATTGTCACTCGTGTCTATTGTCACTCGTGTCTATTGTCACTCGTGTCTATTGTCACTCGTGTCTATTGTCACTTGTGTCTATTGTCACTCGTGTTTATTGTCAGTGATTTGTCACTCGTGTCTATTGTCAGTGATTTGTCACTCGTGTCTATTGTCACTTGTGTCTATTGTCACTTGTGTCTATTGTCTGATGTGTTTTGACTTTTGCTTTAGAACTGCCACACCTGGGCATTCAGACAGTCTCTTTCGTCACGTCGGCGGGTATCAGATTCCGCTGCCAGCTCGCCAGGTCTACCGGATTTTCTCAAGTTTTGTCAGCTGTAATATTGAACTCTACTGACCATGCAGTTGTACAACTCCCAGTTGCCTTGCCGCAACGAAGAAGACGAAATATAGGCCCAGTGGCGAATGTTGGGGAGTCGTTCTTTGGTACTGCAATTGCTCGGAACAGTGACAGTTATCGGTGCCAATTGAACGTCGCTCGCATGGCTACGAATGGTCAGCAGCAGGAACTGGCAACGTATGCAGTTACGTCTCTTCCTGTGGCAGTTACTGTTCGTGATTTATGTAAGCACATCGGAATCCAGTGACACCCTCCCCTGCCCCCTCCCCTGCCCCCCTCCCCTGCCCCCTCCCCTTCCCCCCTCCCCGCCCCTCCCATAGACGCCTGTGCCATCGACCCCACTGGCCGACATGACCATGTGACTAGAATCCTTTGGTCTCGCTTTTCTATAATATGCATTATACCATGCAACGGCGAAAATGGAAAGTACCTCTCTAAGTTATCATGGCCCTTGTAGGCTAGCTGTACTGAAATTTCTTTATACTACACCCCATTACATGTGTTCGGAGGGTGCCGGTTCCTTTACCCCCAGACAGTGTCACCCCCCCCCCCCCCTGGAGGGTGTCCCCTTTCCCCAGGACAGTGTCACCTTTACCCCCCAAGGGTGTCCCCCTTTCCCCAGGACGGTGTCACCTCCCCCCCCCCCCCCCCCCCCCCGATGGTGTCCCTTTCCCCAGGACAGTGTCACCTTAGGCCTTCAAGTATCTCTGGCTGGCATCCCTTTATCTCTGGCTGGCATCCCTTTATCTCTGGAGGTTGTCCCTTTATCCCTGGTGGGTGTCACTTTACCCCTGGATGGCATTCCTGTACCACTGGATGGTGTCCATTTACTCCAGCTGGGTGTCCCTTTACCCCAGGTGGGTGTCCCTTTACCCCAGGAGGGTGTCCCTTTACCCCAGAAGGGTGTCCCTTTGCCCCAGGAGGGTGTCCCTTTACCCCAGGTGGGTGTCCCTTTACCCCAGCTGGGTGTCCCTTTACTCCAGCTGGGTGTCCCTTTACCCCAGCTGGGTGTCCCTTTACCCCAGGAGGGTGTCCCTTTACTCCAGCTGGGTGTCCATTTACCCCAGGAGGGTGTCCCTTTACCCCAGCTGGGTGTCCCTTTACTGCAGCTGGGTGTCCCTTTACCCCAGGAGGGTGTCCCTTTACCCCAGGTGGGTGTCCTTTTACCCCAGGTGGGTGTCCCTTTACCCCAGGAGAGTGTCCCTTTACTCCAGCTGGGTGTCCCTTTACCCCAGGAGGGTGTCCCTTTACCCCAGGAGGGTGTCCCTTTACCCCAGGAGGGTGTCCCTTTACCCCAGGAGGGTGTTCATTTACCCCAGCTGGGTGTCCCTTTATCCCAGGAGTGTGTATATTTACCCCTGGGTGGTGTTTCATTACGTTACCCCAGGAGGGCTTCTTTTTTTTGCCAGGACGATGTCCCTTTACCCCAGGACGGTTTCCCTTCACCTCAGGAGGGTGCTCTATCAGTGTAGGAGATTATTCCGCCCTCGCACTCTCCTTTTCTCAGAGCCCTGCAATTCATACTGCTCTGGTTTGCTTCTACATTATAGTATTGTGCGGCCATCCTTGATGGAGGCTGCCATGGCATGAGAAACTACTTCTTGTGAAGTGGACGCAGGCTGTCGCTTTTTAAGCGGAACAGACCCACTTTGGATAAACGTGTACACATCTTATAATGGGAAACAATGACTTTGTTAAGAACTCGGACAATGACAATGACTTTGTTAAGAGCTCAGACAATGACTATGACTTTGTTGTTTACATTATCTATGGCTACCATTTTGGCATGATGATAGGGTTAGACAGCCTGTAGACGAGTTTCCTGCTCCGTGCAGAGAGCTCAGAAAAGCCAGAACGGATACTAGTAGTGGTCCAGAGGGACTGATGAGATGTTGGACATTCTCTTTTTGCATTTTCCTTCCTGTCCTCCTGGTTCACAGCCGTAACGGCAAGCATACGGCCAGCCATCATCCTGCCATCCAACAATGCCACACTAGTTTGCGATGTTGGCGACTTGAGAGCGGTGGATTCCGTAGATGTGGAGGGCGACTCGAGCCCGATGGGAACAGTTTACGCGGCCAACACAACTGACAATATCGGCGAGCTTGGAATAGCAAGAGTGGGTCTGTTCTTTGGTGCTACCACCACAGCAAGTAGTGTGCTGCTTCCACTGGTGAATGTCAGCATGGATCAGAATGTCACCTGCTCCGTGCGCTGGATAGGCCTGCGAGCGGCAATGAGACAGACGGCTGCACTGTATGTAGCTCGAGGTACGTACGTGTATATTCTCTTTGGGCCCATTTTTTTTGTCAATTGTCCATTGGGTAGAGGAGGGTCAGAGGTCTGCTGTAGACTGGTTTGAATTCACAACTGCAAACTGCTTGATCTTTTCAGTTGTGTTCCCCGTATATGCCTCCCCCCCCCCCCTCCTGTCCCCTCATACACACACACGCACACCCACACACCCACCCACACACACACACACACACACACGCACACACGCACGCACGCACGCACGCGCACACACGCGCACACATGCACCAACACACACACACACACACTACTACTATGATACAGCTACCCTAAACGGGTCACGCCGCCCTCCACCCAAGCATGAGCACTATGAGGGGCAGTGGCAAATAAATAAATAGAATCAGCTAGCAGAACTGGCAAAACAGATGAAGCAATGGAGCAGAACGGACGACTGCTGTAATGTAACAACAACCTGACAGCTACAGTGACAACGACTGAAAATGAACAGGAAGGAAAAAAAATTCAAAATTTCACGTCACGAAAAAACACTGTCCACGAAAGAATCCACCAAGCAAAAGGAGTGTGGGCATCCGAAATCCCACCAGGACTCCACTAGCAGTTCTTCCACGTTGACGATGTAAGCGGCAGGGCAAGGCCTCACAAATCCGACAGACTTCCACAACGCTTGACCAGTGCACTCATGACGACGAAAGATTGAAGTTTCAATTCCCACTATTCCGCCATTGGGACCTTTCTCTCCGCACTCGCTCGTCCACTCCACTGAAAACAACGAGTTGTTCCAGCACTCCACTAGCCAATCCGCAATTCCCACCACTGCATTCTTCGAGCTTGGATTCTTCACAGCACTCGAGGGACAGCTACTCCACTGCGAGTGGTGGACCACGGCCGACGCAGCAGTGACAATATCAAAGTAAATTGTCCTGCAAGCTACATCGCGATTCCGCGCTCCAATCATGCAGCACTACCTTGGCAGTGTGCGAGGGTGCTCCAGGGTCGACTCTGGCTACGCCAGAGTCGCCCTGGGCAGGCAGAAAACTTGGGAGAAAGCCAAGAACACGGAGCTCAGAAAGTGTAACCTGCTACACACCACACACACACACACACACACACACACACACACATACACACACGCACATACACACACACACACACATACACACAAATCCCAAATCTCGATCTAAAACTACTTTTTTGAGAGGAGCCGGGAACGACACGGAGTATTGCACGGAATTTTTTAGTGATTCTATTTTCAATTCCCAGTTTACAATAGTGAAAGTATGGTGATGACCTGTAGTTGACTAGTTGTTTGAACTGTGCTCCGCTGTGCTCTAAAAACTGAGTTATGTAACTTATGTTGGTTTCTTTTGCCATTGTTTCGACTTGATACAGAGCCAGAAGGTGAAGTTAACTCTGTCAGTCCTGTGAGAGGCCTGGGACGGAGTGCTTTCAACGTAACATTCTCTGTCCTTGACGGTGGATTGCCGTTGCTGACAAGTTGTCAGCTAATGCTGTCCGTGGGCACGAAGAACGTTTTCGAGACGCTGCCGTGTCCGACAGTGGGGAAAAGTGTCAGCTACGTAACGACGTCGGCGCTAGGGGAAAACACGGTCTACATGGTCAGAGTCAACTTGATGAATGGCTTTGTAACAGGAGGGATCACTTTCCCGTCTGGTGTCTCCACAGGTGAGGATGATATGGCTCTCAACAGAGTAAATTGTAGTGCTTGATATGCTTGAGTGCCCGGCACCCGAGGAGTATGTATAAAAAGTTCTGGATGATGCGTAACGTGCTACTGGATGATATAATTGTAGCGGATTCTTTCGTTCAAGCTTGACCTGCATGTCATTGCGCTGTCGACACTGACCACTAGCCACTTGCCACTTGCCACTGGGCAGCAGGTAGTACACCACGTGTTTTGGTCCTGGAGGCTATGACCGTGCCGGTCTAGAAGAATTTCTCTGGACTTGAGTCACACAGTTACAGCTGGTCGGTTCCTTGATGTCGGCAATGGGGTTCACACATACATGTATACTGTAGCTACCCAAGTGACTTCTTTTAGCCAAATACTATCTACTCGTAGTATGATCATACTAGCATGTGGGAAACCATGACTTGGGAATATCAGCTGGACACAGGAAGTTAGAACCAGAAGAAAATGGTTTTGTTGAGGTGAACAACATCTTCTGTTTTCTAGCTAGGCTTTTCTGGTCATCTTCTCTCACTCCCCCCCCCCCCCCCCTCTCTCTCTACTCCGTCCTTTGCCAATGCACATTTCCTCTCCCTCTTGCTGACCGACTGTATGCAGAATGCCGCTTTGCAGAATGCAGCACGGCTCCAGCTGGACGTGTGTGTTATGATCAAGGTCAAATCTGTGACGGAATCAACGACTGTGCGAGGTATCCTTACGATGACGAAAGCAATTGCGGTAAGCACGGGAACGGGTACACGATGCTGGAGCATGGCAAGGATGCCGCCGTATCAGCAGATTCCATGAAACTCCATTATTACATTCTTCTTTCAACCCAATCTCTTTCAAACATATTACGTACCTTGAATGGTTTGAAATAGACAGAATGGTTTGAAATAGACACGGCATTTTCCACGGAGTATTTACTGTAAACCGCGCCAATAATTGCATCGGAAGATTTTCACGATTTGTCAGAACCAGCTAGTTTCCGATGGCATGTGTTTGCGGAGCACTGTGGTAGCACTCATGCACTCAGTGCTCAGTTTTTTTAAATTTGGGCTGGTGAATATTCACGTTGTGCTCTTCTCGCAGAAATCGCGAAAAATTTCCCGTTTTACAGTATCTAGTGATGCTTGAGCTGCTTTCTGCCGTTTCCCGCTTGTTGTACTTTCTACAGGTTATCTGGTTACCCCGGTTCAGCAGATAACCACTGCAGAGAACTCTACAGCTGTTATTCCGTGTACCTTTGTGACAAGTCGGGTCTCGGGCAGCTTGCCGTCTGCGAATATTGCCAGCAGTGCATTTGCACCGCAGTGGTACCGGCCCGAAGTAGAGGACGAGTTTCCTTTTAGCGACGACGGCGTTGTTGGCGGCTGCCCGTTCTCTTTGATCGGCCCCACCTCGCAGAGGCTGGCTAATGGCTCTTACATGCTGACCACCAGTATATCGTTTGTCCCGTCGCAATGCCCCGGTAACACGCCAGTAGCCTGCAGGGCGCTGTCGACCACATCTCTCGGCGAGGTGTACCGGCAACTCTTGCGGGTTGTACTTCTCTCTGGTAGGTACTGGTACTGCCACTATCTAATCCTCTGTACTTCCTAATCCACTGTACTGTCTAATCCACTGTACTACCTGATCCAGTGTACTTCCTAATCCAGTGTAGTACATGTATCTGCCATCGAATGCATCTCCCTTGTGTGTCTTTTCAAGTGTGCATTCTGTTTGTGGAACATATTTGTGGAGACGACAATGAGCTGGTCTGAAACGTCTGCTTCATGCCTGCTATATCTGTCAAACTGTGGGCACTGCTTCGCCTAATCTCTGTCGCTATCATATCACCGAGATTCACTTTACCAGAAAACACTGATGACACCCGCTGTAGATTTGTCTACCCGTGAAGCAACTTAGACCCGTGCTGAGCCACTATACTGCGTTGAACCTATGCATGCTCTGATGATGCCTACAGAACATGCCAATGCAGGCCATTCCAGTGTACAGAACTGTGCTATCCAGTACAGCTAGCCTGGCCTTTCACTCGTGATTGCGCTGTTCTTGTGCACAGTTGTGTTGCATTGATTGCATTGATCCAATTCCTGTCCCCTGCTGTGAAACCAGCTGGAAAGTGACATAGCAAGGGGATCAACAGCGCTTTTAAACAGTAACCTCATCCACATTGTGTCCTTGCGTGCTTTCTACGCGCAGGTGATACCTGTCCAGAATCTCTTATACCAACGCCGGTGAATGGTGAGAAGCTGCCGTTACAACTGCCAGACTATGCCGAGTCCACTACGGCCACCTTTTCCTGTGATCCAGGCTTCATACTACTGGGATCTGATGTCTTGACGTGTCTCAATACGTCGCTCTGGTCTGACGCCGTGCCCAGCTGTGAATGTAAGGCTTGCTGCTGCTGTGTATTCGGTGCTTCTGGGAAGTTGATGCCCACGTTCTACACATCGAGTAGACTTTTAAACAGTGCAGTTGCCTGCGTGAGCGAAATCAGCAGGCTTAACAAAATGTAGACGCGAGTGAGCTTGATCACTGATGCAGTCCTGTGAGGTATATGGTACTACCTATAAGAGCTGTCGAGTTAGCAGCTGAACTAGAAAGAAAAGTCTGCAAGAGCATTGTCATCTCAATTACGGTAGGGTTACCTATCTTCCATCGCACTATCAACAACGCATGTTTAAACCCGGCTCAAAGCATGAACGTCAGAGTGCTCTAACTGCGATAAATACAGCAAGCTGTGCACGGGGGCAGATAACTAAACCAAAGCTAAAAGCTGCATGTGTAGGGATACACAATCTGCGGACAGAACTGTTTTTTTGTCCTTTGTGGACTCATCAGCAGAGCACAGAGAAAATGAGGCCGAACCTGATAGCATTGAAAAATAATATTTCCAAAACCGGATTTAAACCAGGTATACAGGTACCCAGTTAGCCAATATTTAAATCCAGTGCACGATGGTAATGTTTGTGGATGTGTGGAACCAGTAATAGTGTAATAATCATGGCTTAAAAAGTACTCCTCGGTCTCCAGAACATCTTTCATGAAAGGCAGAAATTTTTTGTTGGCACTTTGCACAATTCTAGGAGTACAAGTGCATGAGATACTCATGTGTATGTGTGCATGTGTGTGTGTGTGTGTGTGTTTGTGTGTGTGTGTGTGTGTGTGTGTGTGTGTGTGTGTGTGTGTGTGTGTGTGTGTGTGTGTGTGTGCGTGCGTGTGTGCGTGTGTGTGTGCGTGTGTGTGTGTGTGTGTGTGTGAGTGTGTGTGAGTGTGTATATGTGTGTGTGTGTGTCTGTCTGTCTGTCTGTCTGTCTGTCTGTCTGTCTGTCTGTCTGTCTGTCTGTCTGTCTGTCTGTCTGTCTGTCTGTCTGTCTGTCTGTCTGTCTGTCTGTCTGGTGTGATGTGTGTGTTTGTGTGTGTGTGTCTGTCTGTGTGGTGTGTGTGTGTGTGTGTGTGTGTGTGTGTGTGTCTGTCCACCTCCACTTACAGTCGATCAACAGTTACAACCGGTGCCAACTGTGCCACAGGTGGTCGCCTTAGCTTCAGCAAACTTTACTATGTCCTTCACTGTTCTTCGTGAGAGTGCTTTCCCCGTCGACAGGAGTTCAATAAGCCTCTACCTTACTGACAGTAGTAACATGCAGCGGCTAGTGAACCAATCTCGCTACATCGTCGGTGATGGATTTGTGACAGTTGATGACCTCATTGTGTATAACATCACGCTGCTGAATGTTCAAGTGGCAGATGTCGGGCTGTACTCTGTTTCCTTGTTACGGCGCGGTATAGAACCGACTGTCTCCAGTGCGTTGGCCTCCCTGCAGAGAGTCATAGGTATGTTGTGTTTTATCTCTTGCTTTCGCCTCAGCACGCATTCGGTTTTCAGTGTTCTAGGATATCTGTGTTCCTGCTTTCCTGCACACGTTTCTATGTGTGTATGTGTGTATGTGGGGGGGGAATTGTTGCACCTGCCACCTTTTGTCAGTTTCAGGATCCAAACACTTTCTATTTGTGTGTGTGTGTGTGTGTGTGTGTGTGTGTGTGTGTGTGTGTGTGTAGGCTAAAAATAGTGGCGGTCAATTCATCAGCCTTGCAAGCTGTTGAATGGTGTAATCCCAGCACAACTTGCTATGTCTAACATAGCTGTTCGCTATCATCGCTTCCGCGATGGGCAGGTCTGAGGTCTGAGGTGTGTGCATGTGTGTGTGTGTGTGTGTGTGTGTGCTTGTGTGTGCTTGTGTGTGTTTGTCTGGGTATGCTGTTAACCCTTTGAAGAAGGCAAAAGTCTAATGTTGATCATGCATGTAAAACCTGGCTGATGCTCTCTCCGGACGAGGTAAAATAATCTTATGGTAGTATTTTTGTTAGCCAAGATACGTTCTGCTTGACTGTGCTAATGGTGGTTTAGGTTGCGATCCACTGGTTGAAATCGAAGTGACCAACGGTTGCGCCGCTGACCAGGACTCAGATCAAATCCCGGATGATATGGTAAGAGTGTGAGGGTATACCGGATGATAATTATGGTAAGAGCGTTAGGGCTTATGGTGATGTGTTGGTGTTGGTGATGTTGGTGGTGGCGTTGGTAATGTTTGTGGTGGTGGTGGCATTGTTGGTGGTGGCGGTGGCGGTGGCGGTGGCGGTGGCGGTGGCGGTGGCGGTGGCGGAAACAGTGATGGTGATGATATTCAGATATTGATGGACCACAGTGTGATAGGCATGAGCCCAGTTTGTGAGGGGAACTCTCAAATCATTAGGGGTGCTTTCTACAATACATAGCTCTTTTGAAATCACCGTCTCATGACGTCATGACATCATCTTCCTGTTATTGTTTCCAATCTCAGGATCCGTGTCCACTTGACCGTACAAACACTTGCGCTAGTGGTAAGCTGGACAATCAATTGCATGGTTGCTGGGCACAATCTCTTTAAGCAATTATATACTGCGTACATTGGTGTGCATGCGCGTTTTCATCTGTGTGTGTGTGTGTGTGTGTATGTGTGTCCGTCTGTCTGTCTGTCTGTGTACATGTGTAAACTTGACTGGGATTGGAATATACACTCTTACCTTACGAGTCTTACCAACTGTATCTATTATTTTCCCGCAAGTCAACGTGATTGCAACGGCGGTATTTCTGGCAGGGGATGCTATTGAGACACGCACGATCAATCCTGTACCCGGCAGCTGCCGCACTGCATGGTTCTCTGTCGGAATTTCTGAAATTCTGTTGCTAAGTACTTGAAATTCCAGATGTCTAGGTGAGATAGTCTTAGAGTAAGACCATGAGTGAGAAACAGAGGGTACCAAGTTCAATACCTGCTTTGTAGGGACAGATTGTTCTGACCATGTAGCCTACAGTTAATTGGGTATATGTGACACTGACCTGGCATGAGGGTACTGTTGATACACATAAGAAATACGTAGAGAGGGAAATTCAATTGGAATTTGTCTTAACTTTTAAGTACCTGATGGTTGCCTCAGAGTGAAACTTTAAAAAGAGTGAAACTTTAAAAAGTTTCACTCTGAGGCAACCATCAGGCCGTATGTGAAAAAGCTCTACACTATGTGCTCCGTGCGCTTTGCATTCAGCACTTTTCCGGCAGTTTGCCAAAAGCTTCCTTTGTAACATTGGTATGCAGCTAACAGGATTTTTGGCCACTTGTGTGGGTCAGCTCAACCTTACATTCACTGCTGGAGGAGCTGTAGCGTTGTAGCGCTTTTGCAGATGCAGATAAGCTAGTCTGACTGACCCTCGTTGTAGTTGTGATACTTTCACTGATCCGGCTCAGCTTTTCCCCGGAGAACCCAGGTCGATCTGTATTTTTTATGGTGTCTTCCTGTATGTGCAACCACTGCTGCCTGTGACTCTGACAGACGTTGACTGTCCACGGGATGTTGACTCGGTCTGGGCTTTGACATGGACACCAGTGGCAGCTGGAGCTATTGCACAGCAGCCGTGCCCTGCTAACAGTCAAGGTAGGATTGTGACTTAACTGTTCATTGGTCTTTGTCAGTCTGTGAGCTGGTTGCGCTGCCTAGTGTATATTTGAATGGTCTCTATTGGATTCGGTGAGAGTTCTGTCAACTGCTGTGCATTTCATTGCTGACGTTCTGGTTTGGTTTGCATTGAAGCAGGCTTTGGAATGGTGCTCTTGTCTGGTTTTCATTGAAACAGGCATTGGAATGGCCACCCGAACATGTTCTCTATCCGGAGTATGGGATGCTGCTAATGTCACTCAGTGCGGTTCAGTTGCTCTACTGGAGCTTACTGCCTTGGTAGGTCACAGTGTTACGAAATTCGATTCGCTTATTATTTACATCCGTTGTTGTTCCTGGTCTCGCTGTCTTGTCTTGTCCGGTGTCAAATATGGTCTGCTGTCTGTACGGGAGTGATGCGGGGTGTGCAGTATATGGGTGTGATGCGTATGACGTGGTGTATGTGGTGTATGCGTTGTCAGAGAGTGTGGATCTGCTTCTGCCTGAGTGAGTGCGTTTGTCTACGAGTTGTCGCGCATGCGTGGATTTTCCTTGCCGCTATGAATGCTTAGCCCAAGTCCCCGCATTCATGTGAGCACCTACATGTATATGTATGACCGCACATCCACACGCCGGTGTGGGCCCCTATGCCTTACGCATGCACACCGACCCACACCAGCATGCCCACATACTTGAGCACACCTGCACAAGCGTACAATTGAAAAATTGAGTTTGGGGTTGGTGTGAGAGTACAGCTCCACAAAAGCAGCAGCCCACCAAGGGCTAAATTGTGCCACTCACCGAAGGCAAAATCCTGCTGCCCTCTGGGGCTAAGCCACCCTGCCCACCGAGGGTTTAGCCACGCAACCCACCGAGGACACAATCATCTTGCCCATTGTAGGCTGACAGCATACTTTCCACCGAGGGCAAAAATTGCCCAATAGCATGACTTTGCTGCACAAAATCCGCATTTTCTTGTGCTGTTCTGCGCAAGCTGTATCCCCCATTGTCTGATGCAGATTGTGTAGTGATGATGGTCTCCTGCACAAGTTTACACCTTGGCAAAACCAGACTGATGTTCCACAGTAATTACTTCTGCCACGGAAAGTTGTTGTTGTTTGTAGATATGCTGTAAGTGACGTCCTGTGGCCTTCCAACTGCAGATTGCCACAACAGCGAATACTCCTCAAGAACTACCAACGGCAGAGGAGACCGTCAGTCAGTTGAGCAATTTAAGTGCCCAGGCCCTGTTTCCTCAAGATGTGACGGCCGCTCTGAGTGCTCTTCAAATCTTGCTCAACCAAGCACAGGGCCGGCAGACTCTGGGAGTGAATGCTACTTCGGACGTGTTTCGGCAGGTACGGTTCATCAAAAAATTATTACTATATTTGCAAGAAGAGAGAAAGAGAGAGAGGGAGAGAGTAAGAAGTCAAAAAGAAAAGGAAAAGAAGAAAGAAGCAAATATGGACTGAAATTGTGGTCTACTGGTAAAGCAAGGCGTTCCTGAATGCTGTTAAAGTAGAAAGGCCCTTTGTCTCCTGGTGCAGCTTAAGCCAATGCAAATAGCCATTTAAAAGGGGGGGGGGGGGTGTAGCAATGCAGAAGAGCGGGCTAGAGGAAGGGAGAGTTGATTCCTAGTGGAGTTATCCCGTCGGAACCAGTCAAATGGTTTAAGATGCGGGGGTATTTTGGAAAGTCGAATACGATGGATAAGACAGCACATCATGATTCTTCGTCTTTCTAGGAGAGGTCTGGCCGAGGATAACATATAGAGAGCGACACTAGAAAGGGACTTGGGCATATGATAAAGAATCTTAAGGAGAAATGAACATAGTGCATGGGATGCAACCAGTTTCTGCCACGTTTCAGGTGGAGGGTCTGCTCTTCCTTTACATGTTTGCTAATGCCCAGGGATTTGTGGAGACTGCGAGTAACCTTGTGGACAGTATCAACACAAGAGCCTGGACAAGCTTGGAGGTAAGTTCTCAGTATTGCTGCCTTGCAAAACGTTAGCCAGGGCACACTTTGGCAGCACTGGTGCGATATTTCCTCTGCTTGTACGAGTTACTAACCCTCCCGAATGGTATTCCATGGAAGCATGAAACCGAAGTACATCAGGTGCTCTATCCGCATACATTTGTGATGCCTTTCTTCTGCGCGTTTGCTTCTTCAGTCAGCCAGTCCGGACTTGGAAAGTCAAGACCTGCTGGCTGTGATTGAAGATTTCACCGAGTTTGAGTCCGGCCTCCAACAGGGTAATGTCAGCGAGGAGGTCCGCACCAACACATCATCAGCAAATTTATGTAAGCACTCGCTTGATGTCATCATGATATACTCTCGCCCTGTGTCCGCCTTAGCTCGTTTCGGTCATTCCTGCGTTTCTTAGTTGTCTCATAACGTTATATCAGCATGCAATGGCTGGACTCATTCCTCTCAGATACTGTAAGAGTTGAAAGTGTCGCAAGTCTAAAGTAAAAGTTACAACAGTAGACTCTGTGCCCCGTTAGAGATGCAACTCTCACAGTTACACTGGGCTAGTGTAATCTGTTCTATGCAGTGGTGTGGTGGAAATCATTTCGGATAAGTTTTGATAAGCAGGCAACCGTGTGAGGGTGCTTGATGAGTATGCTGGCTAGCCATGCAAATAGACTGAGACCCATCAGTGTGATGTAGATATGATGAGTATGCTGGCTAGCCATGCAAATAGACTGAGACCCATCAGTGTGATGTAGATATGATGAGTATGCTGGCTAGCCATGCAAATAGACTGAGACCCATCAGTGTGATGTAGATATGATGAGTATGCTGGCTAGCCGTGCAAATAGACTGGAACCCATCAGTGTGATGTAGATATGATGAGTATGCTGGCTAGCCATGCAAATAGACTGAGACCCATCAGTGTGATGTAGATATGATGAGTATGCTGGCTAGCCGTGCAAATAGACTGAGACCCATCAGTGTGATGTAGATAACTTACAGTTTCTCTTCCATGCTTTTCCTACTGCAGTTCTTCTCTTTGTCACACTGCCAAGACCTCAAGCATCACAAATAGTACTCTTCTCAGCCGAGGACAATACGTCGGAAACTGTCAACCTGCCCGCTGAGGTCTTCGAGAGGAATGGAGCAAGTAAGTGCGATAGTAGAACTTCATACGACGGCCATGCCAGTGCTTGGAACAGTATGCATGGTCTGATACCTTCCTGGAATGGCAGTGATGAGCGTAATATTTTCCTTGCATTATGCATGTCCATCCTACATTTCGACGTGGGGTGTCTCTGATATTAGTCTTGTCGTTGTAGATATCACCATCCTGAGGATATGTGATACGTGTGTGTGTATAATATATGTGTGTGTATGTGTGTGTGTGTATGTGTGTGTGTGTGTGTGTATGTGTGTGTGTGTGTATATGTGTGTGTGTGTGTGTGTGTGTGTGTGTGTGTGTGTGTGTGTGTGTGCACAGCTTGTGTGGTGGATACCAGGCTAAAAATAGTGGCGGTCAATTCATCAGCCTTGCAAGCTGTTGAATGGTGTAATCCCAGCACAAGTTGCTATGTCTAACATAGATGTTCGCTATCATCGCTTCCGCGATGGGCAGGTCTGAGGTCTGAGGTCTGAGGTGTGTGTGCATGCGCGTATGTGTGTTTGTTTGTGTGTGTGGGTGGGTGTGCGCGCGCACGCGCGCGTATGTGTGTTTGTGTTGTGGCTTTGTTCAGCTCGGTATGCTGCATCATCTTTCGCTGGAATTGGCAGTCTTCTTGTGCCTAGGTGCGTTATGTAATGTGCATGTATAGAAGTATATTTGAAGTTACTTGGTGAGGTCTTTAAGAGATATGGCTGCTGCAGTGTGGGCGGTGCATGTCTGACAACAGAAAGTTTTCGTTTTGTATCAATCAGAGTGGAAACGTTCCCCCCTTTTCCTTTGGGCTCTGATTTATAGTAGCCTAATTACTCTGTAGAGGCGTGCTTCTGCCTCGGCACACACCCAAACCACCCAAAGGAACTGCTCAAGACTATCGAAAGAGAACTCTGTTACAAACTGTGACTCCAAGCCGCACTTGCTTGAAGCCTTTCTAATAACTCGTAAAGAAGTACAGTGACTCTACCGCGTCCCACGTGTCACGTCCGACAAAGCGTTCTTGAGATATTTCCGTTTGAAAAACTGAGTTTTGGGGGCTGCGCCAGGATATAATGCGGCCACGCCACACCCTCTGCAACGTCATAGCGTGCAGGTAGGTTAAAAAAGTGTGTGAAAGCAATATTGTCAATGCTACTGATAGTAGGTGGTGCAAGCGACCCCGAAGGCGTAACTGAATGCGAGAGTGAAGATGTAGCCATGGCTGACCATGATGAGTTCGGTCTGGGGCTAAGAACTTCAGTATTCTGCTGAAGAAAGGGCTGCAAGAGTGAGCGCTGGCGCGTTTGCGACTGGTGAAGAAGCAGCAGCTATTGCAGGCGAGGCTGGTAATTATCAGATCTCTGGAGAGCAGATTCGCCAAAATGGAAAAGCGCGATGCAAGTGCTCTAAATGCTGTTCAGCACCGACTGGCTTGGACTCCAGTGGCCTACCACATAGTGATTTTTTGGTGCGAACTTGGCATATTTCGGACGCTGCTCGATTGGAGTACAGGGTAGGCTCTTTGAACTGCGGACACGAGTCTTCGATTCAAGGCTCACAACACTACGGAATCTGAAAGTGTTAGGTCCGGGAGCTGTTCGTTGTTTTGACACTTGTCACGGTTGTGGACTCATCATTGTAGTGTAAATGAGGCTGGACTATTCCATTGGGAAAACTAAAATTTTCTTTCTCAAAGCGCAACCACCGGCAAGGAGAAACGCACGTTCCCTCACTACATGATTACATATGATACGAGTGCAGTACATGTACATCACAAGTCTGTGTCTTGACTAGTCTCTTGTGACTCGAGTCTTGTAGATCTACCACACGACTAACGTAGCACGACAGTGAGGGAGTAGTCATGTTCCGTGTGTGATGAGCTTGTTGACTGCAGCTACTGTAGCATGCATGCAGAGGCCAGCGCGGACGGGAAAGGTCCAACTCGGAAACGGGTAAAAGACAGGATAACCTCAAGGTTTGCCGAGCTGAAAATCACAGGGGACGTAGTGTTACAACGAGTCGAATGGTCTTGGTCCGAAGAAGCTGCGACAAACGGTTCCCCAGTCGAATGCGTTCCGAATAATGGCCATTTTGTACTCAAATAGATGGTGTGGCTAGTACACTGGCTACCTGGCTGCACGCTGTGACGTCCTCACCTGGATCTGGGTGATGCGCGCTCCAATTTGCACATGTTCGATTGGGCATATTGCCCCAAACTTTAAGGACCCTGACATTTATATTTTTCGCCGGACTTCCCCTTTAAGCGTGAACAGCACATAATAAGGTGAAGAACAAAGACTTAAATGTGAACACGAAAGTCACAGCTACATGAAACACGAAACGAGGGTGCATGTCAGTGACATGTGCGACCTCCTGAACACGAATTAATAGCAGCAATTTTCAGGGTAATGTGGAAGCGCTTGGCGCATTAATTAACCCCCCCCCCCCCCCCCCACACACACATACACCATTGTCCAGGGTTTGTTATTGAATTGTCATCTCAGCCCACGCACATCTACCAAACACAACACCAACAAGATGTTCTTCTTTGATTTACACGAACAAAGTTTAATCATACGAATGAGAGAACCAATGTCACCACAAGGCATGTATTACATTTCAGGGTTAGGTATCCTATGATATTGTTGTTGCTATCTCGTCGGAAGGATTGTACTGGCGGAGCTTAAATCAACGGGTAGCGCAATATACATGCTCTGAAAACGCAGTGAAGTAAAGAAATTCCACTTTCAGGCAAGGTATGAGAGCTGAGACTGAGGAAGGGTACTAATCGAAAAAATTCATTCACAAACAATCATAGAGTTTCAGCTGATGAGATTTCTGTGCTGATACAACATTGCATCTATGCCTTCCTGCCTACAGTACGCGTTTGGTTCCCGGTGAGTCATTGGAATCAAACTCCCGCTTGCTGACTATCGTGGTCAGCACACCGAATGGCTCGCGACAGGCCGTACGCGACTTGGGCGACCCGATCACATTCTCGCTGCGTCACTTTAATGTAAGAAAGGCCCGAGCAGTTGCATTCATACGTGTTTAGAGTGTGTGTTCACCATCTTGATGTTGGAGAATGATCATTATTATGGTACTGTGGGGTATTATAGTCCAGTCGCCAAATCGGGGTCCATAGGGTTTTTCACAGTCTCACTTCATTCGTATTCGAGATGTCGATGACTTATATAGGTCAGCAATATTTATAGCTGTTGTTTTAAGCCTAAGATGAAGTGAATACGGTGAAAAATGATCAAGATTATATGTGCAAAAAGTATTGTGTTCAGACACATGTATCACTGAGGGTCTCCCCGATTTGACGAATGGACTATAGTGCTACTGCAATTTATGTGAATCTACACTGTACTTGATTTTCATACAATTCATTTCCTTCCAAAGATATTTGTAACGATAAGTCATGTTAAATTGTGGGCACAAGTTATGCGATCGAGTCCATCAACTAAACCAGATTTTCAGTCAGACATGCACAATCTAGCACAAAACTGACCATCTGAGTTCCAAAGCGATGTGAGTGTTAGTGTACCAAGACATGCATCAGCACACAGGCAGGGTATCTATTAATAGGGCTCACTGCTCTGTTCTCAATCAACATTACTTCATTTTCTTCCGGGACGTGCTTTGTCAGTGTGGTTCACTGCATGTTTAGAGTTACAGTATGGGTGAAAAGTGTTGGTTAGCATGGATCATTACTTGGTATTGTCGGCATGTCTTGCGTGGCACTCCGATATAACAGAGCCATCCTCAGTGGAGTGCTAGTGTCATTACTGGAATGCCTGTTTCTCCTCTGTTCATACTAGAGTACAAGCCTTCGCAATCCAACGTGTGCATTCTACAACTTTGCTGTAGTGCGGGAGGATGGTGTATCGTGAGTACCCCTGTCCGTCTGTATGCGCGTCCGTACGTCCCCGGTCCATCTGTCTCTTGGTCTGTTCGTTTGTCCATCTGTGTGCCTCTCTGTCCAATCATGACAACAGTAGGTAGCCTAACTACACGACATGAGCAAGACTGTAATTATCAGTATCCATCAGAGTCCAGTGTTGCTCCTGTTGTGTGGCGCGGCTCGACTATCTACCCTTGTGTTTTATGAATCCTTTGCCAGGACCTGTGCTGGTAGGTCATTGTCCGTATCATCCAGCTTTTGCTGAGTGTTCTGTCTGCCTACCTGCCTGCTTACCGAGCTGCCTGCCTGCCTGCCTGTTTCCCCTGTATACTGTATATTCAAACAATGGAGTTCAGTCAAGATCCACCCGGCTGTGCAAGACTGTGCAAGACTGTGCAAGACTGTGCAAGGCTGTGCAAGACTGTGCAAGACTGTGCAAGACTGTGCAAGACTGTGCAAGACTGTGCAAGACTGTGTCAGTCCTTTCCACAGTGTACTTGTGCTGTACATGACGACACTTGCGTTTGGTCTTCAAGTGAAAACATTGCTAGCTCAAAGTTATCACACTGTGCCAGCCTGTTCGTTGTGGTTGTTGTTCTTCTTCTTCTTCTTCTTTGCCATGTCGCAGGCTTGGTGGATGGGATAATGATGGACTGGAGCGCAATGCCGAAGGGTCAGACGAAGAAGCTCTCGGCTTGACACTGTGTTCAACCGTTCACCTTACAAGCTTTTCTGTCCTCGTGTCAGCAAACATAGTTGGGGTAAGTACCTTGTTTTCTTTTCTTTGCTCAACTGTGTACGTTTGTGAGCGACAACGCCACTTCAATCGGCTGTGTGGTGAAGACTAGGCTAAAATTATTGGTGATCAATGCATCAGCCTTGTAACCTAGTGTTGATTGGTGTAATTCCAACACAAGCTGCTAGGTCTAACACAGCGTATTCGCTACCATAGCTTCAGCCACTTGCGTCTGTATATGAATGGGTGTGTGTGTGTGTGTGCATGATTTTTGTAGACCATAATCAGGAGTATGGAGTTGTCATCCATTTTCTATGGCCAGATTTTATGCAGCTTGCAGAAAAATCAAGTGCGACAATTTTCCTGTGGTTTGAAAAACCAACTTTCGTTGGAAACTGAAGCTCGTGCACCCAAAGTTATGAAACCGTTCCGGTACTCAAACAAATCTAGCAAACTGATTGCAATAATACAAGACATCTGGGAATTTGAGAGAATTTGGGACAGGATATGATGCAGGCAAGTTACATAATGAAGGCAGCGCGCCACACATTGACCCATAGCCCCACCACACATTGACCCATAGCCCCACCACACATTGACCCATAGCCCCACCACACATTGACCCATAGCCCCACCACACATTGACCCATAGCCCCACCACACATTGACCCATAGCCCCACCACACATTGACTCATAGCCCCACCACACATTGACCCATAGCCCCACCACACATTGACCCATAGCCCCACCACACATTGACCCATAGCCCCACCACACATTGACCCATAGCCCCACCACACATTGACCCATAGCCCCACCACACATTGACCCATAGCCCCACCACACATTGACCCATAGCCCCACCACACATTGACCCATAGCTCCACCACACATTGACCCATAGCCCCACCACACATTGATCCATAGCCCCACCACACATTGACCCATAGCCCCACCACACATTGACCCATAGCCCCACCACACATTGACCCATAGCCCCACCACACATTGACCCATAGCCCCACCACACATTGACCCATAGCCCCACCACACATTGACCCATAGCCCCACCACACATTGACCCATAGCCCCAGTTTCATGCTCTTGGGTATGTACTCTTTGTTATAATCGATTGTCACAGTGTTTTGGGGTTAGCTTCTCACCTGCTTGCACTAGCTTGCGTGCATGCGTGTGTGTGTGTGGGGGGGGGGTTATGATTTTCATTGGGTGCATGCATCGTTTTTTTCCCAACACATTTTTCGAATGGTTGTGGGCACGTTCATTGTAAATCAGTTTCAGAATCAGCGCTTTCCACACTGTACTTGTAAGTGGTGCTTGGCACTCTTGGGTATTTCCCTACCGTGAAGACTTCTTGGCACTCTTGGGTATTCCCCTACCGTGAAGACTTCTTGGCACTCTTGGGTATTCCCCTACCGTGAAGACTTCTTGGCACTCTTGGGTATTCCCCTACCGTGAAGACTGCTTGGCACTCTTGGGTATTCCCCTACCGTGAAGACTGCTTGGCACTCTTGGGTATTCCCCTACCGTGAAGACTTCTTTTCCTGCAATGCACCACCTCATTCACATGCTCTGTCTACTGAAGGAATAGATCAGGTTTCCTCTTGTTTGCTGTCGCCTTTCAGGGTGCGAATGCGGAAGCGCTGCGTTTCATTTCCTACATCGGGTGTGGCATTTCCCTTGTATGCCTGGTGATTGTAGCCTTTGTCTTCATCTACTTCAAGTAAGTATACCAGCAGCTGTGTTTGCTGCAGACTGCAGTAAGTATACCAGCAGCTGTGTTTGCTGCAGACTGCAGTCAGTAAACCAGCTGCTGTGTTTGCTGCAAACTGCAACAGTGTACATGTATCTGCAAAACAAGCCTTGCAGTTGTGGCTAAGACTAGTAAGAGTGTATGGGTAGGAGTTTATCTGAGGTTGTTTTTAGAGAGGGTATCTTTTTTTCTGTATCACCGTGCGAAATAAGACTGAGCAAAGTATAATCCTACCCATTTTACTTGTTTCCTCAAGGCAACTTGTTAGCCCTCTTGCCAACTGCTACCTTTTGCTTGCTCAGATACAGGACCGATGGGTGTGCTACATGCACCATTGTTCGAGAGTGTCATGGGAATGGCACATTCCCAAACATCATTGCTGTAATATTATGGTTTGTATACGTGCGTGCGTGCATGCCTGAGTGTGTGCGTGTGTGCACGTTTGTGCATGTACACATATGCGTGTGTATGTATGTGTGTGTGTGTGTGTGTGTGTGTGTGTTTGTGCGTGTGCGTGTGTGTGTGTGTGTGTCTGTGTCTGTGTGTGTGTTTGTGCGTGTGCGTGTGTCCATGCAATGGCGACCATGTGTACTAGAGCAGCAATAGAATTTTGGGCGGATTAGAAATACCGTCCTACACAATGAGCTAATTCACCTGGGCTTGAGATAGATTTACTAAATGGGCAAGTGAAGTGTACCACTGCAGTGAAATGTATCTTATATCCACTGTCAACTGATGTATAGCTGGGTGAGCAGTCAGCCCCCCCCCCCCCGGCCAATTTTTAAATTAAAAAACACTGTCCTATGCTGATGCACACGGTGTTTGTCCTATGAATTTGCTTTTCTTGTATGCAGATCCTTACATAATGATCACAACGCTATACACTGCAATCTTGCTATCTCGCTGGGACTAGCTCAACTCATCTTCCTTATCGGAATCCAGCGAACAGAGAATGCGGTGAGGTGGTATCCTGCTTAGTTCAAACTCACTCACATTCACTGCCTTACTTTTGATTTCAAACAAACGCGGAATGCTGTTTGTTTTGGTTCTAGTTAGGGCTTAAACGGTCACAACTTTTGCATGACCGGACATCCTTCAGATTGACGGTCAGATAACCGGTTTCGACCGGTTATTGAACTCCAGCACATGCATGCAAATATGAACTATAGCACCAACACATCATTTTCATTAAACACACAATTGAGACCTATACATTGACATCAAAACGAGGCTTCCTCAGCGTCAAGCTGAATTATGGCGATGAAGTTGGTTTCATCTTCAGAGCCGAGCCAAAATTCTAGGATTTCCTTCCCACTGGATCAACAACATGACTGTAGCCGTCGTCGCTACATCCTTCTCCAAATCCAAAGCTCCTGCCAAAGAGTGAAAAGAAATTTTAGTCTTCAATGTAAACATGTGCCAACGGATGAGAGTGGTACTAGTATCCTGCATTATGGCGCTAAAATCGGTGCTGTACACCGTGCACTGTGACACTACACATGTGCATGAAAAACCGTTTGTACCCGCAAACTAAACGGTTTAAGAGTCATTGCATTCTAGCGGTCGTATAACCGGTTATCCCGTATAACCGTTTAACCTTTAGTTCTAGTCCACCCTTCTATTAAACTGATTATTTTTCTGCTGCTGTTCCTGAACCCTGTTGACCGTGCCTCCTGTTGTAGCCACATCTTGTTCTGCTCTGTTTTCTAGAGTGTCTGCACAGGGTTTGCAGTGGTCCTGCACTACTTCTTTGTAGCGGCGTTCATGTGGATGTTCGTGGAGGGTTTGCAGATCTACTTCATGCTTGTGCGCGTCTTCCCGACGACTACGAAGCGACTTCTCTATTTTTACATAGCGGCATATGGTGAGCAATGCCAGGGGCGCCACAGGGCAGTGGGGAGTGTTTCGTCCGGGGTGGGGTGTGGGGGGGGGGGGTTGGGGTGTCCCCCGGGGAAGAAATACCGGATTTTCGGCCAACAGGGTCCGTTTTAGCGCACTACGGGCACGTTGGGCGGACCATCCTGGACGAAAATTGGTACGACCATGGCCGTACTAGTCGTACCGTGTGTAACGCCTCCGAATGCACAGATATTGTTGTCTATTTTGAACATGAATTTGAGTGCTTACTGCTAGCGAAACGGCCTGTCAATAGCTCTCTTTCCTTACTGTGGGGTGAGTTGGGCATGGACATACAGACGCACTGCTCCATTTGGGATATATGTGGGTGAGAGAAGCCGGACAGTTGGGATATGCAGAGCAATGTGTCCAGACAAACTGATGGTATGTTTCACATTAACTCGAGATCATACGTGTCAGTAGTGCTAGACCGCCGCAATGATTCCTAGTGCTAGACCGCTGCAATGATTCCTAGTGCTAGACCGCCGCAATGATTCCTAGTGCTAGACCGCTGCAATGATTCCTAGTGCTAGACCGCTGCAATGATTCCTAGTGCTAGACCGCTGCAATGATTCCTAGTGCTAGACCGCTGCAATGATTCCTAGTGCTAGACCGCCGCAATGATTCCTAGTGCTAGATCGCTGCAATGATTCCTAGTGCTAGACCGCCGCAATGATTCCTAGTGCTAGACCGCCGCAATGATTCCTAGTGCTAGACCGCTGCAATGATTCCTAGTGCTAGACCGCCGCAATGATTCCTAGTGCTAGACCGCCGCAATGATTCCTAGTGCTAGACCGCCGCAATGATTCCTAGTGCTAGACCGCCGCAATGATTCCTAGTGCTAGACCGCTGCAATGATTCCTAGTGCTAGACCGCTGCAATGATTCCTTCACCAGCTTACACAGGTCTTTTTGAACTGCACTTCTGCCTTTAACTTTCTTTCGTTTTAACTTGTGCTTGTCCTCTCTCTCTCCCTCTCCCTCTCCCTCTCCCTCTCCCTCTCCCTCTCCCTCTCCCTCTCCCTCTCCCTCTCCCTCTCCCTCTCCCTCTCCCTCTCCCTCTCCCTCTCCCTCTCCCTCTCCCTCTCCCTCTCCCTCTCCCTCTCCCTCTACCTCTCCCTCTCCCTCTCCCTCTCCCTCTTCCTCCCTCTCTCCCTCTCTCCCTCTCCCTCTCCCTCCCTCTCTCTCACTCTCTCTCTCTCACTCTCTCTCTCTCTCTCTCTCTCTCTCTCTCTCTCTCTCTCTCTCTCTCTTTCTTTCTCTCTCTCTCTCTCTCTCTCTCTCTCTCTCTCTTTCTCTCTGCGCTCAGGTGTTCCGGTGGTCATTGTGGCTATAACAGCAGGGCTAAATATCCAAGACTACGGCACTGAGACATAGTAAGGGTTCCTATTCGAGAAGCCTCCCTTTCTGTTCCCCTCCACCAGAATAACAACCAGAATATTGACTCAGGTGTCGGTATTGTGCCAGTGATGGAAGCCATTGAAGAGCTAAACGTTACCATGTTCTATTTAAAGTAGCTGTCATGTACATGTTTAGTATATAGGCGGCCTTCGGCGATTTCAGCCTCAGTTGCTGGTATGATAGCACTGGTTCATCTTACAGAGGGACTCACTTAGTACGTGTCCGGGTAAGACGTGCACATGCGTAGTACGGTCCTTTTTTGTCGCACTGAGTTTCCTACCATAAGCGCATATACAAATGTATTCCGAGTGGGACGTACTCTGATAAGATGTACAACTCGTGCACGACGGACTCTTCAGCAGGTCCCAACAGAGCTATCCTTGCAAACCATGTACTAGTTTGGTGTTTTCATACACCTGTAGACATGGCAGGTTTGCTTGACAGATATACTTCAGTATGTTGACAGTGCGGAGGAGACTGTTTTGCAGCACTGGGGAAGCCTGGTTTGATGCCGCACTAGCGATGTACACTTCTGAGTGCAATAAATATTTTGGAGCATTTTGACATACTGCACATGTATCGTATTAGTTGTGCTGCAGGAGTCAACTTTGGATAAAAAGTACCTCAAACACTACGTACTGTTTTCCGTTCCCTGAATGGGTACGTCTTATCCAAGAGAGTTTCACTGTACTTATTATTGTACTTATATTTTTATGACAATCAATTTGTCTTCTCTATGATCTTGTAGTTGTTGGATAGACGTATCGACAAACACACGCTGGGCATTCCATGGACCCATCATTGCCATCATAGTGGTAAGTGAGGACAACGCCATCATCTCTACTCGTACAGATTTCTAGTAATTTAAAAGTGGATTACGGTACGATCTCTTGCTCACCAAGGATGCAAAGAGTATGAGATAGTGCCTCATTGATGCCTCCAAAGACTTGCGAGAGTGTTCTGTGAGTTGCACTTGAAGTATACAAATGAATTCCTGAGATTTTTGAGTGCTTGTTTGAAGTCCGTAATGGACTTTTAAAGTGGTGAATACCAGCCTTGTACGTATTAAACCGATTGTGAGTGCCCCTCCCCATGTTACGAATGTGTTCTTTGTCTCAGGTGAATGTTGGCTTCTTGTTGGCGGCCCTGCGTGTGCTCTTCCGTCGTGCTCAGCGGAAAGGAAATGACTATGATGCTGTCCAGTAAGTCATGCTAAGAAACAGGGTGCAGGAATTTTTATTGGGTGGTGGGAGAAGATGATTTGAGTTGGCAGGGGCCTGGGATGTTGTGCAAACACGTTCTGTATCCATCACCTGCGTGCATGTTGGAGCATAGAGCATTGGGAGACTGGAATCGTTTCATGTCTATGTCAAGCTCTGGCCACTCCGGCAATGATTACACATTTCCATACCTTTGTTTACATGGAGTTCACCATCCGCGTATGAACGAGTCTGAACCTCAGCCGTATCTGACCTCCTGGTCTTGAGCAATGTAACTTACGCACAGTCATGGTGAACCTTCAATGCCACGTGTACTATGAAGTAGGTATTGTTACGTATATCCTACTCTAAGATCACATGGACCTAGACTGCCTGGAAATTTCTTGTTATGATGCAGAGCAAGTCTGAAAGGAGCCGTAGTTATCCTGCCACTGCTGGGAATTTCCTGGGCAATGGGACTGCTGGCTGTCAGTGACAACACGCTGGCCTTCCACTACCTGTTTGTCATCTTCAACTCCCTTCAGGTGAGTACTTCTGTCACTAGTGCTGACCTGATTGTCCTCAGGTTGGTCTTGTCAAAACGAGTGCTTTCTCTCTACAGACACTTGTGTCCGCTCTCTGTGAGGTGTGCTGGTACACATAGAGGTTTTCAGTTGAGACCTAACTAAGTGTGTTATGGCGCAATGCGGCAGGAGTAGTCGAATAGAGACCATGACGGTATTGATGTTAAAACTCTACATGTACCAAACTGTACTGCACGCGTACACCAGAAAGAGCGAGAGAGTCTACCGAAATGGAAGTCGGTTTGGATCTTTCTGGTCTGTTCTGTTACCAGTGTAGGTGTTCATAAGCTGCTTCAAGTAGTTGGATCTTCCCTGTAGTAGAATTAGATTATGCAAACTTGGAATGTTTGCTTTCGATAATACTGCTGTACCTCTGATGATGGAGACTCTAGCTGGCTTCCTTGTACGTACCATACATGCCATTACATGGTCAATGTCGCTGAAAACGTCTGTGTCTATGTGCGTGTTTCTACATGTGTGTGTGTGTGTGTGTTTGTGTGTGTGTGTGTGTGTGTGTGTGTGTGTGTGTGTGTGTGTGTGTGTGTGTGTGTGTGTGTGTGTGTGTGTGTTCCAATGCACAGGGACTGTTCATTTTCATCATGCACTGTGTCAGGAACCCGCAGGTAATGGGCGCTTTGCCTGCTTCTGTTCTTTGATGACATGTATATAGTGTCAGCACTCTGCAACCATGTGGCCATAACAGCCATTTCAGATCGAAATTAGCGTCAATGCTATCTGATTACCGCCCGGTGCCTTAAACCTTAGGCTACAGTAAAGCAGCCTCTTGTCTCCTGTATCTGTGCAACCATGACTAACAGCTTTACCGCTCGGCTCAGATTTTTGTTGGAAATACGTAATCACACTGTATTATACTGTATCATACTGTATTATACTGTATATGCTGGCCACACGTCTGTGCTAGCGCATGACTGTATTCACTAAATCCAGGTTTGCAATGGTGAGTATAATAATGTGCACACTCGGGCACGAGCATGAAAGAAAAGTAGTGTTCCAGATAGCCGCTTTCTTACTTGACCCAATCATCACTGATGGACTCACTTGACGAAAGGGCATTGGAAAGCACCGACAGGATTTATGCACTTGGAGTGCAAACAAGTACAAGTATGCAAAGCAACGATGTCATAGTGTTGATAGACGTGCACATACCAGTGCATCCACTGCTCTATTCTGATCATTGTTTCCACTTGGCCGACTTTTAAAGAGGTTGCTTGCATAAGTTGCTAACGAAATTGTTCTGTAGGTTTTCTATGGGATTTGACCGATATACTCTGTCGGGCTGCTATGGTGCTAGTGCTATACCCTTGATATGCTGTGTATAGGTAAAACGAGCAATCAAGGCCTGGTACAAGAGATACAAGGCGCAGAAACGGGACCAACAAGACATCACCACTTCGGATAAGTCATCAGGCTACCTGAAGAAAATGCGGTCGCAGGTGGCCGAGCAGTCATCCACGGTCGGTGTAAGTTGGCAGGATCATAGCTGGAAGCTGTCCTTGACTGAGGCAACGAATTAGGAACTGTGCTGTTCAGGGAATGAGGACATCCAGGTGATGGGTATGACCCATCACCGAGGTGAACATTTATAATTGAATGAGCAAAAGCAGTGAAAGCACACAGTGCATCGGTACTGAGGAAAGTGAGGCGATATTGACCTGCTGATGAAACAATGCAATTATAGTTGTTAAGAGCAGATCATGCACTTATTCCGAGCAGGCATGGTGAGAAAGCAGAATTGCTACACATGAATTGGTGACAGCACACACATGCCCACCTTAGTATGTAGTGTGTTGCTTATTGATGGTATGTGCTTCAAACAAGGTTTTGACAGTATATGCAGATGTGTGATACAGTCATGGATGCTTCTGCGTGGCATATCACATTTTGACATTGGATTATTGTTGTGTCTTTGCCTGTTTATTCTTTTTAGACTGTTTCCACAAACTTCCCCGGGGACACCACGAAATGTGAGAGAAGTAAAGGAGGTCGAAGCTGCTTAGCTGCTCTTCCAGCATTGGCTATTATTAATAAGAATACAATGAAGTCATCTGTAACACATGCACAGAATGTGGTGGATTGGCATGATGTGTGTTAGCAGTGATGAATGTTTTCCAGCGTTCATTGCCAGTGCTTCAGGTTCATTGTTGACTGTGTCATGACTCATGACTGGCCAAGTGCAATGAACATGTAGTAAACTGCAGTAGCTAGATACATGTACATGCGTAACCTGGGCCCAGTCACCACTCGTGGGATGGGGCATATTGTGGTCTTTGGGCGAAGGTGATCTCTGAAACCAGTGTGACCCTTGTGCAAACAACGCATTCCCATATTCCCATGTTCCACATTCACACACTCCCACGTTCAGTGCCAAAGAACAGTGGTCAAACTGAACAGGTGGGTGGTAATTGAATCCAGGCTTCACTTGCAAGGTCTCCTATCACCACAGTCACTCAAACACCTCTCAGTTATAAGGTGACATCCGGCATTATTGATACTGCTTCAAGTAATTTTCATGTAACGAAAAATGTTTAGTATGACCGTCACCCACCCACTCACACCCCCTGTTCCCTGCGGACAATACTCATACATATCGATGCATGTCTGTAGTTATTCTTTTTGTGTCTGTGTGTACTGTCCACTAATATCCTTAGGTCTTCAAGTATGTCTGCTGTACCTACTGGTATGTGTGTGTATGTGTGTGTGTGTGTGTGTGTGTGTATGTGTGTGTGTGTGTCTGTGTGTGTGTGTGTGTGTGTACTGTACGCGTGTGTGTGTGTACACGTGCATAAATGTGTGAACAGCTGCATCAACAACAGCGGGACAGCATATGCAGATGGTCGACTTCAAGTCTGAGAGAACTGACAGTACTGCTGGCGTTATAGGACTGATGGATGATCCTGAAGGCGATCTTCCCGCTGCCGCCACATCGTTTGGCAAGGAGCGTACAATGTCTGACAGAGGAACTTCCCCCTCGGCACCAGCTCCAGCACCACGAACACTACAGTTTGTAGGCTCTGGTCTAAAGGAGGATAGTAGCGATGATGAAGATGTAGTTCCGGCAAGCACACCTATGCTTGCTGAACAGGTGAGGGTTGATGTTGACGAGTACTCCTGGTGCTTGTATGCAGAGCCGAGTTAAGTTGTAGCCCACTGGCTGAATCCCCCGTGGTGCTAGAGGCTGTCCGAGCCTGCTGTACATTTGAAGTTGTTTCATCCTGCCTGCTCAATGATGTCACGAAGCCTCGCTCATGCATTATGATGTACACTTCGATCACTTAGTGGTATACTCATCCTGCAGCAGCATGTCAGCCTCCGCTCTCCTGAACAGTGCAAATACTTTTTATGGAAATATTGTCTCTTTTGGAAATGTACCTGCTTATGATAAACCTATCCTGCATGATGTGCGTGTTTGTATGCGTGCGCACCCTTGTGTGTGTGTGTGTGTGTGTATGTATGTATGTGTGTATGTATGTGTGTACATGGTGTGTGTGTGTGTCTGTGTGTGTCTGTGTCTGTGTGTGTCTGTGTCTGTGTGTGTATATGATGTATAGCAACGAGAAACGCCGCTAATGTCAATCCCGGCGTCCATCCCCTCCAGCGGTAGTGAATCAAGCCTTCATGTAAGTTGAGTGTTCACATGAAGAACTGATCGTCGTATCGGACACTGTGCATGATGTGCGTCTATCCAGGGAGTGGTATGGATGTGTTGCACGCTGTTCAATGCTTCTATTAAGTATGTGTATGAGCAACGAACATGTACATGTGCATGCATTAGTACTCTGGTGCTGTCTATCTCTGCTGGTGCAATAATACATCCAAGCAGCCCACTGAGCGTACTCTCTCAGCCATAGTGAAGTGAATGCCCAGTGTACTCTCTCAGCCATAGTGAAGTGAATGCCCAGTGTACTCTCTCAGCCATAGTGAAGTGAATGCGCTACATAGTAGTCAGAGTGCATGCATTGCCGCTACGCCTCTGCTCCATTTCATTGTGTCCTGCTCTGCTCACAGGAATATGCTGTGCTTGTGTTCTTGGTGAAGCTGAAAAAAATTAACCTAATACAAGTCTTAACCAACCAATAATTTCTTAATGATGAACTACTAGCTAACTTCTTTAATCCAGGTTATGAATAACCTAATTGATCAGCTACCATTGCAATAGCTTTTTCTGATATATTCATTCTCCCTTAACCAGCGGAAGGTATTAATTTTGACTCAAGGGCTCCCTGTGTGCCAGGCTGTGTATGAAGTGTGTGGGCAGTGCGGTGTGCCAGGCTGTATATGAAGTGTGTGGGCAGTGTGGTGTGCCGGGCTGTATATGAAGTGTGTGGACCGTGTGGTGTGGGCGGTGTGGTGAGGGCAGTGTACCAGGCTGTGTAGTGTCCCGGGGCACACTGCTTGGTCACTGCTTGGTCACTGCTTGGTCGAGGGGAGAACCATAGCTCATAGTAATCGGTTGCAGTACGTATGACAACGCCATAGCTTCAGTAGTGGAAAACTGCTGGTCACCGGGACTGTCCCAGCTGCTATCCCTGACCATTTCGATCTGCTAACAATAGGAACTGCGTACGGGACAGAAAAGTAACTTCTCCATAGGGCTGAGACAGGCTGAAGCATGACGGTACCGGTATTACGAATAACCGCATGTGTACTCACTGCTGTCTCTGCTGAAGGTCAACCAGGGTAGTTGCGCAAAGACAATTCATGCATGTGAAATTCACTGGGGGACCCGACCCAGGGAAAATATCCGGGATTACAACACACCGTAGTTTATGGACATGACGGGCATACGTGTACATGTACGGTATGCTGTGTACTCCTGGCCGGCGATGCGAAGGGCATACAAAAAACGTGGCGTGATTCAATCATGCATGCGAGTGCGACATTACTACGCTCTCTCGTATGTGATGATGAAACTGTTTTGTGCAACTTCTGGTAGACATACAATTGCACACCACGTGGAAAGATGTCATGAAATGAGCCGTTTGAAAGATATGAGCAAACCGGCAGTATGATAATAATTATGATCATGATGCTAAACGTTGAGATATCAGCTAAGCTAACCATTAAGTTTTGAAGCTAACCTCTTAACTATGAAACTAACCGTTAAGATATAAAGCAAGCTAACCGTTAAGGAATGAAACAAACTGTTAAGATATGAAGCTATCCGTTAAGATATGAAGCTAACCGTTCAGATATGAAGCTAACCGATAAGACATCAGTTAGCGGTTTAGATACCAGTTAACCATTAATTAAGCCCAAAATTGTAACCATGTTTGCTCAACCTTTTGCAGAATTTGACCCTGCTTCCATACTGACTTTTACGAGTACTTCTCTTGGCGGGATTAGTTGTATGTTCTTGCTCAATTTTGTTCAAAATGGCAGGTTCCCAGGGCTTGCCTCCTGTCCAGAGTGTACACAACGTGACTACAAAAAATATGAGTGGCTTCTATCTCTCAAGATGAGTGGTCTTTGCGTGCAGAACTGACATTACACATTACCGTCTAGCAAGTGTGATTGAATTGTCAACAATTTTCAAAACAGAAGACTTATCGCAGCCATACGCTTTGATGATTTCCAGGGTGCTCATGTGCAAGTACGAGTAGTTGGAGGAAGGTCTTCTGCCGTGGAGGACCATGAAGAGAACCGAGCATCTCAGTCTTACCGCCCAACATCCTGTTCACCACCGCCAGCCACGTCGGAAACGTTTAGATCGTCGGTGACGGCAACGTCAGCGTCAGCCAGTCCACCGGCAGCGGCACTTCCTCTGCTCGATGATGTCATGATGAGCCTGAACAGTAACCGTGCCGGTGACTCATCAAACACGGCTGCTGGAGCTTCTAGTTCTACAGCCGCTGGTAGTGGTGAGAACACGGCAGACAGCCCTTCTAGAGCACTGCCATTGCTCGACGACATCATGGCCAGTTTGAACAGCAGTTCGGCGCCGGCGACGGGTCGTCAGAGTGTGTCGCCCGGTGACGATGATGACGATGATCGACAGCAATGGGCATCCTTGACAGGCTCGGGTTAGTGGTAACACAATGTGTGATTCCTGGTGCAAGTTCTGTAAAGGAAAAACTTACATGCATGCGCTGTGTTGGCTGAGTTACTGTACATGTAGTGTAAGACTAAAGAGTCTAACCTATTCCTCTGTACCCCTGTTTCAAGAAAGTGTGTTCATGCATTCTCGGCCCACTAGGATTGAATCTTGCAGAAATTTTACAAACACTGCAGCCGCAATATACATGTATGTGCAGTAGTTGAGTTCACGGCAGAGTCGAGCTTGTATGTATCCGGCAGTGAGTAGAAAATAGTGCATGGTGACTATGTGCGAGAGCACATCTGTGGTGTGGTGACCATGTACCACCGGCAACCTCACAGCCGCCATTTGGACTATTTTGACTATGTACTACATAATTCAGAAATAGTTGGTATGACGACCACTTGCTGGTATGGTGACTGGTCTACGCTGACTGCACCGTGACCAGCTACGCGCCTGAAAGTACCTGCATGTGTGCGTGTTTGTTGTCTTTGCTGCCGGCCGCGGTGCAGGGAACGAAGGTGAAACCAGTCTGAGTCGCCGCGACTGGAGAGATGTCACCGTGACCAAGGACATTCGCACACGAGTGGGAACCAAAGCCGATCAAGGTGAGCAAGTATTGGCACCGCCAGTACGTGGCAAGTACAGTAGAGTCGCGTGCACCAGCGAACTTGGAGCCCGAGAACGTCCAGCCTGAAATCGCCACAGCCCAAAGTAAAGAGCGGTGGTGTTGCTTTTCTGGCAAAATTGTGGACACATATGATCCAGTATGAATTGTTTCTAAGAACGTGCTAAATTGAACGCAGCCAGATTGCTGAAAAGCATGAACGTCCCATGCTAACCCCTTGGAAACAACGTTCTTGGACGTGCGACTCTGCTGTCTGTTGCATCATTCATCATGCTAACTACCGTACTGGCAATATAATTATGTTGCCTCGTAACGCGTAACGCAGGGGGGTGCGGCGTAACGCGCGACCAGGCTAGTGCGACAAATTTTCGTTGCGTTCGTAACGCGCGTCCGGCGGGGTGCGGCGATCTTTTCATTGCAAAAAAGGCTGAAAACTGTGAAAGCACGTGTACCGCGTGGTGAAAAGTTCAAAACTGGACGCAGCAGGAAGTCCTGCAATAGCAAAAAAAGGACTGCGGCAATATAGAAACCTGTGTAACGGCTCCTGTGCGACTTTGTATGTAACGCCCTGCGTGCGGTAAACATGTGCCAATGTAACGCTTCATGGCCTCACTGCGACCATATATATTGCCAGTACGGTAATGTACACAGTTGTTCAATTTTCTTCCTCGTGCCAGATTCCAACATGTTGAAAAAGAAGACCAATGAATGTACAGTCAGACCTCACTTATCCGGTCCTTTTTTATCCGGATCCCTCGCCATCCGGAAGAAAATCTTTGGTTACCGATTTATAGCATATGTCATGCATACATGTACATACTGTCTGACTGTATACACTTCTAGTATAGTTGCACTTGCATACATTGTATCATGATTGGAGATTCAGTAGGTCAGATGCCATTTTGAGTACTCGCAATTCACTCTCAGGACTACAAAGCTACTGGTCACATTAGCCAAAACGTGCCGCTCCGCGTTTTGGAGGTCCTCATTTTGTTAGGTCATCGTGAATGACAGATACTAGTACTAGTAACCTGTCATGCCATAAATTCAGCCGGGCCGCATCACGGTACTATCACTACCGGGTTATAGCAGGAAACTTGGGTGAACTTTTTAAAGTTCTTCATCTTAGTACGACAGACGCAACAAAACCTTCGCCATGGGCTAATGCTTTTCGGTGCTGTACTCTCTTGCACACTAGTGTTGTACTCTTGTGCCGATGCACCTCTGCAATCCAGATTCCGTCTGCTTCTTGGTGGGTGTGTGTGTGTGTGTGTGTGTGTGTGTGTGCGTGCACGCGCGTGCATGTGTATGTGTGTTTTGTGTGTATTCGTACATGTAGGTGCATATAACGGAACAGCAGGCGTGTAGCAAGTTCCACGACCTAGTGATGACGACAACTGTGGGGAGTTACACCCAACTGCTACTGGTTACCTAGACAATAAGACATCGAAAAATTCAAAAAATATTATTTCTAATGAGCTGAAAGTGCTCGTACTGTTCTTGGCAATCAGGTATTAGCCATGACACTGTAACTGGTACTATTCCCTTGCCTGCTTGTACTGATTCTTAATTCTTGATCAACGCCATGACAACAGTGATAACGTTAGTAGATACTGTCACATGATCTAAATGACTGAACTAAATGCTCCCATGCCGGCTGGACCTTTGCTGAGTGCTGAAACCAATTTGATCCCGAAAGCTGCAGTGATATTCTTTAGTGACAATTCAATGATAAGTGCGTACTCGTATACCTGCATATACCTGCATATGCGCCCGCTCCGTTATAGTATGCTGTGTGCTAGCTGTAGCTGTGATAGCCATCTAATGTTGCATCATCATAATTGTAGTGCTAGTGTGAGTCATATAATTATACACTGACTGGACTTACAGGTGTTACAGGTAACCATGGTAACACAGCAGCCAATCATCGGATCTAACCTTGCCTACAGCAGTGTGCAGCTTACTTAAAAGCGCTGACAATAAGCTGATAAAACTGCCACATTTGCTTCTTACAATTCATTTCTTCAATAAGAGCGCGTAGTGCAGTGCACTAGTGGCTCATTAGCTTATAATACAACGTAGGCCAACCAGTGACAGAAGCAATTAGATAGGGAAAGGTGACCATGGTGCATGGATGAAGTGAGGATGGCTTGTGAACTGACAGTTATTGCAAGAGTATCCACTGTTTTCAGGGTGTGCAGACTCTAGTGCAGCCAAGTCATTTCAAGTAAATTACGTCAAGAACTTTGTCGAAATTTGGTCTGTCAACTGATACAGGAAAACAGATTAGTATCAACCACTTGGGCCATCTCAGGATGTATAGCCCAAGGCTGTAATCTTGGTTCATACCAGTAATTATCTTTTTTCTTTCGCAGTTAGAGAAATTTCGACGAAGTTCTTGAGACGAAATTATTGTAGAAAACATCCACTGTTGTTGTTTTGTAATTGTAGACCTTTGACAATACTCTTACGAAAAATGAGGTAAATTAGTTCTGGAGTAGTTTTAACAGTGTTATTTTTTAACATGAAACAAAAGTTTTTGGCCACGGTGATACTGAATTTTGCCGTTGGTAAATATAGGAATGAGCCTACTTCAAATAAAAAGTCTAAAAACGTCATCTAAAACCTTCCCTGAGCAGTAATGTCAGAAAATTACACAGAAATCAATGAAAAGAGCTAAATTATCGAGCTACCTGCTTCTGAATAATGCAAGCAAGTAATCATGGTTTTGCTATCAAAACATCTCATGACACAACTTTTGAAAAAGTGAATAACAACGTAACATGATGAGACTTCAAAGGTCAATGCTGGCAGTGACATAATTATATTGTTACTTTTTAGCACCGCAGCTTCCTCAAAGCAGGCCAAAGGCACAGAGTATACGCAATTTCCACAGCCTAGTATTAAGAGGATGACGTTCACTGTTTTGTCATGATACAGCTGATACAGTTGCTTTGCAACAGTTCGTGTCTGTCTTGGAATTGCTGCCACTCAATCAGTCAGACCGTGAAAGGCGTGAGCCCAATGGCAGCAGCATACATAGCAGTCTACTCAGCAACAGCATACATAGCAAAGTCTAGACAGAGCATAGTCCACTCAGCAACAGCATAGCATGCACTACAACTTTGAAGACTGCTGCTCCGGTCGAGGTCCCAGCCATGGCTTGCCTAATGTTGCATAGAACAAGTCCACCCGCACACCCACAAGCACGTGAAACACAAACACAGTCATGGTGATAATCAAGAATAACAGATTAAAAAAATCATATGTAAACCCCTAGGCCTATTAACTGCCCAAGCATATGCAACTGTCTGGACTCTACCCAGTGCTGCGATGGCAGAATTTCACATCCCATGACAGGGCTCACTCAGTTATGCTGGTAAACAGGTGCAAGTGACCAATACTAGCGAGCTGTACCAACGCATTCGCATAGAGCCCTGTAGCTATCATGTACACGGTTCAGGCGGTGCGTTCGAGTTTATCACGTGATGTGAAATTCCGCCATCGCAGACCCCATAGGCTGCAGCTGCGCACTCCTGGTGGCTTTGTGATCTTGGTGATGTGCATCACAATTTCAAAACGTTTTAGGACCATCTTCTTATTGTACCGATGTAGCACAATGTGGCTTACATGCATGACATGGAGAACATTTTCACAAAATACAAAAAAACAAAAATTATCAATCACCACGATGATACCGTTGAACTTACCAACACAGTGTGCAAACAACTCCAGTCTATCACTGCCAAAGAACAGCTGTGGCTTGTTGAACTGCGGCAGCTGGGTTGTGTAGGCCGGTAAGCCATACGCCTGGCAATCCGAGGAAAAGCGAAAGACACCAAAATTAATATACCTTATAAATAACAGTAAACAATGCTCAGAACACCCATTTCTACCAGCACACTGCCTGCTCAGAACACCCATTTCTACCAGCACACTGCCTGCTCAGAACACCCATTTCTACCAGCACACTGCCTGCTCAGAACACCCATTTCTACCAGCACACTGCCTGCTCAGAACACCCATTTCTACCAGCAGACTGCCTGCTCAGAACACCCATTTCTACCAGCAGACTGCCTGCTCAGAACACCCATTTCTACCAACAGACTGCCTGCTTAAGTCCTTGCATCTTTAACTACAACATCCAAATGTCTTCTAAGATTATGCTATGAGCATAGGTGGGGGAAATTCTGAATTCGCTCAAGACCCGGCTCAGTCTGTGTCCATGTGATACAAGAACATCAGGATCTGCACCATTTCACAGGGCCTGCCGGCCTCAGCAATGTGAAAACAAGACAGTGCGCTGATAGAATTCATAGTCGAGTAAAGACTCTAGTTAGTGCTAGTCTAGATAAGACTAGAGTCTTGCATTATAAAGTAACATACTTATGCTGCAATAGGATATCAGATGTGTGAGTTCCAGCTTGCATGTATGCCTATGCGAGCAGGTATATGTACATCCGTGTGCTCATCTGTGTGGGGAAGACACAGCATCGTAGTTAGTTGTTGCCAAACGCTAGTGCAACGTACTCAAGTACATGCGCATTCCATGCACTTACACCAATCTCAACGATTTCTTGCGTGGCTGCCTTGAGCTTGTCCTTGACCTCTGCTGTTTTGGCTAGCTCGCACAGCTTCTGTGCAGTGCCGTGGCTGACCCCTGCCTTGCTGCAGATCTGTGAGAGAAACGGTATGACATGCAATGGTGGGCTGAGTTGGTACATCATTCTAACAGGCAATATCACAGTCAGGACGACGAGTCCTGCCATTGTTATTACTACACAAACATCATGCACATATGTGTGTCACCGCACTGTGGTCCACTTCGAATTATTACACAGGTTAATATGCACGGCATTTCCGACGTGACGCGCAATTTCAATTTGGCGTAAAACTCCAAACTTCGACGCGAGCTGCAGGTCACTCGCGTTGTTTTTCGAGGCGCGAGCCAAACAACGCCGAGCTGAGCTTTCGCGTCACGTCAGAAATAACGTGCATCTTTAAAAACCTCTCTATTGGCCCTGCAGTTTTACCGCCAACAGCTATGCAAGCAATATCGGACGAAATATTTTTAAAGTGTGGATAAGTACGTACCTCGTGAAATGTCTGTTCCTCGTGAATCTCCTTGCCCTGCAGACAGAGAGAAAAGTAAACAGATGCTCCGCGTCGTATGCATGGCAGTTACACAGAGACCGGTGGCAATTCTGACAGAAAAGAGGAATGTGTGTTGGTTTAGAGCGAAGAGAGGAGACCACCTTTCCTTGAAAGGAAGATAGAAATTCGCTGAAAATGTGTTTCCCGGATGAGATTGTCCACCTGGACATGCGCAACAGCAATGTGGGCTTTGCGAGCCTGAATGACTGTACAGAATGATGTTTCGCAAACAAACCTGACATTTCGACCGTCATAGCAAGTGCTACGAAACTTGAGCAAACGTACGCGCACGAGAATGGCGCACTAACAAATAAGTCCACATCCAATACACATACATGTACACTTGTACTAGCCAGCACCAACTTACATTTGACCAAAGCCTAATCCATAGCTGTCTGGATACTTCCTCGAGATGCTGAGGACACTCCTGGTCAACGGCAGTCAGGAAACGCTGAGCAGTTAGAGTTCCTTTTCAAATACAAGTCCATGTGTGCCAAGAGCAGACAACAAAGGTGAGTACGAAAGGAGCAGAAAATCAGTGAGCTACACTTACATCCTGAGGCTACATGTGCCTCGAAAGACAGCATCGGAAGAGCAGGATTGAAGGTGTGTTTTCTCTACCTTTTAAAGTCCTTAACCATCCGTCCCTGTGCTATGTCGTGCCAGGCTGCATGCGCGCGCACAATGACATGTGTAGTACAATGACCCCATCCACACAGAACTTTACCTTTCGTAATGATGTACTGCCAGCACTCCTGATAGAACAAAGAACACATGCGTACACACACACACACGCACACACACCACACACACACACACACGCATATACCAGGACCGTCGGAAGCAGTTTTTGATTGGTCCGGTAGTTTCAATGCCTTTCATACTTTGTGTATTATATGGCGGGTACACATGACATCCATAGTAGCAAACAAGTGTTGTTGGCGCAAAATGCTGGTCCGGTAATAACCTGACCGACCGGACCTGTTCCGGCGGCCCTGCATACACACACTCACGCACCGTCTGTCTACTTCACGGTCAGGGCGTGATCTTGACTGACTTACTGGATTCGTTTTGAGCGGGATGTCCATGTATTCAGCGAGTCGTTTCAAGTCCTTAACCATGTATTCACCGCGCTGCTGGAGAAGACCAGGTGGTTGGTTACCTTAGCAGAGGCATCACGCACACACAGTATGCTCAGAATTTCAGATACCCACGGGCACACAGAGTGTGTTCATACACATATTGGACAGTGCCGTTCAAAACATGCCGGGTCTGCCGACAATCCATCGCACAGTACTTAACCAAACCCTTACCTGTAGCATGCATGATACCGCCCAGGAATACCGGCTGAAGTTTCAAGTCCATCTGCCATGGTTTACGATAGCGGCACAAAACCTACATACATATCGCAGCAAACAACATACACACACGCGCACATACACCCACCGACACACACAATGACCCACACACAAGTGAGAAGAAAAGATTTCAAAACACGGACACACACACACACATGCACAGATGCACACACACACACACACATACACACACACGCGCGCGCACACACAACTGTTCTACATCCTGAATGCATCAGGCTGTGCAGACATGGACGAGGCTGGTATCAGTGACTATGTACATGTACGCTGCACATGGTGCTACTTCATGACAATACTAGTACGGAACGGAAGCAGCCTTGCCGCCAATTGGCCCGAATCATCGGGTACAGAACAGCATTTCCCCGCAGTTCAACTGCAGCACACGTGTGCAAGGCAGCTGTGGCTGATTACACACTACACTGTGTGGATCAGGTCAGAGCTTTGGCAGCAACTAGTCTTTGTGTCAAACTCTGACAAAGTACGGGTGCCGAGTGCTGGCGCCATTGATCACCACTGCCAACAGTATAATATTCTTGTCCACATGCACAGAGTCACATGCTATTTTTGTTCACAACTGTACAGGATACCGATAGTGTACGGGATAGGGGCTAGGGCAGGTGGGAACAATTGAACACTGGCATGACCAAATCTCCCAGCCCTGACGATTCCCGTACTGCCACTACGGAACACATAATTTGAGCAGGTTCGCCGCTTGTGCAGATGTCACCGGGAGGGGCCGGGAAAGGCTCTTCGGTAAGTCCAGCCGCTCCTGGTGTGTACCACGCCCCAGCATGATATGTGACCCAAGCCTTACTCATGCGGATGGATGTATTGTCAATACGGATTGTTATTTTTCCAGATTGAGCCATTATTTTTATGTTTCTTGAGTGACTTTGTAGACCTTGTACATGTACTTGTGGCAATCGTACTGAACATTTCAAATAGTCCAATTGTCAATTCTAAAACACATTTTCAGTTATAGTCTTTTAGGTATAGGGATAGCAGTTAGTCATCAAGCTAAATAAATAGCTCAATTGGAATACCAGCAGTACAACGCAGTACCTCGAAAGCTAGCCAGGTATAAGGTGAGGTGACATCATAGTAGAGATTTACAGCAAGTCTCCGCGTAGCCATCGTAATCGTAAAACTACATACGAGAAGAGCCAACTCAACAGGCAACCCGCAGTATTTACACCCTGTATGTGTTTCTGATGAGTATCTCGATTCTACTTTGAAGTACAAATCAATGACTCGATCTTCAGCTTTCAGTTAGCAGGTTTAATAGGGGAGATCGATCTTCGACAGTCGAGTCTGAAATCGGACTAAATGTATTGGTCAGTGACCTGAGTAAAGAGTTAGTCTTACACAAGTAAGGTTGATCTAAATTGATCTACGTCGGTGTCACAATCATGTCAGTGTTTTGAATGGTCAGAGGTCAGAACCGTCTGGTCATGAAGTGCTGTGTGAAACCAAGAGTACATAACTCTTGGTGAAACCGAAGATGCATCCTGTTCAGTGACTCGCAAAAGCTTTTTCAAACCCCAGAAAACGCCAAGCTGTAAGCAGTCAAGGCTGCGGAGAACGCACGAAAAACAGTAGGCAAACGTTAAACGGAGTGTAGTAGGAGGAAGAATATCGATGCATCAACAGAATTCAAGCGCGATCATATCAGGGAGTCAGCAGACTGTCACCCAGATTCCTTGCACAGGTATGACTGCTGTCACAGTGTGTGTATGTCAATTTGTGCATCATGTCAGTGCGGCTGACCTTCATGTAGATTGTAGTCTTTGTGGTACACTCTCACAACACCAACACACAGAAGTCTCTGCTGAGAGCACGGTGGCTCGGCAATGGCGAAGGACCGCATCTTGTCGGTACCACATTCTGTGGAATGAAATCCAAAATCGGAGCGATTTCGCAGCGTCTTAGCGCAAATTGTTTCGAGTTATCCACAAAGACACAAGCTTTCCAACTCTCTTCGGCCGTTGGAAAGCGTACCGTACCTTTTCACCATTGTGTACTATTTTCTTGTGCATTCCCGGTCCCGCGGATAATGTGGGTTGTATGCAAAATTTCTCGAAAACGCGGAAAATTGTGCGCCCACGGAATCGCGGTATCCTGTGGGGACAGGCAACACTTTATAGGGCGTACTTCTCCACCGTGCTGTATCCATCGGCGGTGCATTGTCTCTTTGCGTTGGGATTTTGTTCAACTCGTGCACGTGGATCATGATGGTATGATAGCACGCAGTCTAATGTTCGACTCATGCAGGTACTACTAGTACATGTACTTGGATAGACGTAGCTCTCGGCTGCCATACACTGTCTTGATGATAACAGTATGACCAAACTTTCACGAAGCCGGTTTGTACCAACAATAGTACCGTGAACTCTTGCTAGTACACATCAAGACATGTAGCGGCGAAGCCAATTATAAATCTCCTGAGCCTAGGCCCTTCCTACATACCGTTAAGTCGTGTATAACAGCCGTGGCTTACGTGACCTTTTTGGGGAAATTTTGCAGGCTTCTATATGAGACCGGCTTCTATACAAGACAGGCGTTTCTATGTATGTCAACACTAAAACCAGGCTTACGTACAGTGATCTTGAAAATCAGGCTTCTATTCAAAACAGGCTTTAATACAAGACACTACGGTCTCTCATGTAGTACTTCGAACTACATGGTAATACTGTGGCGAAGCACAGCAATACAGTCATGACTCATATCGCATGCATGCACCTTTTTAGAAGTAACCTCGAGGTTAAAGAAAGGGGCACGACTTGCAATCAACGGTGGTGCGACTTCAAGTAAACACACAGAAACATTACTAGCATGACAGACACCTGAGAAATGAGAATTTAAAACTACTTGAAGAGATATCTTACAATCAAAATATTCATAACTTCGAGGGAGCTGAAAACGATCAAGACTTCTTCTTTCCAGATGAGGTGAAGGTAAGATGTTACCATGGAAGTTAAACATCTCAGTGAGGATAAAATAGAAGGACTGTGCTGTACTTTGCAAATGATCAAGTACTAGTACTTTGTCATGGTCAAAGGCAGCAGAGCCGCTATCATGTAAAGGTACTAGCAGGTGGGCTGCAGCATCGTCCACACACGCCCCGATAGTTCTTACAGCCTTGACCGGGGCTGTTGTGGTCGAGGTCCCAGCCATGGCTTACCTGCAGAGTGGGGCAAGAACAAGAGCAGGGTGGTATAAGGCAGAGTCACCAGCAGCCTTGTACATTAAAAATGATCACCAGACAAGAAGTAAATCTCTTTTCCGCAAAATGTTCAAAAAATCGCTGCGTAACCGTCGACCAAACGGGTATCCGTTAGTTTGGCCCTAACGGTTACATAACCGGTTATTCGTAATAACCGTTGCAGCCCTAACGTACAACATATATGCAGGTACATACACCCAGGCGTTGCCCCGCTGTTGAGAACTCACCTGCCAGGAAGGCCATTAGCTCTAATCTGTCACTGCCAAAGAACATTTGCGGTTTGCTGAACTTTGAAAGCTGAATAGTGAACACTGGCAATCCATACGCCTGAGATTTGGCAGCGGGGATGCACAAAATACACAAAAATGCCCATAGCAGAATGGTCAAAGCCTCAGTCAAATTCTCTGCTGAATGACCAGGAGGATGATACCATCCTTTTCACTGTTTTCAGTGCAGTGTACAACCACATATCACACGAGCATACTGTCTGATGCAAATCTTTGAACATTGCCCTATCGGAGAAGGAAGAAAGACCACCGGAAAACTATAACCGGAGCATGTTCCAGAATGCAAGTTTCTTACCTCACAATCGAATAATTGCCAAGTACATGTATGAAAAAAATAGAACTTGGAGAACTCAGGTGTAGAGCCAATCATAGTTGTAAAAAGAGAGAAAGAACAATAGGATGTAAGTTTTATGTTTCAAAAAGAGTAAATTATCGTGTCCGTTCCCGAAAGGGAACTCACAACGGCCGCTAATACCCGGTTAACCCAAGTATTGGGTAACATGCCTTTTAGTATACTATAAAATAATGATGACATATTTGTACATCAAGCTTGCAAACTGTACTCACCCCAACATCAACGGCTTCTTGGGTAGCTGCCTTCAGTTTGTCCTTGATTTCTGGTGTTTGGGCCAGCCTGCACAGCTCCTCTGCAGTGCCAGTACTCATGCCAGCCTTTGCACAGACCTGCAGGTCACACAAACAAAAACCAGGTGCAAAAAGTGCATGTAGAGAACAGGTGAAGCAGGCGCAAATACACCACACGCTTACTTGTACATTCAAAGAAATCATTAGGAAGGCATGGCATGACTGAATTTCGTGACTGGAGTGCTATTATCACATAATATCACATAATATCTGCTGAACAATGATTATAATTATGATCATTGTTCAGCACACCACTGTGGTACTAGGGCTTGACTTAGTTCAGTGGGTAAATCAGCCTTTTTTTCTATTTGAACAACGCGGTTCAAATTTCCACAGGATTATAATTATGATGCATTGGATACAAACGAACTCACACACACACACACACACACACACACACACACACACACACACACACACACACACACACACACACACCTCATGAAAGGTCTCCTCCTCGTGAACTTCTTTGCCCTGAAAGCAACCGGAATGGAACACGAGACAAGCACCGTGCACTGTTAGTATTTGTCCGACATTCCATGTTGGGAAAAAGGACATAGCAAGATAGGCACAGGTCATAGCAAGATAGGCACAGGTCATTGCACGATAAGTGTGAAATAGCACAGACTCTACAAATAGCAGTGTGCTCGTGAGAACAGTCACTGAATCAATGGCCGTCAACGTTTGCCAAAGTTCAATTCCGAATTCCATAATGTTGTCCATTGGCAGAGGTATATGCTCCTGCGTGTATGTGTAGGGTAAATGTCAAGCCGGGCTCACAGTCTGAACCGCACTCACCTTCGACCAAAGCCGGACCCATAGCTGTCTGGAGACATGCTCCAGGTGTTCAGGACAGTGCTGAGCCATGGCTGTCAGGAAACGCTGAACGGGCAGAGTTCCTACGGCGCCAAACACACACACCACCACACACACACACACACACACACCACACACACACACACACACACACACACGCCACCACCACAGTCATACAGATCTCATATTTCATAGGCCAATACAGTTTATTCCTTTAGCCGAGCTAGGCTAAGGACTCACACTGTGGCTGCATTATTGTCATGTTGTCGAGAAGCCTTGCCTGATTGACATGCTGTATGTTGATAATGCATGGTTATGAAGGGGTGTTGATAAAAGAACTACTAGTACCAGCTGTAGCGATCTTGTGCCCTGACGATTGGATAACCAATCACGTCTGGTATCTGTTATGCCTTATCATCTGAAGGTACTTGCACATACTGCTCTGTTCTCACTTGGAAGAATCTCAGTCTGCATGCTTGTTCTTTGGCACACAGAGGTCAATGTAACTGTAAGTACATGCAAATAAACTTACCCTGTGTCATGGTATACTGCCAGCATTCCTGGTTAAGGAACAGATGTCGCAGACATCAACACACATACGCATGCGCACACACACACACACACACACACACACACACACACACACACACACACACACACACACACACACGTAGAGAGATTCAGAACCACAATGAAGATGCATTGAGCTGAATTCTCTAATACTGTCCACCCGGCGACTGCAAATCACTACAGTATCCACAGCGGCGTAACTTACGGATTTCATAACTAATGGCACATCCATGAGTTCTGCAAGCCTCTTCAGGTCCTTGACTACATAGTTGGCACGCTGGGGCGGTACGTTCTTCAGCTGATTGCCTGCCGTGCAACAACAACAGCAACAATGACACAACAACGGTGAAATAACACACATCAACATGGGCGAAGGCTTTAATCAGACACTATGCACTCAAGAAAGTGTGATGCATACGCAACACACCAAAGCGCCGATGAGGCATAACAAGGTCGAAACATTCGAGGCGTTTTGCGCCGCTGTGTGTGGCTTCCTGTTATAACCGGCACTGTTTTGCTATTCAGTGAACCCACTCTAGTATCGTAGCTACACTACTGTACTATGATATGATCCTAATTCGAGTAGTCAGTCATGAGTCACTATGACGTCATGGAGATATATTGTAAAGAGCATGACTATGGTTATGAGGTCATAGCTGTCACAGAGACATTCACTAATTTCAGCATGACGAAATTATGGTGGTATGCAACACAGATGGAACGCACACACACAATAAAAAGAGTCTCTACGGTCTGCCAGCCTTGACCGATGATTGAATCCGTACCAGTGATATTTCTAATGCCAGATAGAAACACTGGTTGCAGCTTCAAGTCCATCTGCCAGAGATCACGATAGCGGCACAGCACCTGCAATGTCAACAGATGAAAGGAACACTATTCATAAGCTCTCACAGTTTACTATGTATGTGGCCACTGGCCGTATTTTACTGAAACGATTATACCGCCGGATTACTCGGCAAACCCCCGACTTCACCCCAGACAAGTGTGTCTTTATGAGCCCTCTGTTACTGACTAGTGACTGCACTTAATCTTCTTCATCTTGTTTGCACGTCCGCGTTACCACCGGCTATACAATTGCGTTGAGAAACACAACCAGCTTAGGAAGTTTCGCATGTGCCAGGCCATCTTAATGGCATGAAAAAAAACACAAAAATCGACAAATGAAGTGGGCGAAATAGTGGTTGCGACTTCGGCGATAATTTGTAAGATAGGGTTTGTTCCCCACATGGGGTGAATTCCCCGAAACACTGTGTATTGAGCAGGGAGTGGTGCGTTCTTGCAGGTTTGCCGAGTCGTTGGCTCGATGGACTTCTCGTGTGCTCTGGATGGCAGTCGTGAGTGAGTCAAGTGTCAAGTCAAGTCGGCGGAATAGCGCGAGCTCCAGTGTGGGGAGCAAACCTTTCTTACAAACGAGTAGGGGGTGCCACTTTTTCACATGAGGGCACTCAATCCAACTTCGGAGCCACCAACCAACTGGGTCTGTTTTGCGTACTGCGACATCTGATTTTCCGTATTTTGCAGTGCTTTTGCGCACTGCCAATGTACTGCCGTATGCATTGTGTTTTTTTTACACTCCTATGCTTGTCAGTAGCTCGGTTTGCTACATGTAGTGCAACACATGTGTGACTTGTACTACATGATTTGTTTGTGCTTCATGTAGTCGAAGCACGGTATGCACTCGCTTTGGCACAGGGATATTCATCGCTCAGCTTGCACTTGCCATGCTTCTACACACATAACTGTAGCTGATCGATTGTCTTCAATTTTCCATACCATTTTGCTCAAATTCTGTAGTGCGGACGAAGGAGTGATTTTCCGTACAAACACGGAAGGTTGGCAGCACTGAAAGTTAATGGGTGGGGGGGGGGGCGCTGCCCCCCCCCCCCCTCCTTTGGCTAGAACTGAACCAACGCTTTTCCTACCGACTTAAATTCCTACTTGACTGACTCACACTGCCATCCAGGGAACACCAAACGCCAATTGAACCTTCCACTTGCCAATCCATTCCATGTACATGTACATGGATCAATGTTTTCCCAAACGAAATTGGTCAACCCCCGGGCCCTCCACACCCCCTCCCCCCCCCATACTTTTGGTATTACTAATGACTGTACTGACAAAACTTGGATTATATACAATGATTTACCTCGAACGCTAACCAGCTGTAAGGCGAGGTGATATCGTAGTAGAGATTCACAGCCATTCTCTGTGCAGCCATCGTGAACAAAACGGCGCATGCAGCGGCCGCTGGATACTACTAGTACTACAAGCAACAGGACGACAAGAACTCCACAGATTACCACTCGGGGGCATGGGGACGGACCTGGGTGCTGGTGCCTGGTGTTAGATTTACCAGGGCAGTAACGCTACGTATTAGTATTAGCGCCTGTGTAAAAATATAGAAAATAATTATTATTATTTTAGGGCCTCGCAGTCATGGCAATCGTAACCTAGTGACGCTGCCGCCACTCTGCTGCAGTGCTGGTGCTAGCTCCGTGGTTGACTTCAAACTAAGACGAAAATGCACTACTCAGTAGTACTCTACGCCAGTGACCAGTGTAGTGCAGTGCAGTCAGAGCGAGGAACGGTACTTAGCAGAGCCTGGTGATCTGGTGATGGCATGAGCAGCCAGGGATACGACGACAGAAGCTGCTGTCGGATACAGTCTGTAATTGTGTCCTAAACAATTTATCTTTGCTAGTCCTGTAAAAGCGGGTCCAGTTCATTAGAAACTATTCCGAGTATTCGTAAGCTTTCGTTCACTGGCCTACACGCATTGACCTGTACACAAGGTCTTCGTCGCTAAAACTGAGTGGACTGGACAAGGATCCCAAGTCGGTTGGCCTCTGGTTCGAGCTCGTCTGTCATCAAGCTTTTCGTCCCATTTCTTAGCGCGCCCTCCTCCCTTCACACAGGTACGTAGACGTACATATACACGCACATGTATTACCAGGGGAAAGTATCTCTTTTCCATGGCTGTGCGCATCGCGAGTGAGACAAGAGCGTGGCAGACACAAAGTGCACGACTCTGATGTTTGTTCTGGTACGTGCGACAGGCCAGGCTCGGATGCTTTCAACAGTCCTAGGCCTATAAGCACAACAGAGTTTACTAGTCTCGTTCATGCACTACATCATAATTATAGACTCTGCCTCTATCCTGGCCTGATGGTTCATGAATGATGCGTGGCATCATACGCGTTTGAAAAACCTACATCTTTCTGCGACTTGTTCTATTTACAAATCAGCTGGTCCAAATGTCTGAAGAGGCACCGGCAGTACTCCGTAACGAGGAAAATAGCACATACACGTTCATGTTAGGGGCCAAGGCAATGCAGCCTTACTTTATTGCAGGGTAATAACAGTTATCACTGCAGTGCCGGCTGTATCACCGCAGTGCCGGCTGTATCACCGCAGTGCCGGCTGTATCACCGCAGTGCCGGCTGTATCACCGCAGTGCCGGCTGTATCACCGCAGTGCCGGCTGTATCACCGCAGTGCCGGCTGTATCACCGCAGTGCCGGCTGTATCACCGCAGTGCCGGCTGTATCACCGCAGTGCCGGCTGTATCACCGCAGTGCCGGCTGTATCACCGCAGTGCCGGCTGTATCACCGCAGTGCCGGCTGTATCACCGCAGTGCCGGCTGTATCACCACAGTGCCGGCTGTATCACCGCAGTGCCGGCTGTATCACCGCAGTGCCGGCTGTATCACTGCAGTGCCGGCTGTATCACTGCAGTGCAGGGCGTATCATGGCAGTGATGTGCAAAAGACAGCATTATTCACTCTTCTCATTCTGATATTGTTCCAATAGGACCGTCGGCAAATCCCAATGTCGCACCAGCTAGCAACAGGCCATTGCTGAACACGGGCAGAAATGGACGTCACAGTCAGTGACACCAACACGCTAGCCGAAGCGGCTGGTTTGCTGGATGACTCGGCCGACAGCAAGAAGCCTGACAAAACGGCTGCCGTGGTGGACACTGGCAAGAAGACACGGGAATTTGTTGATGGAACGGTCGCAGACCTTGTAAGAGCACGTTTCTCAAGTAATGGGAATTCTAATGGGTCGCGTTTGGGCACACTGAAGACTCATATTAATGATATGCTTCGTGATAAAGGAGAATTCATGTGTGTTGGATTACTAAACATTAAGGTATTTTTCAAAGCAATACACTACATGACAATACACTGCATGACAATACACTACATGACAATACACTACATGGCAATACACTGCATGACAATACACTGCATGACAATACACTACATGACAATACACTACATGGCAATACACTGCATGGCAATACACTACATGACAATACACTGCATGACAATACACTGCATGGCAATACACTACATGACAATACACTACATGACTTTTGGTACCTATGTATTGCAGTGTACCCATTTTCTTTTGGACGATCCCGTGAACAAAACACGAATGAATGGACGTGCTTGTTTCCGGTTTAGTGTTACATGTCCCTTGATGTAGTGTTTCACTTCATGAATCTCTGAACTACTGTACAACACTTTATTATTCCTGCTGTAACTTAGAAGGTCGGTAATTTCGGTAGAGAAACAAGTCCCCTAAATTTAGATTTCAGCTAACAGGCACTGGAGTATGTACCGTGCGTGGAGGGAATGTTGGTGACCTAATCCGACTCTACACTTGAAGCCCCGTATGATCAGGACTCCGGCACCAACGGTTTTACGCATCCGAAATACAGTAGATACTTGTATCAGATCTTCCTGTTAGCCGGCTAGTTCCAGAACTAACTCCCTGCCCGGGTGCATTGCTGTGTTCCTGTTAGCCAGCTAGTTCCAGAACTAACTCCCTGCCCGGGTGCATGGCTGTTAGCCGGCTAGTTCTAGAACTAACTCCCTGCCCGGGTGCATTGCTGTGTCTATGCCCGGCTAGTTCTAGAACTAACTTCCTGCCCGGGTGCATTGCTGTTAGCCGGCTAGTTCTAGAACTAACTCCCTGCCCGGGTGCATTGCTGTGTCTATGCCCGGCTAGTTCTAGAACTAACTCCCTGCCCGGGTGTATTGCTGTGTCCATGTTCATGTCAACCCTCGTTGCACTCTGGTGCGTCTGTGCACAGGTGGAACTCGAAGCACTGCAGTCCACGCCGACTTGCTTCCTGGTCATCGGAAAGCCGGTATGATCTGTACCCACTGCACAACCACGCAGTGCTACGGACTCTTCTGACCTTTTTTTAAATGTGATTTCAGTCTGCTTTTATTAGTTGGCTGTGTACGACCGCTATTGATTGCTGCAAAGTAACCTTTAGGGTATCACAATGTGGAATATAACGGTGGAGGGGTTTATTCATAGTGTAGAGATTCTGAAGTGAATGGTTGTTATGGGTGGGTGCAGGGTTTTCATACGGTTGGCCAATGTAAACTTCCTTCTTTGTGTTACTAGTGACGGTCTTCAACTTTCTTACTACATGTAGTGTTAGTTCTAGGTTTTCAACATTCTGAACAGTCTGCCTCTACAATACCATTCTAGGAGAGTACAGCATGTACGGCAACTTGGTTTGCCTTCTGTTGTGTTGTGATCGAGCTCAGTTCCACACAATAATGTGTTGGTGTGTTGCAATTGCTTGTTGACAGGGCATTGGAAAATCGTCGCTGGCTTCTCGCGTTGCCAAGTCCTGGGGCTGTGTACATGTGAATGGTAGGAAATAACATGATGCTGCTGTGCATGCCTGGTTTGTTGGATTGAATCAGCTTCACGAACATTACTCGACATAATTACATTGCATGGGATGGAGCTCAGTGTATGTTGTGAGTAAAGAGTTCCAGTGCACTGTTTTGTGACCATGGCTCAGATATTTCCATCCTGCCTTGGATCCCGCCTGGAAACACAAGTGGCATGCACGTCGAATATACATCTGATCGCAGTTCATGTGTGTGTGTATGCATTGTGTTCTACTTGGTGTGGCCTTCCCTGTGACAGTCCGCAACTCCATACTGCAAGCCATCGCCGAAGAATCCGATATAGGAAAGAAGGTATTGGTTGCAAAGTGGGTGTACATGTGCCTGCAGTACTCACGGAAGGAATTTCCTGCACGGCGCCATTGTCACTGGCTGTACAGTACACACTGAGAGTATCACTGCAACTGATCTCTGTTGCTCGGATTTCTGTTATGGTACCCTCAAACACCACGGTGTTATAGCAATGTTAGGTTCACGATTCCGTATATGCACACACTCAATCATGAACCTAACAGTAAGAAACAAGTATATCAACCGAAAGCACAATATATTCGCTGCTGGGGAAATACTTATGCACGGTTTGTGTAAAAAATTCTGCATGCATGCTGTGAAGTTCAAGGAATCAGACTAGTCCAAATAAAACTGAAGGATCTGGAAAGCCAATATACACAAAGTACGCACGTTCTATATTCCCAAGTGTTATTTCTGACTGTTCGCTGGCTGTGCATGCATATGCCCATCCGGGCGTGGGTGTCAAATTGGGTAGTGGTACTTGCCGAACTGTAGCATATTTGCATGTTAGTTGGTGTCCTTTTGTGTCGGATATGATGTAGTGTGCAGAGCTTCTAGAGAATGGAGAGGCGGTAGGTCCGGAACTGGCCATTGAAGTGATGAGGCACAGAATGACATTGCCAGATGTTGCTCACTATGGTAAGTCCCGCTGCAGGGGTTGCATCTGACACTCCGTTTCAGCGCGAAAACACCTCATGAGCACCAGCCAGCAGCAGGAGTCAGGGTCTCAAATGGAGTTGTGAATACAGATGCTGAGGATCATCGATCATGCGCAACGCTATCACTTCCAACCATCTAGTCTCACACCTGCGCAGGGGACATGGCAAATTTAGATGTTGTGACTTCTGTGGTAAATTTGAAAGTGATAGCGTTGTGAATGGACAACGACTCTCAGCGTCTGTATTCACAATAATACGTGTGGCTCCGACTCGCGCTGCTGCCTGGTGCTCACAAAGGTGTTTGTCGCGCTAGAAACAAACTGTCACGTTCAGCTGGTATTCCTAGTGATGTATGGGCTGGGAGAGCACTACATAAAGCATTACCCTCAGAGCACAAATTTCTTTGGCCTTTTCAAGCTTGACTGATCATGGGTGAATTGCCCGCACGCTGTGGTACAAGGAAGGAGTGGTGCTTGCTTGCAGGTTTGCCAAGTGGATGGTATGGGAAGCAGGTACCTTCGTCTGGGAATTCTTCAGTCATGGGATATCAGAGAAAGTGTGTCGGTTCAGGTTTACATACAAGTAATAACTATAGGACCTAAGTGTATTGATATTGTGAAAATGTATGTTGGAGTCAGCATTCTATAATGGCAATGGCTGATTTATGAGGTTGGTGTTTGCTGTGTAGGCTACATCCTGGATGATATACCGTGTGCCGGTGAGCCCAGCCTGACCTGTAAACAGCAACTGGAGATCATCAAGTCACTGCGTATGAAACCGGACGTCATTATCAACTTGAAGGTATGCTGTCAACGTGTTAGTCACACAGGCAGGGCACATCAGCTGTTAAATGCATTTGAGTGCCACAGCAAAATGCATTTGATGTGTTCAATGCCTGTGTACACTACTTCTCATACCATTATCATATGCAGTGTCCGCTCATGGAGCACACTCTGTCGAACCGAACGTAGAGCACTTGAGCTACCCTTTCTGACAATTTGAGTTCCGTGTATTGCAATACCAAGAAAGCATGCTAGATTAATCAAATGACCGTAGACTTAGATCCCGGGCGTTAACGTTGTAATGATGTGTTGATTTCTAGGTGATTCTGTCAATTTGGTCACTTCGATACCTTCTCATTTTGTGCTCCCACCGTGCAGATGAAGGATGTTGACATAATCTTAAGGAGAGAAGGCCAGAAAGTTGACCCACTGACCGGAGATGTGTTCATCCAGAATGTGCATTCCGGCAAGCCGAAGAGTGAGGATTCAGATGATGAAGAAGAGCAGGAACAGAAAGAGTCGGGGGAAGGCCAAGATGGAGAAGACGAGGAAGAAGGTGATGAAGATAATGAGGAGGAGGAACAACAGGAGAGCAAAGACGTAGGTTTCTGCACTGTACATTTTGTGGAATATCTACATGCATGTGTGCAGCTCTTGCTAGCTTTGACTATGGCTATGGCTATGGGGATTTCGCTGGCTATGGGGCTATTGCTGGCTATGGGACTATTGCTGGCTATGGGGCTATTGCTGGCTATGGGGCTATTGCTGGCTATGGGGCTATTGCTGGCTATGGGACTATTGCTGGCTATGGGGCTTTTGCTGGCTATGGGGCTATTGCTGGCTATGGGGCTTTTGCTGGTTATGGGGCTTTTGCTGGCTATGGCCCTATGGGGCTTTTGCTGGCTATGAGGATCTTGCTGGATATGTTTATTTTGCTGGCTATGGAGCTTTTGCTGGTGACGGCTATATGTGTTTGGAGGTGCAATTGAGGTATTTGTATTCTCCAGAGGTATGGACATGTACACTGCACGGAGCACAATGAGCAATATCAAAGGGACAGCGGAAAGCAACTGTTGATTTTTTGCCGAGCGGCGAGCCATTACTGTACTGGTCGTGATTGCATTAGAATAGTGTGGTACCGGCATGGTTCGGTCTGTGCATTCTGCTGAAGGCTGTGCATTCTGCTGAAGGCTGCAACCACACTAAGTACAAAATCACATACAAACGGCATTGCAGTAGAAATCGTCATGGCGACCCGCTCGAAATGCAAAATGCGGTTTGTAGGTTTTCAGCAACCGGCGCACCCCTGTAGAAAGCCACGTTTGTCGTTTTCGTCGTTTTCGCGCTCCATCTACTGTGTACAAATGTTTTACCTGGTCGTCGTACATATCATCAGCAATTAGCATTGTTTTTGAATTTCTCGGTCTTTTCTAGCGCATGGCACACGCTTTGGTACAACGTCACGTGCTGGTCGCGTGAAAACGGCATCTATGCAGACCGAAAAGTGTAGTGTGGTTGCGTACCGACTTGTACTGAGATATGCAGGAAAATGTGTACTGTGATTTTTACGTAGTGTGGTTGTGGCCTAATTCATCTGCCATATTTGTCATCCAGGACCCAGCTGCGTTTGTGGTGACAACACTTCCTCCTGAGGTATGCGAGAGGCTGGTCAGGCGCGACCTGGATGAGCCGGATCGCATCAAAGAAGGCATGAGAATGTACAAGGAGATGCTGCTGACCGGACTGGAAGATGCACTGGCTAATCACGAGCGCACAAAGCTGATGCAGATAACAAGTGATATCCCCGAAGGCGATGTTTTCAGGGTAGGTGGTCATTGGGCTAGCACTTGTGTTATGTGACCAGGCATTCTCAGTGTGCCATGTGACCAGTGTGTCCTGTGACCAGTGGGTCACGTGACCAGTGTGTCACGTGACCAGTGTGCCATGTGACCAGTGTACCATGTGACCAGTGTGCCATGTGACAAGTGTGTCACGTGACCAGTGTGCCATGTGACAAGTGTGTCACGTGACCAGTGTGTTACGTGACCAGTGTATCATGTGACCAGGCACACTCAGTTCATATCCAGTAGAGAAAGTTGAATTTTCACACACTGGGTGGTAACCATCTTCACTGAGTTTTGCAGGCTAGCGGAGCATCACAAATCTCACACATTACAATCCTTTTGATATGTGAATGCAAGATGGCCACTAGTACAAATCTGTAGATTCTGTTATCAAGAATATTCCTTTATCCAACAGTGTCAGGTTCCAAGGGTGCTGGATACCTGGCTTGCCCTGGAGGCCATGGTGCCACACCCGCTTTTTCTGCGGAGTAGTTCCACGTACTTCAAAGTAGAAAACGTTCTCTAACAGGTCCCATTGAATTTGAGGTTCTCCCGCCCCCATTTCAAGTACGTTATTTCCATGATTGTCGGCAGTTCAAGTGCACATTGAGTCGTGGTGTTGTGTATCCAGGGGCGTCGGACACGGTACGGTCACTACGGTATTGACCGTACCACTTTTTGCCACAGGTACCCCGTGAAGTAATAAAAACACTCATCTGGGCTCTAAATTTTCAAAATTTTCGCCTCAGCCACCCCTCCCACACGAGTACATTGTACTTCAGATGACTGACCGTACCACACTAAAATACCTTCTGATGCCCCTGGTATCACATTAGAAGGCTGATGCTATGCCTGAGTGTGTGTGTGTCGTATATCCAGTAGGGGAACATGGATTTGAATGCATGTCTCTTTTTCTCTTTGTGCAGTCTTTCACCAAACTCTTGGCCCCGATGAATGTGAGGTTATCGTATCCTGTGAAGCGGCTTAACCGCTCCGGTGATGACGGTGATGACGAGGATGATGCAGATAACCTGACGGATATGGAAGGTGTGTGTGTGTGTGTGTGTGTGTGTGTGTGTGTGTGTGTGTGTGTTGCGTGCTTGTGTGTGTGTACGTAAGTGCATGCACATATGCTGTGTTAGCTCATTTTGGATTGTAGCTACATTGTATGCATACAATATGTGCCTATGGTCTGGGATACCATCTGCCAATGAAAGGAGACAGAGAACTTAGCTAGCCATGGGTGACAGGAAGCCATTACATTCCCAAGGCTCTACAATGATAAGTAGGAAAATACTCCTCTCTGTGTTGTGACCTGTAACAGGGTGTTGTCACTATTGTGTCTGTGTGACTGCTTGTAGGGACAGTATGCCATGTAGGGGTGGGGTTCACGGCATACAGAGCTTCATTTTTTTTTTTCGCCATGGCTGGCTAACGCCCCCTCCTTTGCATTGGCTTCTGCCATTGGACGGTGAAATAATAATAATAATAATAATAATAATAATAATAATAATTGTTATCCCCACTGTACAATGAAGTTGATAAGGCTAACATTCTTCTGCCCACTCTGTCCTGTGTTTTGGTAAACCTTGCTGGACGCTGTTGTTCGGTTTTTTGAAGTTCTCCTCTTCTGTGCTGACGGAACTGGAGCAAGTCATGTCTTGAACTTTGCTTTGGGGTCGATTTTGATGACCATTTTAGGTACTCGTACCTATGAATGTATTGTTGGTTTGTACTTTAATACTGTGATTGAACAAGTAAACTAGTGCCTGCTTGATCCAATGCTCTGGCGTGTTCTCGCTGTGTCAGGCACAATAAAGTGCACTGCTTTATTTATCTATTGTCTGTAGTCACAGATGATGCGATCAGTGTTGGATCCTTGGTAGTTCCCAGGACACAGGTTAGGGTAGTATTTGGGTAAATCGCTGACCACTACCAGCAGCATTCATGCATGTAGACTGGTTAGATTGGACTGGAATGATGGAGTATTTTCACTAACTGTGCACTGGGCATAGGCGAGGATCCAGCTGCGTATGACACGGACGAGATGATGCGCCTGCTGGCATCCACCCAGCCACCGGGACCTGGATTTCGATGGAAGAGAAGCCGCTGGGGCCGCTACTGTCCCGTTGAGCTGAGCCGCGGCAATCTGGCCTTGGGAAGAATTGAGCTGGCTGTCAGGTAAGCCAGAGTCAGTAGCACATATAGACATTAGCTGGCATGCTGCTTGCAGCCTTCATCGGCTGTAGAGCACGGGACGTGCCCTGTATTTCTATAGCAAACAATGGCAGGAAGCTGTGGCTCAATCCGTATATAGTGGTTCAGCAGAGGATGCCAAAATACCTTGCAGGTTATCCAGGTTATGTGAGAGGTCTTGAATACACTACATCTGCAGACATGTATACCCAATTTGCCACCACTTCTGTTCCATATATGGACCATAACCTGTTAGCCTGGATGTCTTCAAAAGGACAGGTGACTGTTGACTCGCTTGGTATTTTGTTTAACATGAATACTGTAGGCTATAGTATTACATGCATACACTATAGCATTACTTGCATACACTATAGCATTACTTGCATACACTATAGCATTACTTGCATATACTATAGCATTACTTGCATACACTATAGCATTACTTGCATACAGTGCAACACTGATAAATGTACCCTGGCGGCGAACTAATTACGGTATGAGGGCATGCACCCCGAGTTCCACGGCACGCGTTTTGGATTGCAAAAAGGTACACCATCTCTAAGGGCAGGTGTCTCCCAATTCCTTTGTTTTTGATTCTCTAGCTTCCTAAGTCGCTGCTATTGTTTGTCCTCGGTCGAGGCGTTCCAAGAGTTCCGTCGCAACCCGCGGCGCTTTCTGGTTGGAGACATGCCCCGTAATCCGGTCAAAATCGCCGTTCTTGGTGGTCCCAAGACTGGAAAGTCAACTCTTTGCCACGAGCTGGCTGCTCACTACGGAGCCGTTGTAAGCTATGCAGTTATACTGACAGCTGCTGTTGAAAAGCCCTGGTGCATGGTTTTTCCTGCAATGAGCCTTGTGCATTGTGAAGTGTACACTTCAATATCTAAGACTTCATGTGAGTTACTGTATATCGACGTCTTTTCCTAGGCTGCCACTAGTTGGCCATCCAGGTAAGAGAAATCACAGACTGGTAGGTTGAGCCCTATGGTTGCATGAGCCTGGTTAAATTGCCGTTATTCATAGTCTAAGAGTGCATCAAGCATTGCCCCTCGCACAGTGGACGTACTTGCAGTGACGATTTGGTAAGAACGTTGGCCTAATCAGTTTGAAATTGGCACGGTGATACGCACGTGTACATGCATGCATACTTTATGGTGCTAGTAGTTCACTCTGCATGACTTTTGCAGCCTGCAACCAATTCGTGACGGTGTAGGTGAACAAAGCACGTCAAAATGATGTCATGATGGTTATGGCGTGTTTCGAACGTCTGATGTGCGCACTGTGCTAATAGGTGATTGATCCGCAGGAGTTGATCGGACCATTCTTGAAAACCCTTCACACCAAGAAGATCGAGGCAGCTAGAGCCGAGAGTTTGGAGGTCGCCATTGACACCGTGCGCATGAAGATCATGACCTCTAACACGGAAGGTACGTCTGTGCATGTGCATCAGAAAGAAATTCAGTGTATGTCTCCATTGCTTTTGAGCAACTGTAACATTCATCGTGTTATAATAGCAGTGTCCTTTTCACTTTAAAGAATGACGATACATCATTTTTTAAGTGCCTGGTACAACAAACTTACAGTCCAGTGTTGGTGTAAGTGCTACATGTAGACGTGTGGACAATGACAGCCTGAGGTGTGTATGCTGCTTGCCTTGTTTTCTCTTTCTTCATTGACCGACGCCAGGACAAGACGAGGACGAGAAGGAAGCCGAGGCCGACCGTGTTTCTGGTGATCATCCCGATGTCCGTGTGATTGTGGCCGACGCTGTTGCTGCTGCTGAACAGGAGGTTCCAGAGGCAACAGGAGAGGCGTACATCGAACTCCTGGAGGCCGAAATCAAGAAACTGGAGGCAGAGAGGAAGGAAAAATCACCCAACGAACCTTAGTAAGAAAATATTGCCAGATCGAAAGTCAGATCAGCACACTGTAGAATGGGGGGGGGGGGGGGCTGCGGTGTCAGGAGCTAGGGGCAGTCTGGATTATTCTAGAGACTGCCCTTGAACATTTTCGGTGCATTTACACGATAGCTATGCCATTCATGATATATTCTGGCACCCAAGCTGTTACAAAAAGAAATAGAAAAGAACAGTGAAAAAGCGGAAGTTTGATAGGAGGTGTGCATCTGCATACACAAGTGGTTGTTGTTCATAGAGTGGAGGCTCAGGATCAAATGTTGCAAGGTTGGCAACAGATGTGTAGTCTGGATTGGAAATGCAAAAGATTGCAGAGCACTGCCACAGCTCACGGTCCCACTGCTACTAACTACTGAAGTAGTTTAAAAAAAGTATGTTTCGTTTCCCAAACTCCGAGTCTAAGCAAACGATGATATGGATATTCAGGTGCGGTGACTTGAAATATGCGAATTCAATGTTTCACACACACACACACACACACACACACACACACACACACACACACACACACACACACTTCAACTTACAGTTTCCAGCTAAGGCGAATGATGGTCTTAAACGTTCATGGCTGCAACTTTCGTCAGCGTAGAATCTTGCTCCTGTTGTCCGGGCGCCAGCTAACTTCTGTTGTACGTGGCATTCGTGGACGTGTGTGTCTGTACCGTACAGTGCCGGTAGATGGATCGTGGATGGATTCCCAAGTCAACGAGAACACTGGCTGGCACTGGAAGAGGTGGAGAACCCTCGATCAAAGCCTGACTTGGTTGTAGTGCTTAGCGACAGCAGCAAGAACGGTATCGACTTGATGAATCGCTGGAAGAAGATGTACGGTGTAGAAGCTGCGCCGGCCAAGACTGATTCCACTGATGCATCTGGTGGAACAGCTACAGAGAGTGACACTGCTTCTTCTGTAAGTCCCGCTGTTGCTCTTAAATCTCTCATGTAGCACATGCGTAGTGGGCCAGAGAGTCTGCAGCTGTCTTGCAGTTCATATTGGTGAAAACCATGTGCCACCATGACAGAAAAATCATGCTAGATTAACTACATGAAAGTTGGTCATCTGTACTGCAATGTAGTTAACACTGTATCAGTTCAGCCTATGCTGTGGCATGGGTGTTAACTATTACATTTTGATATCACAGTCCACTAATACACTATACGGCTGTTTTGCGTGCACCACTTATCAATAAGGCAGTAATTCGTCCGGCTTACCTGGAAAAATCGGCAAAGCTACTCGGATTACTAATACCTTTGAATTTGTGTTGAATACGTGGTCGAAAGACTCGAAACCAAGCGAATCATGGATTTCATTAATTTTTGATATTGATTTCTTTTCTCCAATCAGCATAGAAGCATCGAAGTGATTAGTTTGGAACTGCATTTACACTGGGTAACTCAGTGGACATCCTTACCTTTCTGCCATCTCTAGTCGTGTAGACTTGGGAGCCTTTCGCTTCTCAGCTTGTGGCTGGTAGTCGATATCCCGGATTGAGCATGACAGAAGATACTGGTCGGCAATCACGCTGAAGCATGCTCGAGATGCAGGGATATTCTTGAAACTTTTTTTGTAATTATTCAGTGCTGAGTGCAGGCTCTCAGCGCCCTACTCACCAAGCAACCCGAGCCCAACGCGAAGCCTCTCCATCGGCGGCACTACATGCATTTGGATCATCATTATAATACATCAATAGAACAATACCGCCAGGATCTCTGATTTGTAGCCTTGCACACTGTATTGTGTGTTCTGTTTCTGTGAGGCAAATCTTTTGCCAGCCACCAAGGCAACACATGCCATCTAAATACTATCTGTGGTCGTCCATGGTATGGTGACACCTGGAAAAGTGCCGAACAATCGCCTTGCACATCATGAAGACTCTATGCACGGCACAGGATGATTTCTTCACCAGAGCCTCCGCAGATGTAAACCTGCCAGGAACCCGGCAAATCATCTAAGCGCTACCCAAGTTACGAGTTGCTTTAGAGGCCGCTGCTTTTGCCGCAATGATATTTACACGAGCTCCTCGAAAGGACGATGAAAAATCGGTCTCAACTGACGAACCAAAGGACAAAACAAAGCGGGTGAAGTACAAGAGTGGAGCTTGAACCGCGTGGAGTTCGAATTTCGAGAGTTCAGGTGGAACCTGGGCGAGTCAAATTGATCAGAGCTCAAATTAGACAGAACCGAACAGGATCTCGAGCACAATTGGGAGCAATCCGGATTAAAATTGGTGCAAAACGCCACCATATTTGATGGGTGGGAATCGCGTAAAAAAAACAGCCATGAGTAAAGTGTATCATAGTGTTGATGTCAGCAAGGAGGAACAGCATTATAATTTATAGGATGCAACTGAATATTTAGAATGGCACGCTAGTACGTGATGCTACTATTCTAGATCCACTGCAGCAAAGTGGGACAACTCACTGTGAATTTGAGGCATACATTGATCTCAGAGCTTAGTCTATCCGTACTACATGTGTGTATGTGTGTGTGTGTGCGTGTGTGTGCGTGTACGTGCGTGCGTGTGTGTGTGTGTGCGTGTACGTGCGTGCGTGTACGTGTGTGTGTGGGGGGGGGGGGGGTGTGCGTGTGTGTGTGTCTGGCTACAGCGGTCTGGCATGCCGCCGGAAATCAAACAGCTGGCAGAGAAGCGGTCTACGTACGATAGCAACATCTCGTCACTGCTGACTCTCATCAAGTCTTCTGGCATAGAACCAGTTGATTTGGAGATAGTGCAACCAATAGAAGATGCTGTACGGACCATAACTGATCTGATAGAAGGTGAGGCTGCGCTTACGTATTTAAAATTTTAAATTAACAACTTCCAGCAAAAACATCAAAAAAGCATAATTGAGCTAATGCAGGTGACATTACACCCCTGAAACCCAAGGAGGCTCTAGGGTGAGGTTGGAAGGAGGGGGTAATGTCCACTGTGATCGGTGATAGCATGTATGCGTGTGTCTTCCAGGGTATTACCGAAATTAATTTGGAAGACACATGGTGGATGTAGAAGAAACTGATTTACCCAACGTGCTGCATTTTTCCTGTACCATTCATGAATACTCTCTATAGAGCCATTCAAACTGGTTGCGACTGAAATGACCCAGCAGGACGAAGAGGAAGAGGCGGACGATGCATCAGAGAGGCAAAAGGCGGGGAACTTTGCCTTCGGAGGTGACGACGATGATGATGAAGATGAGGACGACGAGGATGAGGAGCCACTAGGTGGCGACAAGAACTGGGGACCGGCACATCACTACTGTCCCGTGGCACTGCAGCGGGACGGGGTGCTACGGCCTGGGAATCCAGAGTACGGGTGCCGATACCTAAGCAATGTCTACCATTTCATGGATGAAGAAAGTCAAAAGCTCTTCCTGCAGAAGCCAGAACAGTTTCTTCCAGAAAACGGTGTTGCTGAGGTGAGAACTGCTGCTTCTGGTATTTCAAGGGTTTTCCCCATCCTTTGTGAATATGTGTGTGCATGTATTTGCAGGACTTTATTGACAATGGTGGGCTATCATTATCTTTTCATATTATTGTACTTCTTGAACTACTGGTGTACTTATCGTGGCCAAGCATTGATGTTCCCGCGAAAGCTATCAGTTTCAATGTAATTGTTATTCATCATCGTTTCCTTTCTTTCATATATGCCCAGCCTCCTCCGATGCGAATATCCATAGTGGGACCAAAGGCTTCCGGAAAGACCGCCCATTGTCGAATTCTAGCAGACGAGCTGGGCATTTTCCACATCGACTTCCGTGCTCTCCTCCAAGAGTACCTGGTGCCTAAACTGAAGGTGACTACCGCATGATATACCTTGAATTGTGACTGTGTAACAGATGTCTTGCGATAGCGTGTACTCGGGTAGAGGCGAGGCAAGTGAAAACCAGACCCGGTGCATGACGTTCCTCTGCCCAAGACCAAGACCACTGCCCAAGACCACTGCAAGACCACTGCCCAAGACCACTGCAAGACCACTGCCCAAGACCACTGCAAGACCACTGCAAGACCACTGCGCTTAGACCACTGCCCAAGACCACTGCCCAAGACCACAGCGCTTAGACCACTGCGCTTGGCCTCGCCATACTGAGCACTGTCTCTCAGTCACACCACGCATTCACCGGGAGGTCCTCAAAACACACCACGCATTCACCGGGAGGTCCTCAAAACACACCACGCATTCACCGGGAGGTCCTCAAAACACACCACGCATTCACCGGGAGGTCCTCAAAACACACCACGCATTCACCGGGAGGTCCTCAAAACCCGCCCGCTGCTATGAATGTGTGCATAAGCTTGGATTTCACAAGCCACGATTGCAAACTAAAACTTTTTTGAAGCTAAGTCAACAGTTTCAAGACATGGAGCCCATGCACAATGAACAACATTGATTTACTATGACAGAAGCAAGAATATAGGGCAAGATTTCCGATCAGTGCACGACTCATCTGGTGGTCAACGGGAACCAAGAGAATGGAGCAGCACCGGCGCAGCCTCAAAACACAACCAATAAACAGCATGAAAGGTGTTGAAGGAGGGAGCCAATGAAGAGCAGAGGACATGCTAAAACACTAAAAACTGATAGAAAATTCCACAAACTACTGTTTCCTTGCTTTAGTGGCATTCATTTGGTCACTGAATGTTATCAAAGCATATAGATTCTACCACTTGCAAATGACAATCGGACACAACAAAAGCAATCATCACACTACATGCCCCATCAGCCCTGATTGCTCCCTCTTTGCTTTGTTTCGTTTCATGTTGAATGAAAAGTACTAACCGTCAGATATTCTTCTCCACCTTCCTCGCACCCTGTGCATACATGTACGTATAGGTCCCAGTTGGTCGCAATCCCGATGACATTCCAGTGGATGAAGTGGAGGCTGAGGAGAAGGCTGCTGAAGACGTGATCGAGGCCGAGTTCCAAGCGGAGAGGAAAGAGGCACTGGCACTGGAGGAAAAAGAAGCCCGGGAAGCAGAAGAAGCAGCCGCGGAAGGAGAAGATGGAGAAGATGAGAGTTTGAAGGAACCCAAGGTGAGAAATTCATGACATTGTATGGATTAGCTGCTTTTGGTGTCGCTTTGCTGTTATGACCAGATGTATGTTGTTTGGTGGTATTGCTGCTGGAAGACTGTGTATCACACTGTGAGTGTGCTAGTAATAATTGAAAGTGAATTATGGTGCAGTCAGGCATCACATCGACGACGCCCCCCCCCCCCCCCCCACCCTCTCGCTCAATATAATAGACTTGACCCGAGCCCTGACGAATCCATGCCGCAGGCGGTATTGCGGATGGAAGTTCCGAAGTCCAACATAAACCGCCAATATGGGTCCTCATCTTGCTGCATGCTAAATGTGTTTCTCTTCACCGTATGCTTTGACAATAGGATGAGAGCGGCGACTCTGGAGATCAATCCTCAGCAGCCAAAGCCGAACAGGAAGAGGCGAAAGAAAGCATATCTCCGTCGGGGAAAGACGATTTTGCGTACCAGGACGATAACTTCTTCCAGTATGTCGAGGATGAAGGTTCGGAAGAGCCGCAGCTCGATGAGTTTGAAGAAAGCATTCGTGCCTACCTGGCTGATGGAGATGCAATGTCCAATGATGTCGTTGAAAAGGTTCTCAAGCAGTTTTGGTACCATGACCGCTATCGGTAAGGAATACACCAATGATTGTGCAATCTGGCGTAGGTCGTTTTTCAAAGTACTCCGTGCCAGTCCTGGTTGAAGGCAGCCAATAACAGGTTCAACGTGGCAAGTACTATAATAGCTCTCTGCTTTAGGTTGACAAATAGGCATAGGTTATTGGTATTGCTCAGATGGATAGATCACTGATATACTATGGCCACATACATATGATTATGCTACTGCTCGGCAACACCTGCCTGCCTGCCCACTATGCCCACTATGCACACCTGCACACTATCCCACTATGGTCTAAGACCATGATTTAGAAACAGAGGGCACCAGGTTCAAGTCCTGCTTGGAAGCGGAAGGATTTTTTCCAGCCGTGCTGCGACCCCCGGTTAATTTGGAACTTGCCGGTGGCCTGGCACGAGGGAGACGTGGATGCAGCGAATGGGATTTTCGGTGTTTGACCACTTTGTGGTGGGTCTGATCTACTCACTTCCCACCACTTAGGAGCTGCATCTGTGCCCTGATCGTAGAGGGTGGTGGCATCCCTGCCTTGATCCTAGAGGGTGGTAGCGTTCCTGCGGATGCGGACAACTTGGCCTCCAGCCAAGTCTCACGCAAACCGTGAAAAAGATTGTGCAACACATGTCTGAATCGGGACAATGCATGTGATTCGTAATTTTAAAAAAGATGAACGCATGCATCACTCTCCTTGTATATTTCTTCTCCAGCCATTCCGGCTTCATTCTAGAAGGATTTCCTAACTCAAGTGACGATGTTCGAGTGATGGCGGAAATCGGTCTCTTGCCTGATATGGTTCTGGCTCTGACTGTTGAGGAAGATATGGTGGTGAAGAGACTGCTGCCAGGTCGACTAGAACGCTTTAAGGAGAAGCTGGCACGCCGCAAGAAGCGCAACCAGGACCGAATGGCCCTGAGGAAGAAAGAGCGCCAGGAGGACCGTGAGCGTGCAATGGGCAGACGAAGGGTGCAGCTCCGTAGAGGGTTGCTGGAGCAGCAGGTGAGATAGGGGACTGTTGGATGGAGTGACAGGTTTTGCTGTTCTGCTTCTCCTCACGGCATGGATTGCTAGCTCACTGCAAACCAAGTGCATGCTAACAAAGTTCCTTGCTGCCTCTCTATGACAATGATTTGTGTGAAGCTTCTGGGAGCTCGCACATTTTCCCGGTATATGTCTTTTTTGCTGATTTTGATGGTTTTAGCGCCACTGGCTCCGAGTCATTAGGTACATGTATAAGATCAATGTATACGTCCGCTGTTATCCAGTGTTGGAGGTCCGTCCCTTCTTGGACTGCTGTCGTAGTTAACTGATGGGTATGACTCTGTCTACATGCCATCCACTATGTGGACTCTACAACATCTGTGTGCGGTTGCTCGTTGCTTGGTGTGTTGCCCGTTGCTGTGTCGTTGCGTTTCTGCAGGCTGTTGACCGTGCTGAGCGAGCTGCACGCAGGGAGGAGAGAGGCGAGGACTCTGATTATGAGGAGGAAGAACCAGAGGACAACATTGAGGAAGAACTGGAGACACTGTTGGCCGAAGAATTCGCTGACGGTGAGATCATGAGGCATGAGAACATGAGAATATGAACGAGTTCGGGTTAGAGTACTGGTTAGGGTACTGGAGTACAGTCAACTTTGTGTACAACGACACTCGGCCGGGCATCAGAAAAGTGTCCTTATTTGCGAAGTGTCGTTATACCCGAAGTCTCATTATATGTATTACAGTTAGATGGGACTTTGATCTGGGCATGGAAATTCAGTCGTTATTCGCGAATTGTCGTTATATCCGCAGTCGTTATTAGCGAAGTGACTGTCCTCTGGTGTGTAATGGCATGCTAGTTCGGTTGGTGGGTACACTTATGCCAGAGTACAAGTACAAGTACAATGGCATGAAGTGCAACCAGTAGAACTGGGATCTGTCTAGCAAGTGAGCGATTCATCGGCGTTGCTTTCTCCGACTGTATTATTACTCTTAAGTTTCTCGAAATAAAAATGAATGTTGAGCAATGGGCCACGCGCATAAAAATCAGACTCAGAAAAATAGAAGAAAAATGAAATGTCCTCCCCGGCCGGGAATCGAACCCGGGTCTTCCGCGTGACAGGCGGAGATACTTACCACTATACTACCGAGGATTGACTGGGAGTCAAAATGGAAACAATTGAATTGTTACATTGAATTGTTGCGTGTCATAGCAAGCACATTGCAGTCCCCGGAGAAGTCCAGCCAAGTAAAGATGGCCCAGCCAGCAAAGTACATAGGCATCCCATGGACAGCATGTTACACTTTTGTACGCCTTCTTTTATTTCACTCAAAACACGATTGAGTAGACTAGATTGTGGCACCGCCACATCCCGGTGTTCGCATGGCAGTATTTCTTGGAGTGCATATTATTGAATGCATTAGGTGATGTGCATTGTGCAAGCATAGCCCGCATTGCTTCGTCTCACATAAAATCTTGATTGCTACCATTGATTTGGCGTTTGGCATAGTTAGAATGAATGTGTTTATTCTCTTTTTTACATTTATTACTGGCTCCGTATCCGAGTTTAAATTTAAAATGTAAGATAGTCACTGGCTTGAGGGAAAGACGCAAACGGGAAAAGTCGGAAGAAAAAATTGGGTGTCAACACCAGGTCTCGAACCAGTAATGTAAGATTTGAAAAGATACATGGGTATGATAAGTATGAGTAACTGTCCACTACTGTGACAAGATAATAAGCAGTCAGAAAGTGTGACAACTGAGCAAAAAAACTGACAGATTATTGAGACGTTCAACAACCTGACACCTAGCCCCAACGTATCTTCAGTGAGCAAACCAACATCCTTCCAGCTCGGAAGGTTCACGGTTATGTTATTTTTTTACTGTTATAAAACTTACATTGGTGCCAGCCATAGGCTGCTGATGGGCATGTTTGTGTGTAGAACTGTCATGATTGATGAGCATTGAAACTGATCTGATATAATGTTTTTACTGTGGGCTATACAATCTCGGTTTGGGTTCCTGTTGTGTAGATGAGGAAGACCAAGCTGACGAGGAAGAGGAGGAAGAAGAAGAGGATGATATTGATGAGGCTGAAGAGAAGATGACGGGAACGATTTCTGAGGACCTTGAGAGTGAGCAAGATGGGATATCAGGTGTTGTGGTAAGTCCGGAACACCACACACTCCAGTATGCCCCCCCCCCCCCCCCACACACACACATGCAATTGCAAACAGCATGCATGTTTTCACAACAACACAGTTGCATGATGACCATTGCACGTAGAACAGGAGAATACTTTTCCGCTTAAATTCTTGTTTCTCCAGCTGTTAGCATCAAAGGAGAGTGTCACTTCCTAACTCTTCTGGCCATTCGACCTCCTTACTCCTACCACTGTATGACCCTCACTGCGAGGGCTTATCCTTTTCTGCTTCACTGCATTTTGATGTTGCTTTTCTACAGGAGGTGCTTGGTAATGTGGTGGTACCCCATGCTGAGATTGATGCCAATCGTAAGATTCCAGTGGTGCGTTATCTGATCAAGAAGGCACTGGAGAAATACTGGGACCACCGACAGTCGCTCCTGACGAATGCCATCCCGATTGACCCAGACTCTGCTTTTCGGATGGCTAAAGTCGGCTACAAGAAGGCGAGCAAGTTTGGCTCATGTTGCCCAGTCGAGGTAAACTTCAGTGCAGGCTCAGTATGTGAATTACTCTTCAATGTGCTGGTCGAAGGCAATGTAAAATTTCCGGGAAAAAGCCATTATTTGCAACATACTTACAGTGAGTACAAAGTGTCAGGGTTTCAAGTGTGAGTTTCTGACATGCATGTGTCAGGGTTTCAAGTGTGAGTTTCTGACATGCATGTGTCAGGGTTTCAAGTGTGAGTTTCTGACATACATGTGTCAGGGTTTCAAGTCACTAGTGAGTTTCTGACATGCATGTATTTCCAGACAGTAACTGTTATACCCACTGCATGGACACCCATGCAGGGCACCCATGCAGGGCACCCATGCAGGGCACCCATGCAGGGCACCCATGCAGGGCACCCATGCAGGGCACCCATGCAGGGCACCCATGCAGGGCACCCATGCAGGGCACCCATGCAGGGCACCCATGCAGGGCACCCATGCAGGGCACCCATGCAGGGCACCCATGCAGGGCACCCATGCAGTGGATAACACTAAACGGTGCAGTACACAACCGACTGCCGCTGAGTCTTATACAAACGTTGGTTTCCTTTGGTACTGTAGTGAGTCCGATATAATCTGCTTCCGGGTTTGCCGTTTCCTGGTTTGCTTACGGCTGTTGCTCTAACACAGTTGATGGAAGGAATGTTGACGATGCCGTTTCAAACTGGCCCCGGTTCCAAGAAAGCGTTCCCTGTTGTCATGCTTGAGCACATCTACTACTGCTCCAGTCAGCGGGCACGCTCTCTCTTCATTGCCGACCCGCTCAAGTACCTGTCGCAGCCACCGCCACACCCAACCGTGCCTCTCAAGATGGCGATTGTTGGTCCACCAAAGGTGGGCAAGACCTTGGGTAAGCCATGTACTAGACGTGAGTCAGAGTTTATTATAGAACAGTGTCCTCAGTGGAACATCAGCATTAGGCCAGTGTGCTTTGAAGTACATGTATGCATATTCAGCTGTACGCTCTGTGCTTCCCCATTTCCATCAGTGAAATGCATTGCGTCTGCCGTCTTGATCGCTCCCACCCACACCCCTCCCCAGGTGCATCTTTATGCGCTGTGATGCCGAAACTGTACTCGTAGTCCAACAACTTCGGCTTAACAGGTTTCACCCATTCTGCACTACTAGGTATGTGATTTTCTGACCGTTTCCTAATTGTAATGATATGTGCAGTGGGCGTTGGTTCTGAAGTCGTTTATGCGGTGATAAACCTAGCTGTGTAATTCAGCAATTATGCTGTGTTCATGCTGTGTACATGCTGCGTACATGACGATGTTTCTTCTTTGAACCCAATCGGTGCAGTTGCTCAGTACATAGAGTCTAAGTTGGGCTGTGTGCGCCTGAGCATGGGCAGCGCAATCCGCTGGTACATGGACAACATGAAACACACGAATCTTGGAGAGAAGCTGAAGAGCTACCTTCAGCTGGGCTCCACGGTGCCAATGGAGATGTGTATACAGATCCTGGAGTCGGTCATGATGTCAGAATCCATTCAACAGAAAGGGTGAGTACCGTCAACCGAGTGAATAACAAACAACATTTTGTATATAACAACAACTAGCAAATAATGACCTTGGGTATATTCAACCTTGTGAATAGCAGCGACCCTGGGTATATTCAACCTTGTGAATAGCGACCCTGGGTATATTCAACCTTGTGAATAGCGACCCTGAGAATGTTCAACCTTTTGAATAGCGACCCTGTGTATATTCAACCTTGTGAATAGCGACCCTGGGTATATTCAACCTTGTGAATAGCGACCATGGGTATATTCAACCTTGTGAATAGCGACCCTGGGTATATTCAACCTTGTGAATAGCAGTGACCCTGGGTATATTCAACCTTGTGAATAGCGACCATGGGTATATTCAACCTTGTGAATAGCAACTCTGCGTATATACAACCTTGTGAATAGCGGCCCTGGGTATATTCAACCTTGTGGATAGCAACCCTGAGCATATTCAACCTTGTGAATAGCAGCGACCCTGGGTAGATTCAACCTTGTGAATAGCAACCCTGGGTAGATTCAACCTTGTGAATAACACCTCGGGTATAACATCAACGACATAATCCTCGGGCCTAGTGACCATTTGGCTTCATACTTAGGCCACCCTTTGTTAATTCATTGTTTAACGTCCTTTTTTCGCGAAAAGGTACGCGGGAGGGCGAAAAAAAAAGCCCATTCCAAAACTGGAAACCCCAATCAAACATTTTGACCAGTAAAGCATGTGATATACAATATTTCTGGGTCTAACAGCACTTGCAGGCATAGAACAACACTCTTTGATGGTACATTGGAGCACATGCCTGATGAATCCAACAAAACATGTACATAGCATGGAGTTAGCATGTCATGAATTCATTACATCTGGATTTTTACTAGGACACACACTGTACGATATTTAAAAGCCAACAAAAAAAGAAAAAGAACACAAGACAAAGGCATGCCCGGGAGGCAAGATTATAAGTTTAAGGTCATGATCGGCACACTGTGAAACTACACAATCATGTATTTACAACTTCGCATATTATTGGTACTACTACTTTCTTGTTGTTTTTTTTCGGTCGGAGGCAAAAAGGTACGCGGGCGCGGACGTTAAACAACGAAAAAAGAAAGGTTGGCCTTATTGGTACAAACTCATACATACTTGTGACGCTATAGTGACAACTAGCGAATAACGGACACCTTTCTCATCCTTAATTGAGATTCATTATTCGCAAAGTTGACTGTAGATATTATATTGTGATAGCAGTGAACATACTATGCCATCTGCCATTGGTATCTTAGAGCAGCTAGTAGCATTTGTTTAAAAATATTAAATTAAAAACAAATGCACTAGCTGCTCTAAGATAGCAACGGCAGATGCCGTAATATGTTAACAAAATCTCCGGACAGCTACGTCAAAGTAGCTGCTTTGACCTTGTTAGTTCTCGTCAGCGGAGCTCAGAGTTACTGGCCGAACCGATCGCACTCGGAAATCTAATAAACGGCAAGCTGGCCCAAAGCAACAAAATCAGAGTGCTCTTCTTCGAAGTAAATGTGATAGACACTTCCAGCTTTGCACGAGGGCGGACAACTTTGAATCACCAGAAAGAGTGCTCAACAAAAGCCGAGACGGGGAGCGCAATACACAGTCTCACAAAATACGAAATAAATCATAATACCGGTACTTGTATTTACAGAGTTGCTCTCACATACAGTACTGGGTACGTAACATCGGGTGAGTAAAATTGAAACGACACGTTTTATCTTCGTCACCCATGTGTGTTGCATGCTACATTTGCTTTGATACCGTAGCTTGCAAGCCATATGGCAGGATATGATGTAGTTTGCAAATGGTATTGTAAGGCATGACATTCTAACTTGCTCAAATCAAATGTACCGGTACTTTATTCCGCGTGTTGTTTTGACAGGTACATCCTTGATGGGTGGCCATTGACGATGCAACATGTTGAGCTGCTGAAGGCCCACAGGATATGCCCGTACCTAATCATGGAGCTGGAGCTTGGCATGGAAGATTCATTTCAGCGGGCCAGGGCCTCGCGTGTCCCATATCCAGAAAACGAGTGAGTATGTGTGTGTGTGGGGGGGGGGGGGTGCGTGCGTGGGTGTATGCGAGCGTGTGCGTGTGCTGTGCAAAATACTCTCGAATAGAACTCCTGGTGGGCGTTTGTAGCGTTGAAGCTTCCCGCAGTTTTCATTCACATGCACACAGGAACAAATCTGCTCCTGCCATATACACTTCATTACTGTGGGTAGATGGGGATTCCCCTAACTTGAGAGGAGTGTTAGACATGATGCAGTTTTGATCAAGGATTTCCCGACTTCCAAGATTGATATTGTAAGATGAAGCATATGTTTTGCCAGGGAGCATTGATTTAGTGCAATGCGTTACATAGTACGTAACTGAGAAACCTTTCACAACCCTTTCCCCTGTGCACTTGCAGCAAAGATATCCGTAATGACAGCAGCAGTGCCCTGGAACTGAAGACGGACAGCTACACGAAAGAACTTCTCGACGTTCGCAATTACTACGAAACAAAACACCGCAACTGGCTGAGGCTAAATGGCTATCAGAGTCGGTGGTCGGTGCGCAAGAGGTGCAAGGACCTCGCTGTAGAAGCTATACAGCGTGTGCAGGCCTACATTGCACGGCAGCAGGAAGGTATGTGATGTGCTTGGCTGAAGGAAGTGCATGGAATTGACGACTGCAATCCCCTGGAACATAGTCTATTTGCCTATCTGGGTGGTGCATAGTTGAGTAGTATTCCAGACCCTATGGCTTGACACAGATTTTCATGGTGTGAGGGAGATTTCTCATCCAGGCCGCTAGTTATGACAACACAGCATTGTAATGTTCATGGCTTGCAATCTCAACGTTCATGCTATCCTGTGTTCACATCTAGGCAAGGCGGCCCGGATAGGTGGCTTATGCGTGACACCGGAGGAGTTCGCCGAGCACGACAAGTGCCACCTGGGCCTGCACTGCCCAGTGAGCTGGGCCAGCGGGGAGCTGCACGACGGCAGTGCCCTGTTCAGTACGGGCGAGGCCATTGACATGACCGCTGACTACATGGGTCGCTATTACTGCATGGATAGCGAGGAGAGCTTGCAGAGATTTCTAGACGATCCGGCCAAGTACCTGCCTGGCGAGCCTCTGCCTCCGCAGCACCTGCGGGCGTGTGTGGCCCCTGCTCAAACTGGGACACTGGGCAATCAACGTCGTCTCGAGGGCAATGGAAATTGCCCAGTAACCTATGCTGAAGTCGGCCGCAAGTCACTGGTGTCGTAAGTCACGTTGCTCCTTGTGCGCATGTACATAATTATACTTGTAACCAAATTATGCTTGGTCTAGGGTCGGGAGGGCATGTGTGTGAGAGTGAAACAATGCTTGCATTCATGTGTGTCGTTTGCACATGTGTGTGTGTGTGTGTGTGTGTGTGTGTGTGTGTGTGTGTGTGTGTGTGTGTGTGTGTGTGTGTGTTAGCAGCATTTTCAGCTTGGGATGCGATGTCGGATGGTCTTGCCTGTGCTGATGTCCGCTCTCGCCTTGCGAAAGCCTCAGCTGTGTTTGGAGCCCTCAAAGCTCCTGTCTTTGATAACCAGACCCTGTCGCTTCGCAGCAAGAGGCGTGTCTATGAGGCTGTCGTCCTCACGACCCTCTTGTATGGTGCGGAGACGTGGACCACCAAGGCAGGCCACCTCCAGAAGCTAAACACGTTTCACCATCAGTGTGTTCGGTCCATTGTGGGTATCGGTCGTCGTCAACAGTGGGATGATCGGATCTCAACGGCCACATTAGCAGCTACATTCGGTGTTGACCCTGATATCACCCGCATCATCCGTCGCCACAGGCTTCGTTGGCTGGGTCACGTCGGCAGGATGGACGACTCGCGCGCACCGAAGCAATTGCTGTTCGGCGAGCTGCCTGCCCCCCGTCCTCGTCACGGCCCGAAGAAGAGGTGGCGAGATGTGGTGTCGACTGACCTGGCGGACCTCGGCGTGACCACCTGGCTTGAGAGTTGCCAAGATCGTCCCGGCTGGAGACGAGTTGCGAGTAGCACCCCACCGCCACGGCCCGCTCCTGATCCTCTTCTATGTGTCTGTGGACGCCCATTTCGTCGACCAGGAGATCTGAAACGACATGCCAAGTTCTGCGCTCGTGTTCTCACTTGAACTTTCCGACATTCGCTATCATTGCGTACGCAATGGGCAAGATCAAGGTCAAGGTCAAGGTGTGTGTGTGTGTGTGTGTGTGTGTGTGTGTGCGTGTGTGTGTGTGCGTGTGTGTGTGTGTGTGTGTGTGTGTGTGTGTGTGTGTGTGTGTGTGTGTGTGTGTGTGTGTGTGTGTGGATGCTTCTTCAGTTTGTATGACTTTGTCGTTTGCACATGTATGCGGATGCTTCTTCAATTCGTGTTCACATATTCTGTTTCTACTGTACAGCGGCACGCCGGGTCTTGTGCCGGGGAATCCCAACATCGTTGCGGAGTATGATGGCAAGTTCTACTGCTTTGCTGACAGCGAACATCGCAAAAGATTTCTCAGGTAAGTCGCGTACCGTAAATATAAAATTAACGTGTGCATGTTCTGATCACAAGGGTAAAGACTGTAGTGAAGACTATGAGTATGAGTACTAGTAGCTGTCTTGCTTTCGAACAGTAGCAATGTAGTAGTTGAATGTTGCCACATAATTGGTTATCATACGGAATACCGCAAAAGCCCGTAACAAGGCCCTGGGCGGAGACGTTAGTGAAGGTCCAGAACATGGGCGTCAATATGGGCCTGGGCGCTAATGTGGTCCGGGGCGTTATTTTGGATAAGTTAAATCAGGCCAAAGTTATTACATGCTCCTATAGCTGTGAATCTACATTGTAAACCAGCTGTTGCTGCATGGGCTCAGTCAGTCAGGCATCGCCACCAAACAGGACGGCAGTTTAGCCCTGTTACTAATAACCTGGTCTCGGGTGAACCTGTACTGGTGGCACCCAGAGATGCGTGCATGCAACTCAGATGTGTCATTTCCTGCTTGAAATTTCCCGTCGTGTCGTCTCCAGGCGACCTACCGACTACACCAAATACCGGATGCCACGGAAAATGCCTGCCGTCAAGCAGCCTATCGGCATCGCCGGCCTTCCCAACCTGGGATACTTTGAGCAATCGCTAGCCACAGCACTGAGCCATGCTATTGCTGAAGTTGCCCTGGTGAAGCCGAAATACCCCTTCATGAGGGCAGAGCAATCAGCCAAGATCTTCGTTGCGCTGTACATGAAAGGTACTGGAGTACTGACGCTCTTTCGCTGTGGCATTTATTTTTGAATGTTGTCTCATAGAAATGCGTGCGTGATGATTCCTGTGCTGTAGGCGCAATAGGCTGCTGTATAGTAGCCTGTATATGTAGGCGTGCTGCATCCAGTCATTGCAGTGTCCATATCACGTGTGCAATGAGTCGTCCCACTGTGCCATGCCACTTTATTTGTCAGCCATGTCTGCAACTCTAACCAGAAGGTATGATGTACACGATTGTGTATGTTGTGCTTGTTGCCTTGCACAGCTCACAACCCGAACAGCAGCGAGTTCCGCAGGAAGCACTACCAGAGAAAGCTGGAGCGCTTCAGGGAGATGTGCCAACTGACCGAGAAGGTTGCCCGTCTGATGCCACGGGAATACGTCAAGCCAGAAGAACGGTCGCGTGAGCTCGTGCACGCTCTCAAGTCGTTTGTGCAGCTGAAGTCGTCCAAGATTGAGGACATCCGCTAACCGGATAGTTGTCTGGTGATGTTCCACTGTGACTTGAATGTGCTGTGGCATTCCAAACACTGCATTGCTGTGTGGCATAGGTTTAACGTTATTATCTCCACCTTGTCTGGTAACTATATATTTCACCGATGTGAGCCAAAGACACACTTGACCCACCACTATAATAGAGAATGAGAAACTTAAAAGTACTTAATTTGTACATGTGTTTGGAATTGGATACCGAAATGATGTTCACAGGAGATGTTTATATTTTTCTGGTGTTGTTTTTTTGTATCAGAATTTTGACAACAATTTGTCAAGAATTAGAATAGTGATTGTGCTGGTTTTAAAAAGTTAGCTCTAGAAACGCAAAGAAAGCACTCCACAAAAAAATATCTGCCAAACAGTACTCGACTTCAGCAAGTATGCTGCAAGTATGCCCTCTCGACTGATTCTACTTCACCCCTCCTAGCTTTTTGAGCAGTAATAAGTGCTACAGAGTCCTAAAAATCAAAAGGAATAAATTAATATCAAAGCAAAGCACAGCACTGTGTGAATAATTTTGCATAAAAAAGATAAAAAGAATACGTTCGACAAGGATTCTAAGCACATATATACGCTAATGTTTGCTAAAAGCCGGATCCCACTTCTTATAGTCCAATGTGACGACCATTGATCTGTGAGAGACAACAACAGTACAGACAGGAAAACCAATCATGACAAAGCAAGTCTCAGAGCTGGGTCTGGATCTAAACACACATTAGGGGTGATAATCGTCGTGATCATGTAAACACACATTAGGGGTGATAATCGTGATCATGTAAACACACATTAGGGGTGATAATCGTCGTGATCATGTAAACACACATTAGGGGTGATAATCGTCGTGATCATGGCTGAAGAAATTCGAGGCGAGGGCACATATCCGAAAGCATCAAAGATTTCCCATCAAAGTTTGAATTCAACTCGAAAACCATGGAGGCGTGTTTCACACTTTCCACACCGAAAAGGAAGTCCAGCCAAACTGTGGGGGCGTTGTAAAGTGATGCTGAAGGCAATTTCGCTACTTATAGCACAAACAAAGGAGTGGAGGGGGGGGGGGGGAGATGTTTGTTGCAGACAGGATCACCAACACGAGCCATCTCCACAAAAAACTTACAATTCCCTTCAAGCTCTTGCCCTGCGAGGACTCCACAATCTGGTCAGCAATCTCCCGTGCAACTCGCAGCTGTGCTTCCTTGGTACTTGCACCCAGATGGGGACAGGCGATCACCTACCATTCACAAGCAACAGTAACATATATCAACACAGGCTTTGTTGATTCAATATTGATGTTTCAATTAGAACCAACCATCATAATAATTATTTTGAAGTAAAAAGGCGAATGTACGCTTACCACATACCCAATGCCTCTGGGTTAAATTCCCAATTCAACAATGCTACGACAGGGCAGGATATGTCCCTATCTTCAATTGTGAAATTCCCAATTCAACAATGCTACGACAGGGCAGGATATGTCCCTATCTTCAATTGTGAATTTCTGTAAAAATGAGAAGTTTCTTCACACACTATGCACCTGCACACACACCGCTCACATGCACATCAATGAGTATGTTACAATCATGTGTCACGGCACACAGCGAGTAGAGGGCAGGACTCACCTTGGGGTGCTGTGCCAGCGTTTGCTCAACGCCGGTCGGAGGCTCGTTGATGAAGACGTCCAGGGCAGCACCACCACACTTGCCACTCTCCAGCGCCGCGACCAGACTGTCGTTGTCAATAATGCCACCTCGTGCGCAGTTAATCACCTTCAAGCCCGGCTTGCACATCTCAAATGTCTTGCCACCAATCATTCCTGGGATCCAGTAGACAGAAGAAAGGTAGAGGGCGGCGGGCAACACATGGAGTAAGTACACAGGGCACGTGAATGCACCAAACATGCTAACTGGCGTTCTACTGTTCAACAGCAAGCAAGTCTTAGATCCACTGGCTACAGATGCGGCGATGGAGTCTCGATACTAAATATAGTACACTTCTAGATCAGGGGTACATGCATGCTGTGAGTGTATGGCAACACATCTCATGCTCTATCCAACATGGAGGTCACAAACCTTCTTTCATAACCACCTCTGGTGGAAAGGGAGTGACATTCGATCCCCTAAAAGAAACATTGCTCCTTGGATATGCATGCATATCCCATAACAATTCATTGAGAGAGAGAGAGAGAGAGAGAGAGAGAGAGAGAGAGAGAGAGAGAGAGAGAGAGAGAGAGAGAGAGAGAGAGAGAGAGAGAGAGAGAGAGAACTGTGCGATTAATGAGTGCAGTCTTCAGCCTGATACTATGGCTAACCAATCATTACGAGGGCGGTCACGGGATCTTGATCCAGCCACCATTCCATCTAAGAAATGATGTGAGTAGCTGTTATGATGCCTTGCTACATGATATGGCTGATACACACTAATAAAATAGTGTGAATTAACCGAAATCTACTTGTATTGCAATGAGCAGTTAGCTAGCTGTATTCCAGCACTGCTCCTCATATGCTCACATTACACATGGTGCTCGGCTTACCTTTAGTCGCAGGCAGCAGTGGCACATGTACAGAGATGTAGTCGGCTATGGGCCAGAGCTCCTCCAGGGGCATCTGATCAACTCCAAACTCTGCAGAACCAGATAAAACGAGGCAGCACACACCACCAAATTAAGACACTGCCCGGCAATAACGTTAACTGAATTCGTTGTGCAGTAAACTGAGCCACGAGCTTCCGGTTGGCCCACACCACCACCGAAGAAATCCTAAATCCTAAAACGATCAACCAACTGTTACGTGCTATAGTACCAAGCTGTGCGTTTCTTTCTAGTATTGGTGTTTCAAAATCTAACTTCCACCTTGCACGGCTCTGGATATGCGGTGGCCAGTGGATCGGTCCAGTGGCCAACCAGGTACACAGCCAACATAGCTGGCATTCCAAGTTAGTTAGTGGACACAGAGCGTTCCCTCTCCTAATGTCAAGTGTAGAGTCAAGAGACTCCGAGACTAGGATGAAGGAAGGAAGAAAAGCTTCCCACACGCCGCCCTTGTGATCCCAAAACTAGGTAAACGGCGGGCAGCGACGAGGTGCGTATCTACTGAAACACAAGTGATTGGGGATTTGATAGTCATGTGACACTACACACTTCACCCGTATTTACTGTAGAAGACAAGCTGGCGTCATCGGCAAGATTTAGTGGTGTCAGACTAGTGGCAAAAACCATATACGGATGACAAGGTAATGTCACATAATCAATTGAATACCCTCTAGAACATAGTACATGTACATGTATGTGATGATTTTACAAATAAGCAATTGGGTACAACGATGTAGTGCATGACTGGAGCGGGGAGGTCGCGCACCCAAATAAGATGCTTCAGTACTCTGGAGTCCTCAGCCATAGGTGTTGCCTTTGGCGCGAAGGTTGTAATTGTATGGGTCTCATTCGTCTTCACGAAAGTTCGCCCAACAGAGTTCATCGTAAACGAATAATTTTGACTTGATATAATGCCTGGCCAACCATAGGATTGGCCCTAGTTCGTACTAATGGAAAGTTCGCCTTATCAGTGTTCGTACTAACGAGGTTTGACTGTAGTTCCTTTTACAGAACTCCGGGACACCAGGGGCTAGTGCAGCTTCTGGCTTGCTTGTAGCTCATAATCGTTTTCGCTAGTCAGAGTAAGCGGCGTAGCTTCTGAGTACTGTAACTTACTCCATGTACATTCATATGGGGTACACCGTATAGAAATGTGCACCGGGATACTCTGAAAGCCCTAATATGGAAGCCAGCTGAGTGGCAAAACTTTAGCCGCAAAAGGGATATTTTATTGACTTCTAAGGGGCGAAAATGATAATATTATCTTATTGACTTTTGAGTGTCAAATGTACTATGATGAGTCAATCGCATATAACCTCTATAGAGACATAATCACAGTCCCAGCCACTGACACTTACTTTTGGTGTCCTCGGCCGGCAAAAGAGCATCAAAGCCAACGGTCTTCATACCGAACGCCTGCAGTCGGATGGCTACCTCTCTGCCAATGTGACCCAAGCCAATGATGACAGCGGTCTTGCCGTACAGCTCCGTGCCCATGAACTAAGAACATATTTCAAGCATGAACACACACACACATGAACGCACGCACAGGCACACACACACACATGAACGCACACACACACACGAACGGTCAAATATTTCAGAAGGAATGAATAATCACATAATTATGTGGAAGTCAGTAAGTTCGTAAGGTTGCAGGTAGATCAAGGACCACCGTTCTGCTTCTGTAGACCACCACTGCACCACTACATTATCTTAGAATCAGCAGCAGCAGCAGCAGCAGCAGCACGCGCAGCACCACCAGCAGCATAATTACAACCGGGGTAGAAATCCCTGCCACCATGTATATATACAGCACAATCCCATTGTACCCGGTCACAGGTTCACAATTCCCGTGTGTCTGAATCAGCAGGGTACCTGACCATCCCACCAATAACTTAGCTGCTTCATCGTTCACAGGCCACAAACAAGGCAGTGAAGACAGGATATGGCACCTTCTTCTTACCTTCTTTCTGTCCCAGTTGCCAGCTTTCATTGATGCATCAGCAGCCGGGGTGTGCCTAAACCAACGACCAACACCATACATAGAACAAAAAAACTCTTTTAAATCACCACTTGTTTTGAGGTCTGAAATAAAACTTGAAAAGGCGTAAAAACAACTCCCCACAGCAAAGACCCATCAACACAATAGTTCAGTGTACAGGGCACTCTCCCCATAGCAAAGACCCATGGCTTGAGCACTTTGGCAGTCGGTGCTTTCAAAAGAGAGTTTTCCCTCACATTTTACTCTACCCTTATACATACCTGTATTTTGAATCGTTGCGATGCAAAGCAATAAAACTACCAGATATCCTTATGAAGGACATATCAAACAAAAGGTACAGAAGACCCTTACCGTGCCAGAGAGAGGAACAGTGCACAAGTCTGCTCTGCAGCGCTAACAGTGTTCGCAGTCGGGGTGCTGTATGTTGAAGACAAGAACAACAGCAATACACACACACACACACACACACACACACACACACACACACACACATGAGCAAGTAGTCGTGACCATAACAGTTATGGAGCACTTGTATCACTTAAAAGTAACATAGGAATTGTTTACAACAACCTGGTTGCGGGAGAATCAAAAGAAAAATATACGTAAAGACACACGGCAGCTGCTTGTCCTGCACAACCAGTCGTCCAGCTGCAACCAACGACCATGCTTACTTCATAACAGCAATGTTTTTCTTGGATGCCGCTGCAACATCAATGTTGTCCACTCCAGTGCCTGCACGACCAATGATCTTCAGACCGTCAGTTGACTCAATGATCTCCGCAGTAACTTTCGTTGCCGAACGCACAATCAGTGCATCGTACTCCTGAAAAAGGAGGAGAGCAGACATAGGCATGGAATACAAATCTCAGAGTCTTGCCTTGCTAAAAAAAATACTGTCCAATAAGGGAAAATAGTACGTTGTACAAAACGAAACCACTGGACCATGGTACTGATCCTGTTGCACATTGTACAGATGAGCAAAACTGGTGCAAAAATCCCACCGAGGCTGCAAAATCTGGCCTGGGTGCTCACCCATAGGGACCTTGTTTTGTCATAAAACAGTGACAAAATCCACAATGACGAGTCGCAGAAACTATGTGCCTCTTCTGCATCTATTGGAATCTTGAAAGTAAGGGGTCATCGCAAAAGTTCTTTGCCGTCCCTGAAATGAACATTGTTCATTTTTGTACCCACCCCCCCCCCCAAAAAAAAAAAAAAATTGAACGCAGCTTGCTATACTGGACGACGCAAATCACATACATGTACATGTGTACGCATGTACAGTATTGGTCGACTTGCGACTCCCCTTCAGCGCCTATATTTAAAAAACCTATGGACACGTCATCTCATGAACATCCCTAAGTTGTACAAGTCACCTGCATAAACTGTACATAGACCATTTAACGCCGCATCTTCCAAGTTCGTCACTAGACCATACATGTATGTCGACAACAATAGTATAAATTATACACATAACTGTACACATTAGTTGTGACATAACGGATAATGCAGCAGGAAGCTAGAACAAACCTGCATGTTCTACTGCATCTCAGCCAGTACACAGTATAGTAGACAAGACTACAAGTACCGAGAGTCCATACAGAAGAAGATGAGGTTCTACAAGAACCTAAAACCTGCCCCAATTTTGTGAAACCTTGACAAAAAATATCTCCACTACCAAAATGTTGATATGGGATGTAAATGAACAACTGGAATTTCTCGTGGATGTACTCCCTCCCGATCAACTCTAAAAAAAATGATGGAACGAATTGACGTATAGAATTATTTGCACAAATCAGTGTTTTCTTTTGATTTATAATGCCGGTAGTGGCCTAGTCTATCATCCGTCCACTGTGTTGCTTACAGTGGCTATTCAACCGTGCCGTGCAGGCAGTCAGCAAATCTCCACCGTGTACCTGCACTGCTCAACTACTGAATCGAATGAATGTGTGTACCGGTAATCTAACGGGGTTTCCGGCGAACTTGTAGTCATGTGGAGCAAACACACGTGGGGTCAAGAAAGCCTCCACCAAAATTTAATGCGTAAATAATTCAGGCCGGGTAGAATTAGAAATTCAACCTTCACTTCGGATTTCCGTGGATTCTGACGACGAAATCTGGGACGGGGGGCGGGGGGTGTACAGCCCAACGCAGTGGCACGTCTACATAATGATATCGGCAGTTCATAGCCAACAGCAGGGACTATAATTATTTATTATGCCGTCCGAAATTCAACCCGCGCGAGTACGAATATGGGCAGTCGAGGAAAAATCAAACATAGCGATACAGCTTTTACTGGCAAATAAAACACTTTGACTTGAATACTAGTACTACAATTATTATTATTATTATTATTATTATTAAATTTTGAATAGGGCAGTCCCACAGGCCTAGGGCCTTTTTATCATGTAATACTCCGAACATTGGAAAATAATAATACTTATTCAAGTCAACAAGAAGAACAAGCAATTGCAAGACGCCTAACCCATTCGGTCATAGTACTATGTTATGCACGCTACTGTGTACCTTGACGGCCGCCATGAGCTCCTCTTTGCTCATTTTGTCGTTCTGGACAACTTCCAAGCCGCCGGCCACAAGGGCCTCTTTGCAGCATGGCGATACATTATCAGTCACTAAGACTTTCTTGACGCTGGTGAACCGTTCTGCCATGGTAAGGATTCGGATAGTTGGAATAATATCAGCTCAAACACGACTCGGGTGCAAAGAGGAGAAATGGCATCCAGCTAAAGGAACAAACTCAGATGAGGAACACTGAGGGCGGTTCGTGCGAGTGACTCACTGACTGTGTAGCTTGCTACTTGCCAGCTGTCTTTTTAGCTAGCTCGGCGCAGCTGATGTAGTGATGGCGTGTTTCAACTGTTTGGTAAAAAATTGCTACCAACAGTACAAGCTGAAAATGACGACCGCTCCTGAAAAGTCAAAGGTGAGAAGTGGTGATCTTTTCTCGCTACACCAGGTCCAGGACAGATCAGATGACCTAAACTGCCCTTGCCCTACATCGCGTACACAGACTCAGAACTGACATGTCAGACAGTAGCCTTCAAAAATAGCCAGTCTGGTACAGTTTGACACCGATATCGAGCGTATCGATGTGCCTTGCTTGAATGTGGCACGTGCTCCGCTCTCGAATCGGAGTCACAATCATGTATGTAGCTAGATCTGCGCATTTTGTGCTGTGTAGACTGTAGAGTGTAGTGTGTGCTGTGAGGCCTCGAGGGTCGAGCAGATGTACGACTACGACATTTCGATAGTCAGGACAGTAGACCGAGTACGAGATACACTGCATGAATGCACTCGCGACCTGCAGATTGCAGAGGGAATTAGGTGACTGCAGCAAAACAGCCGTGCGTGAGGGTCTACCATGCCAGGTCTACCATGCCATGGTCTACGGTCTACCCGCGGGGCCGGGGAGATCTCGAGACCCGTGCCGCAAAATCTACTGGCATGACGCATGGCCCAACGCGGGGCTGCAGATTGTGTAGATCTGTGCATGTGATGAAAGACTGACACGATAATGAACGCATTTTGGTACGATTGTGCGATCGACGCACGAGCGACTAGCCCGCGACTAGACTCCCTACGACGCGATCGCGCAGCATTCGCGCTCTAAAATCGAAAATTCAAAAAATAAAAATAATAATTGTTGAGCTGGTCCAAGATATTCTCACGCACGTACTCGTATTATTGTTTACTGGAGTTGAACGACTTCTTGTTGGTTTCTGTACCGGTATACTCTTTTGGAGTGAAATCTTCTCTTGACTCAGCTGACAGCATGTAAAAGAAGTAAAGTGCTGCTTCCTAGATATCGACGTGGTGAAGTAGCAGTTGGCTCTTTGTCGTAAATGGTGACATGTCAATTGTGAGACATTTGCTGTTTTCAATGAAATACCGACGCGTAGAATGTATGAAAAGTACCCTGCTGGTGCTGGCTGTACTTGTCCTGTTTCAAGTGTCCATATGGAGCTGGTACAAGGGAAGAGAGAGGGAGGACCTCCGCCCTGCGATGTCATGGTTAGATGAGCGGATGGAGAGTTTAGCCAATGAGAAACGGTCTGCGGAGGAAGAGGAGCTCTTTCAAAGGCTAACGTTTGACTATCGGTTGAGATCTTCCCCACCAAGTGAGGAAGAAGTAGAATTGCACCGTCACCAATACTCAATCCCTAACTGTGATGAGACACAATGGCAGAAAGAAGGAGCTTCTGCTGGTCGCTGCCCGTATCGCACCGAGACGCGCTTTCCCATCCTTCTCTGGTGGACACAGGCAACATACCACAAGCATCTCATTCGAAGGTGTACGTATGGTCGGTGTGTCTTCACGCAGAACCGCCGAGAGCTGGGAAGTCCCCGCACCAGAGCTGTCCTGTTCAAAGGTCGCGGACTAGATGCTTACGATGTGCCCTTACCGCGCAAACCGAATGTGGAATGGTTTCTGTTCCATGACTCTGCGCCACACACGGCACCGGTTTTATACAGTCCTCTCGCCATGCGCCTTTTCAACCTTACTGCTACCTTCAGCCGCTTTTCTGACTTTCCTCTGACTCTTCAGCATATCCATGACATAGAATCTCTGAAAAGCCATGCTTGGATGACTAGCCTGGCCGAGAAGCAAGCAGCAATAGACAAGGGAGGTGCCCTTGTTGTGTATGATACAGATGAATGCAATGTGCCATCCGATCGTGACAACCTTGTTCGGCTTCTCATGGATTTGATGCCGGTTGATTTCCTCGGTAAATGTCCCAGCTTGGACTCGCAGAACAAAGCCAAGAGTAGGCGAAAGGAGCTGGCTGGCTGGGACAAGATTAGGGAGTTTGCTGTGCACAAGTTTGCGCTTGTGTTCGAGACCGACATCTGCTCTGACTACATCGGTGAAAGCTTATGGACTGCGCTTTCCTGTGGCACGGTGCCAGTGTACTTTGGCGATGCCGAACGTCTGCAATCGCTCTTGCCACATTCGAAAGCAGTCATACTTGTTAGTGACTTTCCGTCGCTGCCGGACCTGGTCAAGCACTTGAAGAAACTGGATTCGGACGACGAGCTGTACCGCCAGCATCTTGGCCACATAGTCAACAAGACTGTTAGCCATCATCTGCAGCGGCTGTTTGCCTTGAGGAACTATGGTGGTGAGACATCGCCCCTGCAGGATGCCCTTGACGGATTCGAGTGCTTTGCTTGCGACAAAGTCTATGAACAGCTTCTATCAGTTGCTTACTCAAAGCCGGTGAAAAGCCATCAGGCGAACGCCACGCACTTTTCGTGCCACGAACCGCAGCCGTATTCGCGCTCGGAATCCTATTCGTGGCACAAACGCTGGCAGGACGGTCGGCACACTGGTGATGCACTGTACGAAATGGCTCACACGCCGGAGACTAATAGTAGCCGTTTATCGGCCTATTTCAAGCACGGGGAGGTCGAGAACTGACACTACAACATTCTGCTTTTGCCACAACGATGGACACAATTCTCCGGATCATGCTAATTATCATTTCTCATGCTTTTGTTTCCCTCTTTTTTAATATGAAGAAAACTTTAAAATTAAGCAAGAAGCTGGCTTCTTGCAACATGTAGTGAGCACTTTTTATAACACACATGATTAGATACAAAAATTCAAATACTTTTTCTCCTGTCTTTGGTGCCTTTATAATGTGACCACTCAGTTCCTGGCCTGATCTGTAAAGCCGCCACAACTAACTTGCACTTGTCCAGATGACAAGAGGCTGCAGGAGAGAGAGAGAGAGAGAGAGAGAGAGAGAGAGAGAGAGAGAGAGAGAGAGAGAGAGCTTCAAAGAAGTAAATGTGGAAAAATTGATTGGCCGGTTGAAATTTCAATATGGTTACGTACAATTACACCGAGAGTACATATTATGCCCCCTGGGGGCTTATATACTCTTGGTTACACCCATAGGCAATTTGCATGTTGCTAGGGAGCCCATGTGCACAATTGCACTAGCTCTTGATGGAGAATGACACCTCCTACTGAATCAACTCCGTGCACATGTTGCATGACGCTGCTCTGTGACTCGACGCTTCTTCAGCAAAGCTCAAAGTCTGAGTAAAAGAAGAATAAATAGATGTTGTCATTTGTTTTTGTGTGCAGACTGTCCTGTGCATGTAGTCTTCAACTCACGCCGTATCCAGACACTGCTCAAGAGTCCTTAGCAAATACGTGTACATCAGGGAGTCAAAGGATTATACGCGTGCCTGCTATAAGTGTGCACGGTCGTTCCCAATCATTGATATTGTTATGAAATGATGTGTTGTTTTCCTGTGTGATGGCATTCCCCAAACTGTCTCGTCTAGTCGCGTGCATGTGTGATATGACTATGAGCATGCGCGATTTTGCAGTCGACAGTCCTTTTGTCAGTCTTCTTGTTCGTCCCTTTGAGTGTTGTCTCCATTTCCGTTAGGCCACCCTTTGTTTAATAATTCATTGTTTAACGTCCTTTTTTTCGCGAAAAGGTACGCGGGAGGGCGGAAAAAAAACAAAAGCCCATTCCAAAAACTGGAAACCCCAATCAAACATTTTGACCAGTAAAGCATGTGATATATACAATATTTCTGGGTCTAACGGCACTTGCAGGCATAGAACAACACTCTTTGATGGTACATTGGAGCACATGCCTGATGAATCCAACAAAACAGGTACATAGCATGGAGTTAGCATGTCATGAATTCATTACATCTGGATTTTTACTAGGACACACACCGTACGATATTTAAAAGCCAACAAAAAAAGAAAAAGAACACAAGACAAAGGCATGCCCGGGAGGCAAGATTACAAGTTTAAGGTCATGATCGGCACACTGTGAAACTACACAATCATGTATTTACAACTTCGCATATTATTGGTACTACTACTTTCTTGGGTTTTTTCCGGTCGGAGGCAAAAAGGTACGCGGGCGCGGACGTTAAACAACGAAAAAAGAAAGGGTGGCCTTATGTCAATATAAGTAATGTAAAACAAACAAGTCTTGTCCTTTGTGTCCTGCGTCCCGGGGAACGGAATGGCTGAGATTCCGTTACAGTATGAAATCCAAACGGGTTGACTGCTTTCTCCTTCATGACCTATGCTTTGAAATGTTGAGCCGAAGGATTCTTTGCAATTACAGCTATACCACCATGCACTTTATAGTCATAAAGCCACCATTCATACACGTACACACATATGTACAAATGAAAACTTCGAACACTGATTGCGGTGTCTTCAAAAATGCTATTTATAGGGACCGCAGAGAGGTGTGGCATAAGTGACGACACCACTGCATTGGGGTTTGCACATCCTTGGTCGAAAGTCATACATGTAATTCAATTTAGGGCTGAAAAGATCATTCAATAACTCCTAACGATCAACCAATATCATTAACGATCGATAAATTGGTTTATCAATTCTTGTCGGCTCTACTCGTGTACCTCGCACACCAGTTTATGAAGAAATTCCATGATACCTTAGGTACGTTAGAAATTGGTGGCACCGCACTGTTGACATCTGTGGAAATCTGGCTGGTTTTATCAACATGAACTAGAGAATTTCATGTTGTTTCTAGAGCAAAGAATCTTGTCATCACCCTCTGGCAACTGCTCTTATCTCACACAAATGAACCAAAAAGACAAAGTCTTCTCTCCCGATCTCTTTCAAAGCCACCGTCAATTTTACCGCGCTTGGAAGTACATGATTGTACTCGTATTCACTATCGGATGGAGTGCAAGGGCTAGAATGCTGTCACTGATATGCATGCATATTAATAAATCGTTAGCACTCGTTTTGAACACTAACGATTATCGATTGCACTCTTAACGATCGATATGCGAGTTATCGGCATCATTGTTTCAGCCCTAATTGAATTTGCATGTGATGCTTTCACTTTTAAGTCAAACTCAATGTCAAGCTAGACATTTGTGGATGGCTTTGCAGCATTGCACTGATATTTTGACAAGTGGTCAAAAGTACATACTCCTGACATCGTCTATAACGGCCCATTAACGGGTGGTAACAAGGCGGAGAAGATTGCGTGTACTCATAGTAGGAGCAGACACATTACTGTATGTCCTCACGTCATGCAGATATAAAGGATGCACACCATATAAGGAGAGGAAAATTACGTTCACAACTCCCTGATAAATCCGTGCATACATGTGTGTGTGTATACCAGACACAAGTCATCATACACACCAACCAGCACAATGGAGGCCACATCAGCGGGAGAGTACTATAATTTAGATTGGGCACAAAGAGAAAGCACAGCAAGTAGTTGTAACCAGCTTGCCGGCACACGACCATCAAAAACATGGGCTGATCCAAAACAAGACGGAAAGCAAGAAACAGTAGGTCCTGCGACACCACAAAGTCACTTAGTCGAATGCGGGTCAAGAACAGGACGTGCAAAAGAAGAAGACGGCAAGGAAAACAGCAGGACCTGGCTGCAGCCCAAAAACGCTAAGAAAAAAGCAGGACCTGGCTGCAGCCCACAGTACAGTACGCTGCCTCGCAAGAGTGAAAATCAAATCCCCGGAAGAAGAAATGTGGTGCAGCAATAAGCGGTGTATGTAGCGGCATGAACGAGATCAAAACCGTACTGTGAGTTTTGTGGACACCATGGAACAACAACACACACAGACAGTGAGAATTGTGACATTGTAAAAAAAATGTTATGGACACGATGTAAACGAAAAAAAGAAATAAACGAAAAAAAGAAATAAACGAAAAAGTAAACAGGGAATGTCTTGCATGTAAACCAGCAATGTGGTTTGAACAATGAGAGCTCGTGTTTTGGTTCACATCAGGACATGTTAATGCGACGCAGATGGTATGAAGGAGGAAAAGGAGAAGAAATATATTGGACGCGGTACACATCTGCACATGTGTATGAACGCTACAAAAAAAAGAGAAGAAAAGAAAAGGTACACGCAACACGCGTTCATATTCCCAGGCTTTGCCAGGGGAACACAGAGGTAGGGAATGGAAGGCACATCAGCTTTGTGCATCCACTGTGTATGGTGTGCAACCATGTGTGTGAGTGCAGAGATAGGAAATAAAAACGAGTCCGTAGGTGTGTGTGTGTGTGTGTGTGTGTGTGTGTGTGTGTGTGTGTGTGTGTGTGTGTGTGCGTGTGTTGTGTACAACGGCTCACGAGATTACAGCTGCACAGCAGAATGCCTTCATGGAAAACAATGAGTAGTTGCAAATTCATGTCCTGGGATAGAAGCGGGCCGTGCATGATGGTGAAACGGAATAGATAGGCTGAGAGGGGTCAGTCTGGACTGTCATGATTTTGTTTCGGAGTGTTCATTGGTGTGTGCAAATGTACTTGTGCATGTGTGCAGCGTGCCTGCATGCGTGTGTGCGTGCATGTGTGAAGAGAGGGGTCAAAACTGTTTTACGTGGACGTTCAGAGGCAAAGGAGAAAAGACAAAGCCACAAAGGTGTGTTGAGGGGAGAGGGCAGGAGGATGAGAAGGAGAGGCAAGAGGGAGAATCACACACAGTAGGTCATGAAAAGAAAGGATCGTATCTTCATTTTTTCTTCTTGTGACGTGAGGAGGGGATGGCTGATAAAAATAGAATGCTATTTTCAGTGCATATACCAGCTCTGCATGTAGTACTGGTGCAGGGGGTCACTCTGGACCTGCTGTCGGTGGTGTGTGTTTGAGATGCCATGGTGATGGGGTAGATGTGCAGACGGAACGAGCGGAAAGAGAATAGGCTGCAAAGAAAAAGACATGAAAGCGGCAAAAATGGATATAACAATGAGGGAGGGAGGGAGGGAGGGAGGGGGGGGGGGGAGAGAGAGAGAGAGAGCGAGAGAGAGATAGAGATAGAGAGAGAGAGAGAGACAGAGAGTTTCACTATGACTCACAGACTTCCCAGTCAGCCAAGACTGTCCATGCCAGCAGTACCACAGCACAATCGATGGCAACAAATTTGACACCTATGTTCCAAGGTGCTGCAATTCCATGAAGAGCATTGCTTGTTGAGAACATCAATTTCACACCTGCCAAGTACTGAAAGTGCTTTTCTGGATCACCAGGGCAAAATCTCGGGATTTGCCTTGGTTTTTCGGGATATGTGACATTTGTTCCAGAATTCCATTTTCAACTTTCTTGAAAATGATGCCACCAAAATGTTGTGACATTATCAGTGATTGCAATTGTAGATATCCATCACATTTAATAGGCCCAGTCAAAAAATTGATTGTTTATCGTCAGCGGCCGCCCCGAATTTTCGCCCTCCCGGCCAAATTATTATATTTTTTAGTTCCAGTAAATGTACTGTATGTGTTGCGATCTACGATTATACGGCCTCTAATCAGCGTGGCTATACAATGTAGATCTTGGAAGGCGAAGTCGGCACATTGAATTACTAGTACTAGCATACATGTACATGTAAGTACTATGGGCTTAAAAAGTGAAAGAGATTATCAGCTGCCTGATTTTCTTTGTGGTCCTACGTTGGTCGTTTCACTTTTCCATACTTGCATCCTCAAAATTATCTTGCAAGATGGTGTTCAAGGCTGACGATTCATCTGCATCACATGGATTTATCTCATTCTGCGCAAAATGGCTTCAAAAGAAAACTTTTTTAGAAAAGTGATCAAAAAGGCATGTCAAGGGGTGGCGAACACCTACCATACAGCCGTACGTGCAAAATAAAATAAAATACCTCCCGCCCGCCCCAATCTCTTGGGAAAATCTGATGATAAATAATCAATATATTTTACATGGCCTTATACGCAAGTTCAGGACTCAAAAACGGAGAGGCTCCGAACAGTTGCGCAGCGCAGTGTAAGAAGGGCACCTCCGAAATCTGTTTTTTGCCGCGAGATTCAAAAAATGTTGTGTTCCATGCGGAAACATGCTGTTGTTCAGAAAGAAGTTTTTTGATTTCTCTGTGCTCGCAGTTGTTCCAGGATGTAGTTCTACTCGTTGCAGGTTTCTGTAGCCGTGGCTGTTTCTACGCTGGAAAGAATCACTGGCCATGGCTAATGCAAAACAAAGGCAGTTCCTACGCTGCTTGATTTTTTTGTGAAAACTTTGTTGAAGCGGTTGGATGTGGCCACGAAGAACAAAATAATATTACTGACGAAGAAGGGTGAGAAAAGCAGGCTGAAGTCAGTGAAGACATCGATGTCGAACGTAGTGATACTAGTACTGGTACTGGAATTTAGCATGGACTACCTGTGGAGCGTGAAGTGGCTGCCCACTCGCTGGTAAGTGGACCCACTTGCAGCTCCAGTCGCACGAGTACCGTTTGAAACTTTCTGTGGATCCTAGAGTATCCTGAGCTCAGTGGACGACGCATCTCAGAGCTGCTGAACTTGGGCTACTGTCCCTGTAGGAATGAGGTTCGTGTCAACCACTGTACTGCACTGATGGTGTAAGGAAAACGCTGGCCAGAAGCTTGTGTTCTGAACCAGGGACGAACTTCTAAATCTTTCTTTTGTAGAAATAGGGATGCCACAACTAAGATGTGCACACTCAGGTGTGTATTGGGTAAATGCCTGTGGTTGATTATTTTGAATCCTTTCCTATGCGCAAGTAAATGCGTTTGTGTGTGTACGCGCGCGCGCGTGTGTGTGTGTGTACGCGCACGCGTGTGTGTGTACGAGCTCGCGCGCGCGCGCGCGCGCGAGAGTGTGGGTGTGTGTACGCGCGCGCATGCGCGCACGTGTGTATGTGTGTGTGCAAGCTGTTGAAAGGTGTAATCCGAGCACAAGTTGCTATGTCTAACGTAGTTTGTTCGCTATCCTCGCTTCAGCGTTGGGCAGGTGTATGAGTGTGTGTACGCACGTGTGTGTGTGTGCGCGCGTGCTCGTGCCCGCATGTGTGGGTTCGCACGCAATGTTGATCTGGGTTATGCACATGTCCCCACGAGTGCACTGTGTGCATGTGCATGCAAATGTCTGTGTACATGTATGTGTGTATGCACGTGCATGTGTGCGCGCGTGTGCAAAGCTAGGTGTGGAAGGGGGGGGGGGGGGGGGGGAGGGGCTCACGGTGCTGGTTCTGTATGCCTCTCCTCTCTGGTGTCCGCAAGGACAGTGTGGTAATGGCTTTACAGTACAGGAGTTGCATGTGAATGCGCATTTGTGAACCGTATTTGAGACACAAAAAGAATTGCCGAGAGAGCATGACAGTACACTGCATGTAATTGTATATCGTATGTGTGCACGCCAGCGTGTGTAGATGCATATTGCCCTTCATGCGATGTTTTTCTGGAGTCTGCTGCTATCAACGCAAGTGACAACCAGCAAATGCATGCCCAGTGCAGTGGCTGGTCTTCATGCTTTTATTTATACCAAGTCCTACTATGGACTAGTAGTGTTACAATGACGCGTGCACGAGAGTGCGTGCATGTGGGTGGGTATTTATGTGCGTGCGCACGCGCGTGAGTGTTTAGTGTGCCTTATTTTGAATGCCTGCTTTCACATTATTCATGTGCCAGTTTCATTGTCGAGGTTGTTATGAAACCTCGCTGCCTTACATGTACATGTACACTACTCGTATATCAATGCGCTAGGACTGAAGGCTACATGACATACATGTACATGTAATGATACATGTACCTTTCCAAGCACAGACTGTCTGGTATGTCCAAAGGAGGTTGCAGCATGAAAATAACTTCTTCTAAAATAATATTACCATACTACCATGTCATTGGTAGTGATATTTAGTCAAGAAGGCAAGAATGGTCAGATTTTCTAAAAATGCTATTTTCAGAATTGGCCTAAAAATACCATATTTCGATACCTATATTGTTTGGTAGGGGCCTAAAGTGCCTGGTGACACCATCAAAACTGTCCATTATCGGTTTCCTTGGGGCTCAAGGATCACAGAAAGCCACAAAAATCAATATGTCCATGGACAAAATGTTGCAGGCTGAACCATTTCACAATTCAGCACCCGATGGAAATTTCGGTTCCCGTAATTTCGAAAACGTGGCTCGCCAAGGGCAAAACCAAGCCACAGTCTATCTTGGGTAGCCAAAATACCTCCAAATGTGGTTCTTAAACATATGATGAAGAAAATGCTTAGTATCCTCCTTCCAGGAGGCTTCTTTGGGTCAAAAACCAAATTTTTTTACCATTTTTTTGCCGAAAATCAAGAAATTGTACACTCACTAAATACACCAGAATACCTCTTATATGCCTGGTGACCCTACCTAAAAACTATACCAAATTGAAGAAGAGACATCACTCCACCATTCTATGCATAAAAAACAGGGTGTCCATGGACCTTTTATTTTTACTTCTTTAGGTGGGAGCCTCCTTAAGTACAGAATCAATAAGGACAGCTAGATAAGTTTCTGTTGCTAATTTGGATTGAAATAAAAACGATTCGCCCACTAGATAAGTCACTTGAAGTGCTCCATGGACCTGTTTCATGCACAGTGATTTTCGGGATAATCGACAGGAATTTCGGGATCGCCGGAGTTCATCGAAATATGCGGGATAATCCCGAAAAAAATCGGGATTCTTGGCAGGTATGCGATTTGCAAAGTTATACTGTTGTGTGTGGGTGACATGGTCATGTGTTTGATGAGATTTTGGGCCATCAAATTGCATTTGGGTTTTTGACTTTTTGTTCGAAAGACCGCGGCGAGGAGCGGAGTCGAGAGGCAAGATGGCTGTGCCGGCATTGAACAACACCAGGCTAGTGCTGTGCCGGCATTGAACAACACCAGGCCTAGTGCTGTGCCGGCATTGAACAACACCAGGCCTAGTGCTGTGCCGGCATTGAACAACACCAGGCCTAGTGCTGAAGGACAGCTGACACAACAGTGTGTAGTGGGAAACATGGACAGCTCTTACCTTTGCACTTGCTGACATTTGCCGGTGATCTGCAAAGTCAAATGGGAGAGAGAGGGAGAGAGAGAGAGAGAAAGAGAGAGAGAGAGACAGACAGAGAGTGAGCTTTGAAAACCTTCCAAACAATCAGCTAGAGTAGACAGGAACACTGTACCTGACGATCGACCCTTTTGTAACATATCAAACAAGCAGTCACGGAGTGGTGGGCGTGTATCTGAGCTTCGATATACATGTACTACAGGAAGTAAATATTTTGCTCAATATCAGACAGATTTGATCGCATCCGTTCTGGGTCAAACCAAGTGTAAAATCCCCCCCCCCCCCCCAATGCAAAATCATGTGAAAAGCACTCCATTAAAAAATACTCCTGATGTATGGCTGTACTGCATAATGGCCTATCCCAACAGTGGGTATGGATCAGAATTGTAGCCTTCCAAGTTAGAAGATGAAGTTGGTTGTTCCTACGCGGAACACACGCTTCCTGCTGAACTTAATACTTGACTGACCCACGACTGCCACGAGGAGCACATTGCAACTTCATTACTAATATCGCCAAAGGCGCAACTTCTAAGTTCCAAGTTAGAAGGTTGTTGGTTTGCGCTTCGTAGATGTGTTGAAACTGGATGTCAGGTTGTTGAATGCCTCAGTACCCCCCCCCCCCCAGTCAGTTTTGTGCCTTGTCACACCATATACCTGCGTAGTATGACATAATTATTGTAATGTGGCTACATTGGTGTCATAACTAGTAACATTTCGTCCTTTCTCTTATCCATCAGTACATTTGGCTCGCCATCCCAAGTTCAAATAATTATTCCAGGCTGTAGCAATGCCAATATAGTGGCCAAATTTAAACACACGATCAAATGGGGATTTCTAGAATCGAGACCTGGAGAGGGCAGGACTTGGGGCTATTTGCTCGAAAATTCCGAACGTGTGAGGTTTGAAGTACCGGTATGCACTGCTCATGTTGCTGGTATCGGCTAGAGGCAGAGAGCGCATCAGGTGGAGGGGGAATTGCTTCATCGCTGTATGTACTCCGGCTATTGGGCTATTCCGGGTGTCAGTGGCCGTCGTAAACTTGCCCCGGGAACAGAGCCGGCAAAAACTCGGGTATTTTTTGCAACCTCTTTTGTCATACGCCTGTCAGCATAATTGACTAGCAGGGCAAATTTAGGATAGTGCACAGGCAGCACAGCACTGACGTATGATGCAGTAGTAACCAGTAAGTTAGCCCATTAATTGTGTCCCCAGCACCACAGTCCATTTAGCATGTTCGGTCACACAAACATGGTAGGGTTCTAGAGTACGTGAAACCGGAGTTAGCAGCCTGGGCAGTGGCTGACATAATTATGACATAGGCTACAGCAGCAAACAGTCCTGGACTGCATCAGGTTAGTGATGCACGCAGTGAATAAAAGCAAGATCCTGCGAACACCAGATCCTGCGAACACCAGATCCTGCGGTGCACACCAGCAGCTCGCTTGTACGCACGGCACCACTTTCCAAGTACATGTAGACCAAAATGGGAACTGCTAGCTGGGTTGGTTTCCTTCACTGAAAAGTGCACACAACAGCACATGCCAAAGCCTAAGGGGTCGTCGCAAAAGTTTTCTGTCGTCCCTGAAACGAACATCGTTCATTTCGTACTTGGACCCCCTCCCCTCCCTCTGAAACGAACACAGTTTGCTACGCTGGACGACGAAAATCGCATGCATGTACATGTCATATGTACAGTGTCGGTCGACTTGCGATTTTGGCTCGCACCCCCTCCCCCCCCCCAAATGAATCATGTTCGTTTCAGGGACGACAAAAAACTTTTGCGACGTCCCCTAAGGCAACATACTGGCGGCGACGTGTTGGCCTACCAGGCTACATGCACCCTGATAACACAACCTGGAGTCTGAGCAGGCCCGATGTGCAGATATGACACGCACTGACCGTCTGTGTTACAGTGCAGCCGTAACATCTCACCGTACAGTATTATTATGTATACAACTTATACATCTTGTTTACGTTAGGCAACTATCCATATTATACCGGTCCTAATAATTATTATACTGCATATGCGACACATCACACACACACACACACACACACACACACACACACACACACACACACACACACACACATGCACGCAAACACGCACACAAGTGACAGTATGTACGAGTACATGTACCTTCGAACAGAGTGAAATACACTAGAGAGGAAGCACGCCTTCCACGGGCATGCCTTCGAACACAAAGGACAGAAACTGTTGCTTTTTTTCATGATGAAATACGGGTAAACCGCACACTCACTTCTAAAAATCACAATCGTTTCTAAAAATGAAAAATGGGCGGGGCACTGTTCCTTCAAGAGGCCAGCGTGGACCTGAATAAAACGGAACTTCAAAACAAGGCAAGAGAGTCAGCCGGCGGAACATGCTTCTCTTTGAATGAAAAAAAACATGCATCTAACAATAGAATTGCTTAGCTAAAGAACTAGCCAGAACTGGGGAAAGCGGAGAACAGGGTGGATAAATCAACACGAGTCTGATGAGGACCGTCACGAGGCCCACCAGCTCCACCGTTCTGTGCAGTGCTAGCAACATTCCCACTACCCCCAGGTAACACGGCTTGCTGCTGCTGGCGGTGTGGGTGAGGTAGACCGGAGCTAGAGACAACAGCAGGGTCCACGGGAAACGCATGAGAAGACTGAGGTTGAACATCACTTGAACATCGAGAAATGGGGACAGTCGAAGGTGCTCCAGATGGCTGAGATGTGCTATGAATTTTGAACAGATCTTGAAGATTGATACGGTGACCGGCACCAGTATTTTCAGGCTCGCGCTGAGAATGCGAGTTTGTAGAGGGCTGGGGCTGCTGTAGTTGTCGCTCGACATCTTCTTGCCTGCAAGGTACAGCTGGGTTATCATGCTGCGGGAGGAGTTTAGTTTGAGGATACATATAGAGTATTGTTGGGCCATGCGGATGTGGTGCTTTCTGAGCGTGGGGATGTTGTGCCCCATGCTGAGCAGTTGGCTGTGGCAGCGCTGGTGGAGGCAGGGGTGCTCCCGGGTGCTGATGTTGTGGCGGGGGTAAGTGAGAGGGACGGGGAGCATGCTGGCTTTGGTGAGGGGGGTGCTGGCCATTTTGGGTGTGCGGTGGTGGCGCCCTCAATTGTAGCATCGATCTTTGCCTTTGCTGCTCAAGGCCATACAAGTGCTGGGGAGTGGGGTGCCGGTACTGAGGGTTCTTCTGTAGGTGAGCAGCCAAATCTTGCTGATTTAACTCCTGCAATTGCAAGAAGCGATCAACAGCTAAACCACTGGATTCAGCGTTCGCTGTAGGTGGCTGAGGAGGTACAGCCGATGCAGCGGCTTCCCCTGAGGGTGCACTTGATTCAGCAGACGATGCAGCAGCCTGACTCTGCTGTTGCTGCCCTGCTGTAGCAGAAGACTGCTGCTGTGGCGGATGTGCCTGGTGACTAGGAGTGGCTGCTGGCGTAGCACTAACAGCATCGGCAGTGGCAGGTGGCAAACCATCCTTGTCCCTAGCGGTATCTAATGGCAGTAATGGCAGTGGCAAGAGACATGGCAGAACAGAAGAGGAGTGAGGGCCTACGCTCTGTATCTAGTGGTAGTAACGACAGTGGCAAAACAGAAGTGGAATGAGGACCTACACCCTTTATCTAGTGGCAGTAATGACAGTGGCAAGCGACATGGCAAAACAGAAGAGAAATGAGGACCTACAACACCCCGCGTGATGAGTTTGTTTATTTACGGATTCTCCAGAGGTAAATGGATACCTATCAAGGGAGTCGCACCAAACCAATAAAATAATGAAAATGAGTAGCATCGCAATGCTGCTCTAAAGCACACGTTTCACGAAAGACACATGAACGCACACTTCATTTGTCTGGTGCACCTAAAGACCTTGGCTATGACACGTCAGTCGTAGAGGGTGAACTGTGGACGCCTTTAGATTGACATTAAGCCTGGGTGGATCTTTTATGGTCTTCAGAAACCTCACTCTTTTTCACTACATAGCAATAAAGACCGTCTTAACATGCCCTTTCCAGGGTCTGGTGCAGCAGGTACTGGAAGAGTTGAAAGTGTGACGAGTCTAAAGTCTAACGATTCGCAAAAATTTCCACTTGGCAGGCACAAGGTTTAATGACCCTACAAATACCTGTCTTCTGCTTCTCTAGTACAGAGGAGAGAAGGAATAACATACGTGTAACGTTTCTTGAGCTAGCGATGGATTTTTCTCGTTAAAACGTTAGGCTTGGTGCCCCGTTAGACATTCAACTCATACAGTAACAAGGATTTTCAAAATAATAAAAAATATATAAAATGATTAAAATCGTCGTCTTCAGTTGATCACAGTGGCACGCTATGATCAAAACACGCAGATCCGAATCCTGAAATTCACAATCACACTGGAACCTCACTTGGAAGAACAATGACGGGACAGCCGTTTCGCGTTGGCAGAGCTGTTGCTGGTCTCCCCGTGCGTGATATCACTGCGGACTCACTTTGTACTTGGAAGTACAAAACTACCTTGAGGACTACCGTAAGTGTAGATACTGCATTCCTCCGAACACGAGTAGCCATCTTTTACACTACAGTGCCACGTCCGAAAAGGGTGTGTGATTTACAATCGAGCAGGACTTACTCACTCGCGTGAATAAACTGAAACAATACGACAGACTTGAAAACAGGGGCGTAATATAATAATAGAGGGGTTAAGTTACACGTTTTTTGCCCTTTTTCAAAACGCGGTGCAAATCTCACGTTACGTGTAATTTTTAGAGGTTAAGTTACGCGTGCGACGTGACGTGAAATTTTGCCTGGCAGGATTCGGGTTTAGTTCGCACAAATATCAAATCTTCCAACAAACTCGATAAAACTCGATAAAATTCCGGAAACTCACACAAATTCGGTCGGAATAACCAAGCGAAACTTCCAAAAACTCACGTCATGAACTTACGTGCGGGACAGTCAACTCACGTAAAACACGTCAAATTTTACGTGAGTTTTTTCACTTGTTGACGTAAAAGTTCACGGACGTAAGACTTTTACGTGAAACTTAAAGGGGAAGTCCGGTGAAAAATTTAAATTTCAGGGTTGGTAGAGTTTCGGCCGCTGAGTCGAATGGTGTTGGTCCCACATGTCCCCGACAAAGCGTTCTCGAGATATTTCCGTTTGAAAAACTGAGTTTCGGGGGCTGCGCCATGACGTCATGCGGCCGCGCCACACCCTCCGCAACGTCATAGCGTGCAGCTAGGTCAAAAGGAGTGCGTGAAAGCAATAGTGTCAGTGCTATTTCAAATGATTTGGCGACCCATAGTAGGTGGTGCAAGCGACTCCGAAGACGTAACTCCTTGTGAGAGTGAGGATGCAGCCATGGCTGACCTTCATGAGTTTGGTCTGGGGCTGAGAACCTCGGTATTCAGCTGAAGAAATGGCCGCGGGCCGGTCAAGAGTGAGCGCTACTGAGTTTCCGACTGATGAAGAAGCAGCAGGTATTGCAGACGAAGCTGATATAATTATCAGCTCGCTGGAGAGCAGAGTCGCCAAAATGGAGAAGAGTGATGCGAGTGCTCTAAGACTAAAATGTTGTTCCATACCGATTCGCTTAGACTCCAGTAACCTGCCACATGGTGATTTTTTGGTGCGAACTTGGCGTATTTCGGACACTCAATTGGAGAACAGTGCAGGCTCTTTGAACTACGGGCACGACTCTTCGCTCGCAACGCTACGGGATCTGAAAGTTCTAGGTCCGGGAGCTGTTCGCTGTTTTGTCACTTGTCACGGTTGTGCACTCATCGCTGCAGCATAAAATAATGAGGCGGGAGCGGAAAACTAAAATTTTCTTCCTCAAAGCACAACCACCACCGGCAAGGAGAAACGCTCGTTCTCTGACTACACGACTGATACGAGTGTAGTACATGACAAGTCCGTGTGTTGACTAGTTTTCCGAGTCTTGTTGTACCTACCCCAGCATGGCAGTGCGGGAGTAGTTCCGTGTGTGATGAGTTTGTTGACTACACTACAAGTAGCATGCACGCAGCGCATTGCTAGAGCCGTAGATAGAGGCCAGTGCATGTCGACGGAAAAAGTCCAACTCGGAAACGGCTAAAATACGGTATAACCTCGAGGTTTACCGAGCTGAAAATCACAGGGTACGTAGTGTTTGTAACACTGAATCGAATGGTCTTGGTCCGAAGAAGCTGCGACAAACGGTTCCCCAATCGAACGCACTCCGAATATGGCCGTTTTTGTACACATCTAGATGGTGTGGCCACCTGGCTGCACGCTGTGACGTCATCACCTGGATCTGGGTGAGGCGCGCTCAAATCCGCACATGTTCGATTGGGCGTATCTGACGAACCATAGGCCGCAGCCTCCTCGGACAAAGACCATTCGACTCAGCGCCCCGAACTCTACGGACTGTGAAATTTAAATTTTTCACCGGACTTCCCCTTTAACCTCTCTAATACCGTAAAGTACCGCCAGAGCGCCCCACCATCTCGTCCTTTCGTGGCCGCCTTCCTGTCTGTAGGTCATACGACACGGACCTTGTACAAACATTGCACATTGTGCAGTCAATCCGTACTCAGTTTACCTTCGAGCTCCAGTCCACATACTTGGTCCGGCTCATCGCAATTGTCGCTTATCTCCCACGCACTTTTTGACAGGTAAAACCCAGTCCAATCACGATATCTAACTTACTTTTGCTTGGGAGGTTGTGATGGCAAGATCAAATGAGGCACCAAAGAAAAAATGATCGCGACTAGCGCTTTGAATCGCGATGTGTTCGACTTTTTTGGGAAGTGGAAATCTGGCCATTCACTGTCTTTGTTGCCAAAACTTGCAAAAGCCAAGCGCAGCGACCCGAAGACCGGAACTGTAGCAGGGGCAACTGACATCCTGGAGAGCGTGACAGGCACGCGTGCACGGCAGAGGAGTATGAGCGTCATGCTGAAGAAGAAAGGTGTTTTCGATGCGATGCGCGCATGCGAGGGACGTTTTGGTTGTTCCTTCCTGGACCTGGCAGCAGCATTACAAGAGTCGTCGTCAGCGTATCCAGTGGAGCGTATGACAGCTGTCTGGAGAGGCCTGTATGCCTCATTCGAAGGCTCTGTTGAAACACACTGTGGAGGTCACACTGCCCACGGTTCCTTCAAGCACGGAAGTGACAGACACAACTGTTCCTTTTCCATTGCTGCCATGCGACAGGCTGACAAAGCAAGAGATACTCTAGTCTCTACCAGTCTACGCCAGCAGCTAGACACCAGCAATTTAATGTCAGCTCATGTAACGGCGGCAGCTCGAGTGATGGAGAGTTGAATGAACCGTCTGGACCTGTAGGAGTGTGAGTGCAAGAACGCGCTCCTTCGCTGATTTATTTCGTGCATTTTGCTTACCTTGCTTCCCTTCTATGACTCGCTTCACCTGATTCCATGGCTGAATTTCGTTTATTGTGGCGCAGAGTATTCATGTATCATGCTTCCTCACTATGCCTATTGAAAATTTCACAGAGCGGCAACAAAACTCCTGTTCTTAGTGGCGATAGATAAGCGACAATTGCGATGAGCCGGACCAAGTAAAAGCATACCAAGCGTGACCTTAGCACACGAAGGTTCTCATATCGTACAAACTTAGTAGCATTCTGCCATACGATTTTCTTCCCTTGGCTGTAAAATCAAGGTGGGGCGCTCTTACGAGACGGGGCGCTCTGGCGGTACTTTACGGTAATGGCGGGAGACTTGTGATTACAGCGTACACACCCACACTCCATCCTTGGCGACACACAATTCCTCAACTGGAGCACCTGCCTTAGTGGAGCCACATATGTTCTCTCCGTAAGTGGAGAGCAAACTCGCTAATTTACAGGTTTTTCCCGCCGCCTACTTACCTTTACGTAGCGCGGAACCTCTGTGATATAACTACAAAGTTCCCGGTTGGCGCGAGACTTGGTTAGACTGAGTTTTCTGCATCCGCAGGAATGCCACCACTCTCAAGGCTCAACTACAAAAAAAAACGCCTTAAAATCTAATCCAGACACCGGAGAAATAGGACTTACCGTTCTTGGAGCGAACTTGCTGGGAAAAGTGCTGTTGAAGCTGGGCAGCATGTTGTGTGGCTTGCAGAGAAGACAAGTGTGATGCAGCAGCAGCAGCGGCCGCAGCGTGCGGATTGGTAGCTAGTGACGTTTGAGCAGCAGCAGCCGCTGTGCTGCGTGTAGAAGATGGCTGCGTTGGAGGTTGCGGCTGCGGAGGCGATTGCACAGATACTGTGGTGATGCCAGGCTTTGACGCGGGCATCTTCATTTTGCGCATAACGGACGTCGGCATGAACGCCATGGGCAGAGAGACCTACCGAAAGACACAGTACAAGGGAAGACATAGAACACACCAGCATGGTTTTAGGAGCAAGAAGTCCGATGCTTGAGCAGCGGAAGGCACTACAGTTGATGCCATGCAGTACTAACACACAAAGGTTTAGAGAAGAAAAGCCTGGTGCGTAAGTTTGAGTCACATACCCACCATACGGCCTACCGTATTTCTCCCCAATGAGTACCCCCCCCCCCCCCCCTATAAAAAATACACTTTCCACTGCCGAGATTATCACCCCGAAAGACAGTAAGTTCGTACCCGTCCTACATGTACAGACACCGTACAGTACATACATCATATGCACGGACACTAGAGTTGCGCAGGCTTCCCACTGCGTGTCATTTACCCCCGATAAAAAAGTACTCCCCGAAAGATAGCACCACCCCCGAAAGTTAGTACTCATGTGGCTGCTAAGTTCGAAAGTTAGTACGTACTAACTTACGGGGAAATACGGTACTGTCAAAAGCCTACCTAGTATTATGAAGTGCAATATCACTCAAAGTGTTTGATGCTTATCTAACAGTGTTATCCGTTATCATTAGGATGACCAACCATGCAAACAGGGCAACACATAGTATGTATATTACAAGGAGGGCCTACCGGTGGCGCAGTGTTTTTTGCGACAGGTGGCGAGGGTAAGACAGGTTCCGCGGCTTCACTGGAAAAGCCGCTTGCCGGCAGATTGAAGGTCTTCGACGGTTTCAAGCTACGCACTTCATCAGGCGTGGGCAAAAGACCAGACTGAGCCGACTGCTGCTGGGTGGTGCGAATCGCCTGTATGGCTTCGGCTGTGGCCTCAGCTTCGATATCGGCAACATCTGACAGGCCATTACGACGGACACGACCAGACTCTCCTTCCAAACGCTGGCGCTGACGAGGAGCTCTTGGTGCCATGAACTGTTTGAAACTGTCAGGGTGCGATGCAGACGGCGCAGCGGCTGCCAGGACTGCCTGAGCTACTGCTGCTGGCGCAGCTGGCACCGTCGGTATTTGCTCCCTATAGAAACACACACACACACACACCATGGGATAAATATACCCATCTCCAACATTAATCATTATACATTGCCTGTATGTCTCCTATTTCAATGAAATTCACTTGCAACCATGTCAGAACAGCTTGTTCGCCAAGACAAAGACACCGTACTCACTCGATTCGAAGCCGGGCTTCTATTTTTTCAATGCCAATTTCGAGGAGGCCACTATTCAAGAGGGGCTTTTATTGTTTCAATCCAGACAAGCATTACAATCTAATCCCTAAAATCTTCATATTCAAAGCAACTCGGCCTCGAGTAAGTTCACACACACTTCATCGACCTGGACATGCATCATTGCATGCACATGCCGATGCATGTTTTGTATGCATTTGCCGTGACCAGACATGGTACTACCCGTACCTGATCACACCATGTTTCGTGAATAGCAGTCCGTGCTTTAATGTGAGGGGGGGGGGGGGGGGGCTAATATCCAAGGAGGGGCCTCTAATTGAGCTAGTATGGTATGCACCCACAGTACAAACACAGTGCAAACACAGTACAAACACAGTACCGTAAAACCGGGAATTTTCGGTGGTGTAATATTTTGGCATTTCCCAACATCAACGACTCGGTAGCGTGAAAATTCGGTAAGCCAGTTTTCCAGATCCAAAAATGCATTCTGCATACTATGTGGCATGACATTGTTGAATGTTAGGCCGCGTTTTATTAGAGGTAAAAATTACCTGTACCGAAGTTAGCGAAAATAAATCTCCACTGAAATTTTCCGGTTTTACAGCACACTGCAAGAGCTCATCTGAGTGTTTTCCCAGGTCTGCAAACCTTGTAACTTACACTGCCGGTGTGCTGGCGGACGATGTCCTACTCAAGCTAGAAGTAGAAGTCGACGGGCGAGGTGACGTGAAGAACTGCCGGAACCGACTTTTGTCATCAGTTGGAGTACCATCCTATGTATGGGAAAGAAGAGAGAAAGCGTCACACTATGCTCTACACCATGCCTGATCACCGGAAGTGAACCCATTGACTTGTCACAGTGCAATGCAGTGGTGCAGTGCCACTGCAAATCATCACACAACACCCTGCAAAAGCAACACTTGCCTTTAAAGAACATTCGTTTATTCGTTCGTTAGCGCCAAGAATATTCGATTGGCAAGAAATTGTGTTCGTTTCAGCCCTAAGCTCAACGCACAATATCACTTCTGCCATGCAATGAGCTTCGAAACAAAGTCTTTTCCGCATCGCGCGAAGAGTCTTCGATGCACAATGGATTGCACATCACAGCGAAATCCTGCAGGCCAAAACCGTACGCGAGCTGTATGTGGGTATGCCATGTAGAAAGTGACGCGCATCGCTCACCGCAGAAGTTGGAAATGGGCTCAACGTCCCGCGATGCGACCTGCAACGGAGCTGCGATAGTCTGCGACGGAAAATTTTGCAGAAAAAAACTCTTGGTTGCTCATTTGTGTCGCAGAAGTGATATTGTGCATTGCGTTTTAGAGTTGATTAATGAGAACAAACTCATTTACAAGCAGAGATGAAAGGCAAGAAACAGGCCATAGTACATACCTTGACATTCAGAGTGGCCAGGAAGCGATCGAAATCAAAGTTTTGTTCAGCACTCACGGTACTCATCATCAAGTGTGGAGAGACATTACCAATGTTTGGGTCACCATGCTGCTTCGATTCCTTCTCGCTAGCCTTCATAAGATTTTGGGTGACTGGGACGATTCCACAAGGTGACTGCATTTCCGCATGCCTTTGCTGCTTCTTTTCAATGTCCTTTGCATCTAGTGACAGAGTGCGATGGGCTTCTCTAGACTGCTGGGACTGTGCACCAGGTCTCGGAGATTGTGCCTGTAGTTGCTGCTGCTGTGGGACCTGTTGCAGCAAGGATTGCAGCTGGGATTGGTGTTGCTGCTGCGGCATTTGCTGTGGTTGTTGCTGCACATGCAACTGCCGCTGTGGTTGCTGCTGTGATTGTTGCTGCACATGCAATTGCCGCTGTGGTTGCTGCTGTGGTTGTGGTAGGTGCTGTGGACGTATCTGGGGCTGCTGCTGGTGATGCCGCAATTGCTGGGGTTGCTGCTGTGGTGGCTGCTGCTGGGGTTGCTGTTGTGGTGGCTGCTGCTGGGGTTGCTGCTGAGTTGGCTGTGGTTGGTGCTGCTGCTGCTGCTTCTGCAGCTGCGATTGTTGTTGTTGTTGTTGCTGCTTCTGCAGCTGCAGTTGCTGCTGCTTCTGCTGTTGTGGTTGTTGCTGTTGCTTTGGCAGCTGCGGTTGTTGTTGCTGCTGCTGCTGCACTTGCTGCTGAGTTGCCTGTGGTTGTTGTTGTTGCTTCTGCGGCTGTGATTGGTGCTGCTGCTGCTGTGGCTGAGCAGGGTGCTGTTGACCAGTCTTCCGGTGCTCCTGAGAAGTTTTCCTTTGCTCCTGCGGAGCCTTCCGCTGATCCTTATCTGAATCTTTTGATTCCCGTAAAAGAGATCGAATGTCTTCTCTGGGTTTTTGCGACTGCTGCTGCTGGCCAGTCTTGCGCTGATCCTTTTCAACATCCTTTGTCTCACGCGAGAGAGGCCGACTTTCTTCTCTGGGCTGTGATGGGTGCTGGTGGCCATTCCTTCGTGACTGCGAGAGACTTTCAGTCGATGAGCGCGAGTTATCTTCAGGTTGTCGTTTGAGTTTTCCTGGTTCGGGTGCTGTCTGGTCAGTAGAGGAAGTGTCAGGGAGAAGATCTACGGGCCGAGCAGTCCCATTTGCACTGCTTTGTTTCTTTCTTGATATAGGAGAGACAGGCGCGACCTTATTGTTTCTCGATGGCTTCGGTGATTTAGAACCAGATAGCTGCAGGCCATCAGCAGCTGCAGCTCTTCTTTCGGGAGTTGGCGAGCGCCGTTTAGTCTTCGGACTTGCTGCAGAAAGCTGCTTGCGCCCCTGATGCTGCGGCAGGTCATTTATTTGCTTGTTGGGGTGCCAATGAGGAAGCAGGTCTTGCGGTTGCTGTTTGACTTTGTTCGGAAGCCTTCTCTGCTGCTGCTGCTGGTCATTCAAAAGACCAGTCCTTCGATTCACTGCACCAGGGCACAACCAGAGAACGACAGTAGGCTGCTTCAAAAAGGTGTCCAAAACAATTTCAAATACCTTGCATGACATAGAGAAAAAAGACCTTGGACACAGGCTTGGGGCCATCCGTAATTATCGATCTTTTTCACGAAACGAAAAAGTTTAGTTATGACCCACCCCCACCCACCCACCCCCCTGAAACGAAAAAATTAATTGACTTGAGACTTTGTGCAGAAAATGATCTTGATTGGCTGTTACAACACACACAATCATATCCTTCGCATGCAAGCACTAAAAATTTGGTTAACCCTTTACCATGTTTACCGGCGAGTAGTTTACTTTTGTATATGAAATCCGTAACATTTTAGAATGATGCCAATAGCTCAAAGCGAGGCTACATTTTGTATGATATTGATAGTGCAAGTCAGTTATATTTTCTTGGAAGTCTGGTACTACTTCTCGACCATGGAAACATTTATGTTCACCTACCACACACATACGCTGCCAAATAATTGGCACCTCTACGTCTAAACACGGGAATATTCCGAATAGTACACAATGCAAATCGTCAGAGTTCCGACATTGACATGATACTGCCAAAACAAGTCGACTTCGGAGCGGAAACAAACGCCATAGCTATCACAGACTTCAGTGGTCGTGCCTCGCTCGCAAATGAGAGCAGCATCGCCCCAGAATCGTTGTCGGAAAGCTCCGTAAGGTCGCACACACGCCGCGCAGCGCTGCCGTTAATCAGGTACGTAGAAAGTCGATGGCCTAAATTTCCGTCTCTGGAAGACTGTCGACAAGGGGATCACTCTCCATGGCTTTCCCACCATAAGCACGATCAGATTCTTCCAGGTACATTACGACGACATCGTCTTCAGCGGCTGGCGCTCCCCATATTTGCGTGAGAATTTACTTGGCGTGCGCCCCGCTCCGTAATTTGAAATTCTCTTGCATCGGCGGCTGGAACGAAGTATCATCTATCTGTTGTCGGTCCCATGGCCGGGCCCAGAGCGAATTACTGCTTGGTCCCCGTCGGAGAAGTCATCCGAGCACGAAAGGAACTCACAACTGCACGGAGTACAGAGTGGTATCAGTGCATCGCACTGTCGATCTACTTCGAAGTACACAATGCATGCAGTGCGCGTAGATTTTTCTGCTTTCGATGTTTTTTCAAAACGAAACCGGTCACTACCCACCCACCCATAAACGAAACTTTTTCGTTTCGTGAAAAAGATCGATAATTACGGATGGCCCCTTACTTTCCTGCATTAATCATACTTTTAAGCCTAGTTCACATTCGACGCAACGCCGACGGTACGGGACGTAAGGGCTTGTCGGGAGGGCTGGGGTGAGCTGTAAAATCCTGTACGATTCGTACGACACGACATGCAGCAGTCGTTGCGACGTTCAACGTCGAACGGCACGAGTCATAAGGCACGGTCCGTGACGGGGTGACTTTCGGACCTAATAGAGAGGTTCCGCATAACGTAATTACGTTAGTAAAAAACGTAGTCGATCAACGGAAAGTCATACGTAAACTGCATGTGCATCTGGGTTCCGCCATACGGAGTTTTCAAATCACGTAGCTGCCCTTGGCAACTCCGAACGCGGCAGTGTACGACCAGATCGACCTGGGGAGAGAGTCATAAATTTGTACCCCAATCCACTTACGGACCAGCTACGTTATCAGAGCCCTATCTACGTACTCTCCGTAGACAACTTTCCGTAAGTGGAGTGCAAACTCGCGAATTCACGGGTTTTTCCCGCCCACTAACGTAAAGTTGCTCAACTTTACGTAGTGCGGAACCTCTCTAATTTCTCGTTTTTTGGGACTTCTTTTCAATTGTTTCTCCTTGAAAGAAGCGGAATCAAGTTCACAATACCAGTTTTTCATGAAGATCAAAACTTAGCCCTGAAAGTTGTGGCATTCAAATAATAGCCCCAGGAAATGATAGAATAGTTTGTCTGTTACGCTTCTGAACTATCCCTAAATACAATAAGTGACATGAGATCTTATGTTGCTAAAATTCAACTCAAGTCGTGCTAGCCATTCTGTGAGTTATCATGGGAAGCGCAGTGTTCGAAATGCTAAAAGTTTCCAAGTACGAATTCGGGAGTAGTCGGCGCATGACGCCGTCTCCTGTTCACACTCGAATTGCAGCCGTTTTGTACGCTTGCGTCCCCGTCTACGCCCGTCTACGGTATGAAAAGTTGGATCGATCCAACTCTTCCCGTCGCTTCCCGATCTGTACGGTAGTACGGTTGCGTTCCCGTTCCTGGTGTTCACATTGGACGCCGTCAGACCGCTCCGTCGCTTCCCGTCGATCCTTACGACGCGTCCCGTCGCGCCCCGTCGAATGTGAACTAGGCTTTACCAGGCAGTCGTACAAACTTACACACTTCGTACGACTCCCTGCTTTCACACATCCACTTGCTCAGCTGTACAAGGTCAAAGGATGCATGTACTGTACTCGTATGTTGCATGTAAAATTTAGTCTGAAGTTAGGCTTGGGAAAATGTTGCCTTTTAGGTTTAATGTGATTTGGTTCGATGTTCTATCAAGCCCTCTTCAGACCACGTACATAGAATATCTAGTACAAAATCACATAAATACAAATATACTGCAGCAGTGGAATACATGCATTCCTTGACAACGAGAGGATGACAAACAAGGCCAATACTTGCATACTATAGTACTCACGCCTTCCAGGTGGAGCACGCTCTCCTCCTTTACGCCTGGCATCAATGCCACTGCAGCCATGATTAAAGTTACCACGCTGCGGTCCCAGCACAACACCACCATCTAAACAACACACCCGTACAAGCAAGATAGCACAACTACAGCATTGTATTATGCACCAGATGAACAGAGGTTCAATAGCTGCTGTGACAGCAGGAGACATTCTTATCAAGCTGGACACATGCAACAAAATCGCACCGGATGAAACCGAGTATTAGCAGTTAGTGAAGGTGGGTAACAAAACCTGATCCTCCAGGGTGTGACTCGAGAGATTCGTTGTGTCGCTTGTCACTTGCACATACTACTGGTATGCACAATGTTTTGGGTTCTACAGCTCTACAGAGTTTTCCAAAAAAGCTCAGATACCATGAAGAGGCCAGAACATTTGGCCAATTCAGACATGCTTCCTCGCTCGAGTGTGTGTGTGTGTGTGTGTGTGTGTGTGTGTGTGTGTGTGTGTGTGTGTGTGTGTGTGTGTGTGTGTGTGAGAAAGAGAGAGAGAGAGAGAGAGACAGAGAGAGACAGAGAGAGAGACAGAGAGAGTACTGACCTGATTTAGCTTCCCTGTCACTGCCGCCATTGCTGTAGAAGGTGCAATAAAACGCATGCACACACACACACACACACACACACACACACACACACACACACACACACACACACACACACACACACACACACACACACACACACACACACACACAACAACAACAACAACAACAACAACAAGTGCACAAGCATTATCTAGGTGCTCTGTGGTGGTAGATGTAACTACCGTAAAGTACCGTTGATCCGCCCCCATGCCATGTCGCTTCCCAGCTGGATTTTCGGCCTGGGGGGCGGGAATTATATCAAGGCTGTCAAGTGCAGTACGATGTACAACAACGTAGAAGTTCAGACTCGATGTGCTGGATTGTGCACATTTTCATCCTGGATTGGCAAATATTGTGTACAGCAGTGCATGCGTCGGTTCAAAATCGTATTCTCGTTGTATACGCTGAAGTCGCTTCACAGGTAGAAAATCGACAGGGGGCGGGAATTAGAGAGGGGGCGGATCAACGGTAATTTACGGTAATGACCCAACTAATGAAAGAATAATAAGTTTGCCTCTGGCTCACATGCCCCGGCAACCAAGTAGTGTGTGTGTGTGTGTGTGGGGGGGGGGGGGGGGGTAGGCTTCCGCGGAATATGCCGGCATAATTTCGGGAATTATCGGTCTGATTTTTAAAATGGGAATTAGAGAGGTTCCGCACTACGTAAAGTTGAGCAACTTTACGTTAGTGGGCGGGAAAAACCCGTGAATTCGCGAGTTTGCACTCCACCTACGGAAAGTTGTCTACGGAGAGTACGTAGATAGGGCTCTGATAACGTAGCTGGTCCGTAAGTGGATTGGGGTACAAATTTATGACTCTCTCCCCAGGTCGATCTGGTCGTACACTGCCGCGTTCGGAGTTGCCAAGGGCAGCTACGTGATTTGAAAACTCCGTATGGCGGAACCCAGATGCGCATGCAGTTTACGTAAGACTTTCCGTAGATCGACTACGTTTTTTACTAACGTAATTACGTTATGCGGAACCTCTCTATTATTGGCACTTTTTGTGGAATAAAGCGGGATTCACAGAAGCTTTTTTTGCGATACGACACGCGATGCGACGCAATCTGCGACGGACGCGTGCGATGCGAACTTGCGAAATACCATTCACAGAAGTAGTCAGCGATGCGACAAAGTCTTGCTGATTTGGGTACGTCACCATGATATTCGCGCGGTTTGGTACAACCTGTACAAATTTATAGGCAACTCTTGAACCTTTGTACAACTTTGCTGTAGAAAAAGTCAAAATCGTACGCCAAATCGCTTGTCGCATCGCAAAAGTTGAGCCAAGCTCAACTTCTGCGATGGCCTGCGATGGCCCAGTTGCGGCAGTTGCGTGGGGTGCGACATGGCTGCGATTTGGGGGTTTTCCCGGTTTCGCGCGTGTCGCATCGCAAAAAAAGCTTCTGTGAATCCCGCTTAATCGGTAAAATTTGAGTAATGCCCCCGTTCTTTCATTTTTTTATTGATAACACCCTAATTGGTACCAAAAAGCTTGTGGTCCTGCAGTTGTTCACCCTGTCTTTCAAAAAAAAAAAAAAAAAGGTTCCAGCCGAGTCTCATGCGAACCGTGATTTTTTTGCCAGTACAAGTGGCAACAATACCCGTACGCGGTACGGTATCTGCAAAAAAAGGGAAGAAAAAAAAGCATTATTGCGAGAATTATTGGTGAAATTACGGGAATAATAGAGAGGTTCCGCATAACGTAATTACCTTAGTAAAAAACGTAGTCGATCTACGGAAAGTCTTACGTAAACTGCATGCGCAGCTGGGTTCCGCCATACGGAGTTTTCAAATCACGTAGCTGCCCTAGGCAACTCTGAACGCGGCAGTGTACAACCAGATCGACCTGGGGAGAGTCATAAATTTGTACTCCAATCCACTTACGGACCAGCTACGTTATCAGAGCTCTATCTACGTACTCTCCGTAGACAATACACTGAACAATTACCATCACACAAAATACAATAGGGAACTGCTTCTCTGTACCTAAATTTTCTGTTCACCTAACCTGGCCTTTTGCCCTCATACCGAAAATATTGAGCACCGAAAATTTCTGACATTCGAGTACACTGCAGCTTGCTCCCTACAGTCCATTTCAAAACTATAGACGCGTACCTAGGCAAAAACCGTTATGCCAGCATCTATACCACAAAAAATCTGTGATCACTTTGTGCATAATTTTTTCCAAATTGGGCGTCTGTTATCCAATCCTTTAGAAACTATATGAGAGTAATTGTGGAGCGATCCTGAGCAATATTCCGAAAACTATTCTCAAAAAGTTCCAGCCAAATTTGAAATATTTCAAAAACCCTACGCGTCTATAGTTTTGAAATGCACTGTAGAGCCAACGGCCAGAACACATGTTCACAGAAAAGTAGCATGAACGATGGCATTACAAGGTGAAACACTATAATAGTGTCTAATGGACAGTAATGGTGTGGTATGTATGGCCAGGAATTACGCAAGCAGAAGTTAATAATGGCCACCGTTTATCAAGCAAAATCGGCGCACGCCCATTGCACCACTATCTGGGCGTGACTCACCTTCTGCGATCTGCTGATTTCAATGGGTCCTCTTCAGCCAACTCGGCAAACCATCTCACGGCTGAGAAGAACTTGTCATCCTTGAGAGTGAACTGTCGATCCAGACATGCCGGCCACACTTTAGCTGAGGGGTGGTTACGAAGAGCAAGTAACTCATCCTACAGCATGCACACAGCACAGAACATCCACACAAGAAAACAGGTCACCTGATTGATTCAGTCAGAGCTTGATTCTCCGTGGGATGATGACATACATGCAAAGGTCCTGCTAGAACATCCATAACATACATTAGAGAGGTTCCGCACTACATAAAGTTGAGCAACTTTACGTTAGTGGGCGGGGAAAACCTGTGAATTCGTGAGTTTGCACTCCACCTACGGAAAGTTGTCTACGTAGAGTACGTAGATAGGGCTCTGATACCGTAGCTGGTCCGTAAGTGGATTAGGGTACAAATTTATGACTCTCTCCCCAGGTCGATCTGGTCGTACGCTGCCGCGTTTGGAGTTGCCAAGGGCAGCTACGTGATTTGAAAACTCCGTATGGCGGAACACAGGTGCGCATGCAGTTTACGTAAGACTTTCCGTAGATTGACTACGTTTTTTACTAACGTAATTACGTTATGCGGAACCTCTCTATTACCATACATTCTTGCTGAAGTTGTAGTATGCTGGAAGGGAACACTCGTCGGGACTTGTATGCGGGAACTCTATGAAAGACAAGCGGAACTGGTTCGGGTCAAAGCTCGAACCGACATCGGCTTCACACCGCTACTCTAGACCAGAGCATAGAGAACTTCTACAGTCCTGGCACAGTGCACATCTACACTACGTTGGCAATATGTGATGGGTAGTTGGACACAGTGTACACGACCTTCATGCCGACCGAGCACTGTCATGTATCGCACATGAACAAAATGCTCGTCCTGCGGAGACGTAAGCCATTGCGAGGGGATGAGTTTCAGTTCTCTGAGCTATGCTCAAGAGCTGTCAGAAGGTGAAACAGTTGCTGTCCAGTGTCCACATATACGAGAATATTCATGCACTGATCATCCGTTCTGTAAACCCACGTTCATGTGAAAAGCTATTTTCAACCAGCTGAAGGCGATGGACTCTGGTAAAATCAATAGTACATAACCTAGAGTGTGCAGCTTTATCTTAAGCTGCAATGGACTCACCCACGAAGGAAACATTTAATGGCGCTATTTCTCGGTAGAATTTGATCAAGCGTTTTTTTGCACACTGCTCATGCACCTTTGTTTGCACTTTAGGTCTTTGGTTACGCACGATGACTGCAGTGAGGCAAATGGCCGTGAAAGACTGATGTTAAAAAAAACTCTTCCATGGGCTGAGAGATCGAAGAGTTGCACACTCTTGCTAAAAGTGGCATGTGCCTTTCCAGTTGACTAGCTAATACTCTCCATGGTGAAACCATCTGCCTAATCCGGGCACTGGAGAAAATGATAATGACCTTGTGCTCAAAAGAATAAAACTTTGTGACAGGGGAGTCACTCATACAGGTCTGCTCTCGATATAACAACTCTCACTTGTACATAAACCTCGCTAGTAAGTAAAAAAATCAGATCCCGCGCCGAAACAGCATCACTCCCATACAAATTTTGTTCTACACAACATAATCCTACATAACATAAACCTCGACATAACACACGCTACAGCTCGGTCCCCGACGTGCGCACTCTCGATACAACATAAATTCACGTTCACGGTACGATCAAGCGGTAGCTGTAGCTAGGCAGTTTAGTCCTACATAACGTAAACCTCGGCATAACGCACCCTGTGGCGCGGTCCCCGACGTGCGCACTCTCGATACAACGTAGATTCACGTGCGCGGTACGATCAAGCTGTAGCCGTAGCTAGCCAGTTTAGTCCTATTGTGCATATATTCTGCGGCATTGATGGTATCTGATGTCGATGGTGGTACAGTGTGTATATGTTTGCACGGTTGAACCCACCTTGTAATACCCTTCATTTTGAGGTACATCTTGTATTTTACACACGGTTTTCTACATAACATAACTCTCGATATAACATAATTTGTGCGTGGTCCCAGAGATTACGTTATATGGAGAGTAGACCTGTACTTTAGTGTAAACGGCCAGTGTCATTAGTTCAGATTAGGCCGCAATTACACTGCGTTTTGTGGGCTCAACTGTGGCTTCATTGATGGTATTGCTGCTGGTTATCACAACGAGTTATGCACGTGACGATATCAAGCGGGGAAGTCAAAACATGGCTATCTGGGGGGGGGGGGGGGGGGGGGGAGCTGCCACATACTTCAGTTGTTAGTCATTAGAGAGGTTCCGGGGTACGATTTTCCGTGCCAAAATCCGTATGGGCGCTACGGATTTTTTCCAGGCGTGCTCCATACGATTTTTCGGCACGGAGAATCCGTGTGGACTGGCTTTCATACGAACCATGTTTCGTATGGAAATTTTGCGTCATCGGGTGCAGAAAGATTTTTCGCGTACAAATTTGGTACGAGAAACATCGATTTTCCGCGGGAAGTTTTGATTTCGGTACAAATTTTCAAAATAAAAAGGCATAGCGCGGGAATGTGACGTGTTTGCGATCGTAACCTAGGCAATGACGGCAAACACATAAGTTCCGTACCCCGGAACTTTTCACTGCTCGAAAACGACGTATAAAATATCCGTAGCGCCTCCACGGATTTTGGCACGAAAAGTCGTACTCCGGAACCTCCCTATTGGGAGAAAAGCTGCCTTCAACTCCCTGTTGGTGGTCCTAATTGCTAATTATGTCTCAAGAGTGTTTTTCAGGAGAGGAGGGGGAACTAGGCTACCTGCCTTCCTGCTGTTTCTCAACACCTGGAGCCCAGATAGAAAAAAATCATCAATCACACTCCTGGGACTCGAATCAGGATTCATGAGAAATCTGGCACGTTTTGCTGGGTAGCCAAGGGAAATTGAGGATCCACGGAAATTCAGACGGCTACATCGATGCTGAACGCAATATGCCATGAGAAGAGAGTTGAGCTGAAGTGAGCATAGAAAATTGTAAGCATGCGACTTTCAAGACGGCCAGCATCGTTCAATCCATCATACAATACCGCAGTGTCCCTCTTGATCGCCCTGCGATTTACCAAATAGGTGAACAGGTTCTCACTACAGGCCATAGTTGACAAGGAAGTAAAATTGCTATGTTGCAGAAGAGAACGGTATCCTAAATTACCAAAGCCACGTTGCGCTATTTTCAAATTTCGCCACGGCTACTGCATGCAATGCAATATCACGACCATGGGTCTTCATGCCTCCAGCAAAGTTTGTTTAAACGGAAGCGCTGACACGAAACACAGTGTAATCGCAACCTTAAGGAACTCGCACAGAGGACAGTGAAGCTGAATGCATATTTGGTATAATGACAAAGTGCAATTAATAATGATATTGTTGTTTTCAGAGCCCAATACGAACAACTGCATGTACGGGCGGATAGCTAACACAAGTACTATGGCACTGTGGCTCGGTGGAAGAAATAACCTCTGTGAAAAGATGAAGACCTCTTAATGAGTAAGGAAAAGCCAACGTTCTTGGTGCTTGAAAAAATAGATCAACTAAAAAATAGTAAAATTACAACACGTGTGGTGAAAATGTCGAAAAGCCTACAAGAATTTACAAACGGCAAGTGAAAGGCACAACACTTTCTTCCTTAGAGCTGCGCCAGGGACAAATTCACTACTCTTTTCAAGAAATACTTTCCACTGCATGTTTGAAACAGCTTGTTCACGAGATATTGGAGCCAAACAGAATATTGCTGGTAGGTGGGGGATACGAAAACGAGTTCCTACTTACTTTCGAATACGAAATCCTTTTGCCAGGAGTCTCACTCATTCTGTCCACCAAGCTTCAGTAGAGGGTAGGCCCCAAACAACCACGGTGCAGCTGTGGATATTTGGTTAGGGAAGGAAAGCAAAGTGACGAGGGAACGAGCAGAATATGAAGCAGTTGAAGCAGTGAGCTATCAAAAGAGACAAAACAGCACACGGCATGGCATATCTTGACGTTTGTGGAATCAGGCACCTGCTGGTCGACTGGGCTGGATCATGTGGACGGGGGAGTACCGGGTCCACACTCCACAGCGGCAGGGAGCCCTACACATACCGGTATGTGTACAGTCAGTGTAGTACTCCCTGGCCTGGTCCACAAACAGCGTCTCCAGTACTCGTACAGTCAGTATGACTTTCCACACATACACGGTCGGTACGCAACTAAACCGGGAGTACTAAAAAACGATTTTTTAGTACTCCCTAGCCCTGACCGCCACACACACTGTCAGTACACATGGTAGATCTACATGACCATGATGACTGTACTCAACCGGTCAACCAGTTGCCTGCAAGTAAGGGAGTTGTACATTTACAACTCTGTGCTTCCGCATTATTAATAATAATTATTATTACATGTACATGTATGCTGCAGATCCGGACAAAAAAAATGTAGGCTTGATATGAATGTCCTTGCGCGCGTGCATGCACTGTCTGTCTGTGCGTAGTGTACAGACAGTACGACTCGTACAGTGGCATCATGGAGCCGCGTAGACTTCCTGAGCTTGCTGTTGCTGATATCTGCCGAACTCGCGATGGGTAGAGGTTTTCCTTTTTCTTTTTGTTTGTGTCCCACCCGGCCCTGGGACTTGATTATTATCAGCGAGTCATCTATCATGGCCATTAATGACTCCCCAAGTAATAATGAAATATTTAGTTTTAGGTGAACTACAGCTTTACATGATTGTCATGAGTTTGTTTCGGATGACTACATCCGAGGTCGGGCGCCGAAGAACATCATATCCTGGCGATAGAAAATTCACCAATATTTGAACGTGCGGGCCGGGCCGGCGCCAGGTAAACACAAAGGGGAAAAGGCGCTTTTCATGCAGGTAGTACCGTATGTACCGCCGTATGCACGCGCACGCCATGTACATGTGCATGTACAATGCATCAAGAGTACGATGTACGAGTACATGAAAACCATTTTTCATGTACTCTTGAATGCATGTACATATGTACATGTAGGTCTTTTTTCTTTTTTTTTGCTTTTTGCTGTTTTTTGCCGCTAGCACAAATCATCGAGACCAGGGAGCCCTACACATACCGTATGTGTAGGGCTCCCTGATCGAGACAACCCAAATGAAAAAAAATGGCACCCTTCGGCACCCTGCGGTTACTGACAACTGTCTGTACGTAGCCAACCTCACGACCCTCGATCCTTCCTACTGTAGAGGCGGAGGGCGGGCTTGGCCCAATGGCCATGACTCGGGTAACCCCCTCCTCCATCGGGACATTTGACCCATTCAGGCACTGCCACCTAGCCGACACCATCAGCGCTCTTTGCTAGCTGCTGTGTATGATGTAACCCATGGTCGTGTGTGCATGTGTGGGAAACTGCCGTCTGCCGGTGCCGATCGACGTGCCGACATCCATACATGTATCTACGCTTCGTCGGTGCGCAACGTCCGCACCATGCACAATCGCAGATCTAGATACATACGCCGTAGGTGTTGACATCCTCCCACGTCTGCGTGGGAACTTAAAAGTACATGCACCGGGACAATAGTAACACTACCTTTGCCTTATAAGCTTAGGTAACAAACCAGGATTTGCACGACTCGCTAGCGCTTACACTGACTTAATTAACTGTACTTGCATTGCAGCTATTGCTAGCGTGACCTTGCGCGTGCAAGCACCAGTCCTACTTGTACATTGTACATGTACATGTACATGTATGTATGGCGGTATGGGTGAGACAGAGAGAGAGAGAGAGAGAGAGAGAGAGAGAGAGAGAGAGAGAGAGAGAGAGAGAGAGAGAGAGAGAGAGAGAGTCCTCACATGGTACCAAGACCACCCATTACTATTAGTACTTCTGCCGGTACTACAGTACAGTGACTTATGTACTCAAGTACCGGTAGATAGTTCACCACCATGGCTGCACAATATCACAAAGCGGAGGACAGCATAAATGTATTAAAGGAACACGAATAGTCACACGATCCCATCATGGTTCCTGGTGGTCGCAAAGACCGAGACCCTCCTGCTCCACGCATGCCAACCGGTATTGCTCTCCCTGGTTTCAGTCAGGATCTACATGTAGGACTACTGTACAATCTAGAATCTGTCAATCATCATGATCATGACTTGTAAAGTTGTAGTCTAGGGACACTGTTCCTTACACCAAGATTCGTACACACTGGTACAGCTGTAGAGTGGAGTTTGTCCTTCCACTGAGTGACTCCCACTACTATTAGCGGCCTTGTGATGTGCTGTCATCTGCGCCATGCCGACAGAGTCAGCATGGTACACACGTACATGTATGCTGCACAGCAGCAGGCAGTCGGCAATTAATGGCAAGTATGCGCTATCGGCGTACACCATGGTACACGTGGTTCAGATATTTTCCCACGCATCACACTTCAGCTAGTCACATGACATGGTTCTCTTTGGGGTCCTAGTAGTGTACTAGGCTCCGGCGGATTATGCTCGCGAAATCATGGAATTATGCTTTCATACATGTCACGTGCCTGTTGTCAGGTCGTTGCTAGCATTTGGCCAATCAGAGCAGCACCTTACCAGGGCATTATCAGACGATAATGCCCGGGTACGGCGTACCCATGCCCATTAGGAATGACCCCAGGCGTACTACGTACGCTGGTGCACTGCCAAATATGCAACAAGCCATGCCTTTTACGGCAATGATCTGGTACATAATTGGCAGTACATGTACTCCAGCGCACGTAGAACACATGGGACCATCCCTAAGGACACCACATGCACTCGCACACACCACACAAAACGAAACTACTTACGTGCACCGTCCAAAACAATTATATTTTACTAGCAATGTCGACATAGGAGAAGTAATTTATACCAACGTGACAATAGGACACAGCATGTCATTACCATGCATTACTAGATTCAAGTCAATTGAGGCGAACAAGTCGACAGGTGAACATGCATCACAAAGTTACCTATCTGGAATAGATCAGATTGTACCTCGAATTCCTACAAAATATACAGTTACATCTACATGTACTTCAAATGTATCTAGCTACATGTCCAGTGTACATGGACCTCAAGTAAACTGAAAGCAATGCGAACAAAATCTCAGATGTATGTGAAAAAGTATCATTTTTCCGAATAAGAACACTTACAATGTACTCTCAAAACTACTAGTAGTCTAATTACTAGTGCCACTTGGTCAAGGATGTTTGCGTCCAACGTCAACTCCAAAGCAGCAGCGAATCAGCTAACTTCCGTACCGCCCAATAGGCAACACTAACACCAAAATGCAAAGGCATATTCCTGGAACTGCAAGTAAATCTGACTCAAAACGTTCTATCATTCCACGGAGAAAGCTCCTTCTGATCTTGTTCGACCCTTCATTCATATGACAGCTGATTGGAACCTTCCTCCTCCCTTGACCATGTTTACCTTATGTGTCTACAACTAGGCACGTGGCATGTATGAACTATAATAAACACATGGTACGTCGTGCATTATGTCTGATTGTATGCCCTAGTGCGTAGCCCTCGGTCGTGCACCGTAGCCCGCGGGCCTGCGGCCCTTGGGCTACGGTGCACGACCTCGGGCTACGCACCAGGGCATAAATCAGCCATAATGCCCTCCGTACCATGTGTTATTATATACTTCATTGATTCTCGCATTATGCTCGTAAAATCCTCATAATTATTATGCTTTGGCACCCGGGGATATTCACTTTGTTGTACTTATGGAGCCTCAAAGTTCGGAAAAGTGTGCCTTTTTCGTACTTGCAAGTTGCAAGTGGCCATAAGTACAACAAAATACATGAGTATCCCCATACCAAGCTGCAAGGTGTCCATGCACGTTAGAGATCAACATGGAAAAGAGAAAACATTAATTCTTCTATTCATATAATCTACGTGGAGATAAAAGTTTAATAATAGCAATGAAAAGTATGAATGCCGCAGACATCACCACGCAACATGACAATTTGTTCAAGGTTTGGTTGGTCTTTGTTGGTCTTGGTTGGTCTTCTATTCATCACTTGATTTCTTTTGTACTTCAGTAAAAATATTATTTCATTGCCAAATTAGTTTGAGTTACCTTTGAAAATTATCATGTTCAACTCACGGTCTTCATAATCATCATACTCGTCCAACCGATGTCACCCTCACCCTGCGAATAATCAGCTTATCTCTTCCGTAGCTCCACTTCTCCTTCCATCATGACCGAACATCAACTATACATCAATTTCGAGCAATATCCATAGCCTGCAGGCATATCATGGCTGCTAAAATCCAAACTACCAGAGGTCATGACTTCGTAACATGCATAATGTACAAATGTAATGTACATGTACATGTACATATACACGGAGTTTTGCGGACTACCCGCCACTATCCGAGTCGTCCGCTACGGGATACCTAATGAAGGCTGATTCACTCGTATCTTCTGCTACATGTACTGTATCGGTGTGAGAAAGAACTTTGAAGAAGACGAGTTCGAGCATACAATGCCGTGACTGTATTGCCATGATTTCTACCCTGCTTTTCATTGAAAACACTATCTGCATGACCTCCGAACCCTTTACCATGCAGATCACCAGCACTGATCAGGTGCATTGTACACAATTGTATAGCCTACATACTACAACTGTGGTATAATCGTGTAGTTATGCTCTTACCTCCGAGAGGATGCCAAATTATGCTCCAAATTTTCAACCACCAAATTATGCCAATAATTATGCCGGCATAATCCACCGGTGCCTAGGTCCTAGGCTAGAGTACGAGTTGACGGCGGCTGGAGTTCTTTGTCTTCTGCATATTCCATGTTCTTCGGATCGCAACTAACTGCAGTTTTACCCAATGAATGAATCTTCAGAATCACAATCTTATTCTTCCTGGAAAGGGTTCCGCGAGAGGAGGGGGTTGAGATCGCACATGATGACCAGGACACTATGATCGCCAGCGCTGGAGAGTAGCCTCGGAAATAGTGCTCACACAAAGCAGGCAGGTACATGTTACCTGCACTCTCATCAGTCCGGGCCTCCGCTCCGGGGCTACTCCCTGTACAGACAGTGTACATAATTGTTAGATTGA